CTGCTAAGTTAGAAGAAGTCTTAGCTAATAGTAAAGAGCTATAGTCTATAGAACGTATTCTAAAGTATTAGACTAGGTAGGGCGAGAAGGAGTACCTATTAAGATAGCAAGGCTATCTACCTAAATAGGACTTATAGGAAGCTAAAGCCTCTTTTAAAGACATAACTGAGTTATTAGATAAGTATTGGACTAGCGTAAAGAACAAGAAGAAGGCTAAAAGCTCGTAATGTTACTAAGGCCTAGAACTAATGCTACCCCCGGGGTGCTATTAGCTAACTAATTAGAGGCCGGCAAACTAGGACAATAAGACTATACTACTATAGTAAACGCGCACCGAGCATTAACAAACGCGCTATAATGCGTTAACTAATCGCCTACTCTTTTAAGGACTCTACCTCTTTACTAACGCACCCTATAGGTCCCCCTCTTATTCCTTTATTCTGTCGAGGCCTCGAGGCCTAGGCAATCGGCGAGGGCGGCGCGGCCGGCGCGGCTATGTTAGTAACAGTGTTGCGGAGTGTGTTATTAGTTAAAGAAGAAGATTGAAAGCGAGGTAAAGTTAGCGCTAAGACGACTAGCGCCGCTATTATTAATACTACTTGCTATTGTCGCTGCACTTGCGAAGACAACCTTACCTATACTACGGCCTAAGGCCGGAAGCGCGCTATACTAATCAAGTTAAAAGAATAGCTATATCAAAGGTTTAATTAAAACTTTAAGGCTAAGTTAAAACTTTAAGCCGCTTAAAAGATTGAGCGACTAATAGACTAATTAAAGGCAAAACTATAGAGCTAAGCTAGCCGGGGTCGATCTTACGGACAATAGGTTACTCCTCGATCTATCTAACCCTTTAAGCGAGGCGAACCTCTACTACTGCACTTATAATAGCCTTTACCTATAGAAACTAGACAAGCTGTGTTTTTTAAAAGATAAGATAAGATTAACAATTAAAGGCTACTAAACCTAACTAATTAGGGCTAGCGAAACTACGAACAATAATAGCCCTCGTAATAATAAGAACAACCCTCGGAAGCGGACATAGCTAGGTCTTTTAAGAGTAGACGCAAAGAACTCGGTACGACATTACTTAGAGCGGAGGCAGTGCTACAATACCTCGTATACCTATCTATTATAGTAGGGAAGGTGCGCTCGTATTGTAATTAGTCGATAGTCCTTAATTCTTATAGCTTTATGCCCCTTTACTTTATTGTATATAAGGATATCGCAGTTAGAGTTAGACATTGTATTGTATTAGAGGTAAGGTTTGATATAGTTACATAATTAGGTAGTTAAGTGTTTAATTTAGCGCAGGCTAAGCAGCTTATTAGACTTGCTAAGTTAGCGGCAATAGAGGTCGTAGAATATAGACAGGCTACGAGGGCGCGGCCTTTAGAAGGGAAGCGTATATTAGAGGCTATACGTAATTGGTATGTAACTAGCTCGAGTAAAGCTAGGGTCTTAGTGCCTTAGGCAGGGCTTGGCGCTTGGCGTTGGGCTAACTAGCCTGCCTTCCTCCTTCTCCTCCTAGTTCTCTATCGAATACTACTCGTACCTACTACTACCCTATCTACCTGCTAATATACCCTTCTCATACAAAGGTCTAAAGGGTAATCGAGCGCTTCCGAGCTAGCGAATACTAGTCTAAACTCGCCTACTATTAGAACTTTAAAATCTCCTATATAACCTTTAATAACTAAGTCCGTAGCCTCTATAGTAGCTTAGTATAGTATAGAGAGGGCTAGAAGGGACTAAATAGTATATAAAGAGCTACTCTAAAAGAGATAGTGCTAAGAACAATCGGAATAGGGTTTCTACTAAAGTATAAGACTATTTAAGGGTAGGTAGAGTAGATACTTACTATAGACCTAGATTATAACCCTCTTATAATACCTCTTATAGGCGTCTACTAGTAACTAGCTAGCTCGTTTTATTAGGTAAAACGATAACCTACGACTTTAGTAGACTACTATAGTAGACTACTACCGCCGTAGCGTTACTAATAATCTAGAGATATTAATTAAATACTTTAAGAAGCTAGAGAATACGACAAAAGAGTATAATATTATAGTTAAAGATATAGCTAACCCTAAAGAAGCCGGATACCTTACTAGTTACTACGAGCGTTACGCGTAACTTCTATATCGTTATTTATACGCGTAAAACTAAGTCTACCTTTATATAATAACCTAGCGGTCGTAAGTAGATAATAACTATTAAAGCTACCTAAGCCGATAGTTATTATATACCTCTATTCTTTGTATTTAAGGCGAGATAGGTTACTAAAGCGTTATAACGGCAATTCTAGCGCTAATTCTAGTATATAGGTACTAGCTTTGCTATAAATAATAATAGCTAGTCTAATGCTAAGTTTGCCGCTTAATAGATATAGTATTATAATATCCGTTACCCTCTAAGTAAAGAAGGCAAATAGCGGTTACTAATAATAGACGGTTACGATAGTTACAAGTTATTTAGTTTCCTATAGTATGCCTTAGCTAATCGTATACAATACTTATACCTTCTAAGCTATTTAACCGCTTGCTACTAACCGTTAGATTATAGCGTATTTAGACCTTACAAACTAGCCTATTTAAGCTAGTTAATATAGCGCTATACTGATTGTAGCCTAGTAGCCGTTACTAGGACTAGCTTCTTAGAAATCTGCTCTAGCCTATACGAAGAAGTCTTTATACCTAAGATTATAGCGAAAGCCTTTATAGGGATAGGTATAGTGCCAGTTAACGTAGAGCGAGTAGTTAGTAAGCTTCTACGGTCCTTTCGGCCTATAATACCTCTACTACTACGATAGTAAGAAGGGGTAGAATCGTTACTAGTTAATATACTACTAGTAGTAAGAGACTAAGAATACTAGTTATAGGTCTACTACTAACGCTACGAAGGCTACTACTATAAGAACTCTACTAGCAACCGGTTATACTAGTAAAGCGCCTCCTATTTAGTAGCAATCCTTCTATACTAATAAGCTATAAGCGACTAGGGACAATAGCTAAGAAGGTAGACTTCTAGGGCTTGCAATCTACCTCTAGCAACCTCGGGTATACTTACCTACCTTATACCTACGGCCTACGGCTAGCTATCTATAGTACTAGCAAACGAGTAGCTAATAAGTTTAAGAAGACAGCTAAGGCGGCTTAGGTACTCGTACTACTCGAAGTCCTCCTTATATAGGCTAAGTCGAAGTGTAGGCAAACCTAGTTATAAGTAGCCGGCTAGTAGAGCTATAATAATACTTATAATCCGATATTACTTAGAGTTAGGCTTAGCTAGCCCCTATCTAGGCTTGAAGTAACTTAGAAATTAGAATAGGTATTATTCCCCGGCCTCCTTTGTCTCTTTTCGGAAGAAGAAGCCCTTAAATATCTTAGATAGGTACTTCCGGATAAGTAATCGTATAATATAAAGGGCTAGATATTCTAGACAATTACTAACTTATAGTATACTATCTAAAAAGCGTTAAATATCGAGATTCTTTACTTATAGCCCGATATTGCTTATTCGGAACTTGCCTATACCCGGGTTTGACTGTAGAGTGTAGGGCTCATCAAGAAGAGAAAGAAAATCCGGCGAAATGGGTTGATCGCCGAAAAAGCCCGAATCCTGCTAAAAATAGACGCCCAGAACACCTTGTGATGTCGAGTGCTTCTTGGCCTTTGACCGTCTCTCTCTCTCTCCATTTTTTCACTTGGACACTCGCCCCACTGCTGCGCGCAGCTCCATTCCATCATCTGTAATCACCGGCTCCACGGTCGATCAGCGCCGGATGGCATCATCTTCGTATCGAGCATATCCTGAGCAGGTCACCAGGGAATGGCTTTCTGCATTGCGAGCCTGTGCTCCTCAGAGTACCTAAGCGCGACAACACAAAAGCGACCGGGTGTACGGAGAGCGAGATTGATGACGAGTTTCCCTCCCATTCCTGTCGATTCGCGAACGTGAACTCGGCGCGGCGCGGCGGATGTTGCGATGGCAGGCTATAGAGCAAATCAAGGCCTAGATGGTTAGACTGTCCGGGAGGATATCCTGATGCTCTCATCAGAACTCGAGCAGAAGATATGGGCGATGTTGAAAAGTCCGGGCGGAAATACTGCGTCCGGCATTGTTGTCGTGGGTTCAAGAGCACGGCGAGGACTGGCCCTTGACCCGCGACGTGTCGGTGTTCATGGAAACCACAAGCTCGATCTCTTTGAATGACATGAGGATAACACTACTGGGTGTCCGTCTTCGACCAACAGGAATGGGCATGCCGTGACGGTGTGACCTCTTTCAGGACCTGCACACGGTCAAGCTTTCGCGCAGATGCCTTTGAAATGTGCCGCCGCCGAAGCTGTGTGGCGTTCCTCATGTCTCACGATGTTCTCTGCCCGATTCTTTAAGCACAAAATCTCACATTGCGGGCTTTTGGATGCTTGGATCTTGTTTGCTCCTTGTCTGGGCCACGCGGCAGTATATATCGGCCCAACCATGGCACCAAGTAGGCTCTCAGCTTTCCCAGCCGCGCTTCAGCTCTTGCCAAGATATTCACTGAATCTTATTATTCCCTTTGCACAATATCGATTAAGGCGACTGCCTGTTCAGGAGCACCAACAGGAAGCCATCATCATCAGGAGCTGAGCTTGCGGATCATGTGGCATACGAAAACGAACACAGTGAAGATTCGATCACGGCGATCTCAGACCCGAAGGCGCCAACGGCACAACGGTCGGTAAGAATAGCAACATGGCTTGAAGTGGTATGATTGTGGACTTGCCTGCGATCTCCCATTCCTTCTCAGCAGGCTGTACCCGTATCTTGAACTTCAAGTCTAAAAGGAGCGATTGTGATCCGAGGAGAATCATCATCGCTATATATTAGGTGTAGAAATCTCTTGGTCACGGTCATCGCCTTCAAATCTCCATTCCACCATCATGCTCGGGCTCACTTTCTTCTTGGTGTCTGTCACCAGCATCGTTGCAGCGTACTCGACGGCGCCGAAAGGTTATATGGGAACACAATACGCATCGGCCGTGGAAGGGCTCACGCAAGCCGGATACAAGGCATCATGGACCATTGACAGCAAGAACTGGACGGCACTTGGGGAAGTCATGAGTAAGTGTCACACAAGAATACGTTCGCCCGAAACCTCTGCTGACCTCGACCCTCCAACTTGCAGCAAAAGACATCTACTACGACAGCTCAAGCCTGGGAGCCTACGGAGGGAAATCAGTCGGTCTAGACGAAGTCACAGCTGCTATCAGCGCCGCCGGTAAAAACGCGAAGACCGAACACCTCGTCACAAACCTCTATGTCAAAGAGCTGCAGACTCCGACCAAGGCTAGAGTCATCACATAGTAAGCTGAATGGATCTGCGTGAATGGCTGCAAGTGCTAATTCTTGGACCAGCATTACATGGTCGCATTGGGTGGAAAGTGCATTGAAAGACATCACCAAGACTTTTAGGATCTATTACATGTGTGATGACATTTGGGTGATTCAGGATGGAGCTTGGAAAATGCAGCATAGTATTGTGCAGAATATGGGGTATAAGGCTGAGGCTCCGTACTTTGGTTGAGATATTTGCTCCTCTTGGTGTTGAAAACGAGTATGTCATAATGGACGACCATGTTACAGACAGACAGACAACATGTGTTGACCGCCGTATCGTAATCATAACAAGCCGCTTCCTTCGATCCAGCAACCGGAAGACCGACCTAAGCACAAGCCGTTACAGGTTAATTATTGGGGTTGGGGTTGGTGTCGTAAAATGTGCAGTGTATCGCTGTGCGAGCAATCCAAGCATCATGAAGCGGCTGCTCGTGTATTATACTGCGTGTTATTCTCGTGACCGGTCCATTCGTGGTGTACTTATCGGCGTGAGTATTGTGAGGTCAAAATTCAGGCCTCTTGTTGGAGCCTCAGGTGTCCAAAGACCTTTACAAAGCTAAATTTGGCCAGCCAATCAGAACGCCTTCTCAGGCGCTCTACCTTCAAGCTCAAACAGCTTCACCTCCCTCCCAAAACTTCTACACTGACAGCGAACCGTTCGCCGCGAGACCAGGATGCGTGATGCGAGACACGCCCGTACTACACGATATGCGCCCACACACCCTTCACCACAAAAACCATTGGACGCCAGTCATGCCGACCTACAGGCGACATACGTTGGCAACATCCACGACGCAGGCTCTCATAGCATACTGCACCTTTCGTGAATTGACCTGACATCCTCCATTCACTCGTCCACGATACGTAGTTTTGCCTTCTTTCAACATTCACTTGTCCATCTCTTCACACAAGACCTTTGTTAATACTGCTTTGCTGGACAAGCACTTTCGTTAAGACAACAGACAACGCCTTTGTTTGAGCCGTTGCTTTTAATGAGACATAAAGCGCTGCGCGCACTCGAGAAATATTAAACCGTGTTTGCACTCCACCTCTTTGACGGCAGACATTCAAAGCAGTTGCAGGCAATTGCTCACGACACTTACGACTTGACGGCCGATCACCATATTTCAACATCTATCGACCGTTGGAGAAAACTCTTCATCCCTCCACATGCACTTCCAAGAAATTTTCGAAAAAAGTCTCAACGACAACATGTACGAGACCGACGACTGCCAACCAGGCCGAGCGCCACCAGCAGAAGCCATCGACGCCAACATGGATCTCAAAAAGAAAGGCTGCCCGTCACCTCAGCCACACGTCCAAGACCATGAGCTGAGCGAGAAGAAAGACCACCCACCACGCTTCTCAACACTCTTCGGCTCGAGCCCAGCTCCAGCACCCCAGCCACCACCACGCGAATACGTTCGAGAATACTACCCCGAACCAAAGCGACAATCCGGAGTCTTCATCCCAATGCCCCTCTTCATAATCTTCGCAATCATCCTCTTCTTCGAAAGCACGATCCTCTTCGCCTACACAGTCATAGGTCTCTACAACAACGCTCCAAGCCGACTCTTCCCATGGGCCGGGGCTGGAATCGCAACGACTTCTGCTGTATGCGAACACAACCAAGCACCATCGATCATCAACGCTCCAAATTTCATCGTGCCAGGACAAGGACCAGCTCATCAAGGAACGGAAATCATGACACAATTCGTCACCTTTCCTCCAACACAGAGAAGCAGCAGCACATCTTCCTCCTCGGCCGACACAGCAGCAGCCATCACGGATATCGCTGCTATCCTCGGATCTCTTGCATCGTCAACCACTTCTTCCGAGTCTCAAAGCATCGCGATCGTAACCGTGGCGCCAGAACGTAGCACCGCTACATCGATAAAATTCATCACAGAGGATGCTTCGGGTAATGTCGTTTCTGCTCAGCCGACGCCTACTGTCACTCAAACCACGTTCGTCGACCCACCGAAGTCTACTGCATAAGATGCGAGAAATGGAGCTAATTGAAATGTACAGAGCTTGAGTCGGAACATGTAGATGGCTCAGCGATGGAGTTGGAGGGTATAGGATAGTTCCAGCGGACAGACTTGCAGCTAGCCCGGCCAATATCACGGCTTGCACAATCATCCATTCTTCCCGTCATGCTTGTCCTTCGCATCTCTTCCACCTTCTACGGCTCACATCTAGCACATATATCTCTTTCCCTACACTCCTTCCAGAACTACTACCTCCCCATACCCAGCCATCCACTTTCCCACATGCAATTATTTTCCCTCAACCAACATAGCTCATTCCATTTCTCACCTCCTCACCCAGGTAGCTCCCTAACCTCATCCCTCCCCCCAGGCATCTCACTAACCTCCCCTCTCATCAAAAATTTCCTCTCACCAGCACGACTCCCCGCCATCTCCCCAACCTCCCTCGTACCTTCCATTTCCGCAACCTCATATTGTGGCGCAGGACTTTGGAAACCACCAGAGCCCGGGAACTGATCACGTTTCTCAGCAGCTGTAGGAGAAGACAGATCTTGGTTCTTAGATTTCGATTTCGCCTTTTTCGATCTTCTGAGGAAGAACCATATCGCACCCCCGATAATTGCGAGCCCGGCAACTCCACCCACGACGCCGCCGGCGATGGCTCCTGTGGCTATTGGGGTCCCGCGCGGGGCTGCGGCGGCGGATACAGGGCTAGCTGTGGATGAGGTTGAGGAAACGGATGCTGTTGATGTTGTAGCGATTGAAGAAGAGGAGGAGGATGTGGCTAGTGCGACGAGCGATGTGACATCCACCGAGTATGTGGTCGCAGAAGGGTTTGCAGCAGTAAGGCTCGAATAAGTCTCATTCATCAAAAGTTGTGAAACATCAGCAATGAGATTGTCTTGTGTTGCGACGCAGACGTTGATTTGACCTATGACCTTGTCAATATTTCCCGCGTGCCTAGTATTCTTGGATTGTCGTGTAGATTAGATATATTCCTTACCACTCCGACTCGTACACCTCTCCCCACTAGTCTCACTCAAACAACACCAGCTTCCATCGCCACAAGTCTGCGTGCTTGCGGAGTCGGTACAAGAAGTAGAAAACGCGCGACATGCGTTATAATATTCTCCAGAACAACAGTAGTATTTGTCTTTTACGCTATCGTAAGCGCACATGGAGAAAGGTGCTTCGCAGCCGAAAGCGAGACCGTCGCAGCCATTGCTGGAGTTGAAGTAGAATTGTGTGTAATCGGCGGATGTGAAGCTGACGAAGATTGTGCCTGCAATTGCTGAGAGCAGCATCGTAGACTGCGACGAAAATTGGTGTTTCCCTGTTCAGGCGGAGTTCGTCGACATTTCTTCTGTTCAGCTCAACACGGACCCATACTCAGCCCTGACAAAGGATTTCTTAGCGTGTCGAGCTAAAGTGAATTGGCCAGGCGACACTGCATATTTCGAGATTGCTTGGCACAATCCAAGCGCTTGGGAGTTGAATTGACTGGCTTAACCGCGGTGCCTTTACCGAGACAAAGGGATGCCTGTGGCTGCGTTGGTAGTGCGCTGCAGGTTGGTTCTTCTTATAGAATGTTATCGTGTGACAGATGGAGGGAAGCTGCAGATATGGATATAGTTGTCTGATTAGCATTAACATACTCTTACTGTGAAATCTATTTCTTTTCTCTCCTCTCCCATCGCACGACGGCTGGCGAGAGAGGTCTGCTGAACAACGAACTGTAATCTGTGCCGACAACTTTGTCGCTGCCGTCGACATTGTAGAGCTTGAAATCGCGAATCACTTCCGAGGTGATGGTCTGGAGCTGGACATAGGCGAATTGCTCGCCGATGCATCTATGTCGGCCAGCACCGAATGGCAGATATGGTGATGCGGCGCCTTTGCTGACGAGACCATAGCCGTAATCTTCAGTCTCTTCGGCGACGCCCTCCTTGACATGCTTTGGTGCGAGATGTGCGTACTTCTCACTTGGGTTCTCGTCCCATCGGTGGGGTTCCCACAGCATAGCTTCGGGGAAGTGCTCGTCCATTCGTGAGGTAGCACCGGGTGCAGCAAGGAGGGAGTGTGTGGTCGGGACAACGTATGGTGTACCTTCGAGTGGCATCGGAGACTTGACTTGTCGCAGAATAGAATGGATGGGAGCATGAAGGCGGAGTGTCTCCTTGACAACTTGATTGAGGAGTGGAAGGCGCGAGATGTCGGCGTACGTTAACTCCTTGATTGATCCATCTGCGTTGACGCCAAGCACATCCTTCTGTTCTTGAAGGAGCTCATCCTGGATATCTGGTCGCGAAGCCAGTCGGAGAAGGATCCAGCATGAGGTGGACGAGGACGAGTGTTGACCAGCCATGAGAAGGGCAATCATCATGTGCGCAATCTCCTTATCTGGAATTGCTTGACCATTCTTGTACTGACATTGCATCAGATTCCAAATCATGTCCTGCTCTTTCTCTCCCGAAGTAGGCTCGCCCTTTTCGCGTCGCTCTTTGATGATCGCTGTGTAGACTTCCGCCATCTTCTTCTGTGCGCGATCGCGTGCTCTATTCTGTGGCAGTGGAGCCCATGGAAGCATGAAGTTGATGGGAGTGAAGCCCATGTCGAGATCGTGGTAGAGGTCGGCAAAGGAGGAGTCGAATTTTTCGCGGACTTCTTTGCCCTGGAGCGAACGGCTGGCGGTGTAGATAGTAAGCTCAGCCATAGCAGGCGGGAGGTCGACGGTGCCGTGGGTGGATGCGAATTTCTTGCTTGGATTGTCCTTGGAGAAGAAGTCTTTGGTCTCTTTGGTGATCAATTTAACGTAGGACTGGAGGGCGGAGGAGGTGAGGCCTGGAGGCGCAGGTTAGCAAGTGTATCGCTCCAAAGTGGAAGCTCATGTTGAGAGCGCTGTCTCAGACGCGGCGGAGTCAAGTCACTGACCATATTTGACGAACTGTATAAGTTAGCATTGTCATAAATCCAGCTTATTGTGTGCACGCACCTTCTTCTGCTCCATGAGCTTCGAATTGGGACAATCGTAGACGACATCTGTGCCGAATACTGGCGTAGTAAGTGGGCTATAGATCTCCTCGGCATTGACGTCCTTGAGCTTTCCATTCAAGATAAAGACGTTGCCTTTAGTCCCCAGCACCACGGTGGTCTTCTTGCCAAGGAGGATGAAAGTGAAGCAATCTCCGTATTTTTGACGGCAGGCGAAGAAGAACTTGTAGGGGTCGATGCCATAGGAGATAGTGCTGCCAATGAAGGGCACGTAGTGGAATACTAGCGGAGGTTCGTTTGGATTTCTGAAGAGCAGCTGGCGCAACACGTTAAGCAACACGGATACGGCGAAGAAGATGCTGAAGCCGAGGGGGACTAGTTTCCATGTCGCTGTCTGGCCAAATTGCGCGTCGAAAAGCGCCGCGGCGTCCTGGAGGAGCCCCATTGCGCGGAGTCAGTGATGTTGATGTTGGTGTAGGGGGTTAGGCCAAATCACCAAGATCTTGAATGATTACCCTTCAGTGATGTTCGAGTGGTCCATGGGCAGGTGCTATCGTACGAGATTTAACATTTCGGCAGTCGCGTCACTTTTTGGCGCTAGTCATGCAGGAACGGGACACCCCTGCTTCTCATCAATTGCGAGGGTCCAAGGGTCCAACCATCACGCCGCATCTCGCGAAGTCGCGTTGCAATTGCCCTCCGGAGGTGATGTTTCTGTCGCACATATTTCCCTCTGATGCACGGAGTATGGGGAACTGACGCCCTGCGATATGACCTTGGGACGTCGGCGAGATGGCTAGATCCCAGGTTGAGTGGGAGGTCGCATGCCTCTGATCGCTCGATACAAGACGCTCGGCATTCGGTGCTAGAGAAAGACCATTGTCTGCAAAATATCCAGCTCTGCTCGATATGTATAGCAGAGTCATACATCGCGGCGCTCCCAGTTGCTGGCCAGAATGCCAGAATCTTGAGGTAGACTCGACCTCACTCGATTGCCGAACCGTAAGCCGAAGCAAAAGCGCTCCTCCACCTAGGTCCAAGTAAACAGCTCTTTGCCCCCTTCCCTCACCTTCTCTCTCCTATGCTCCGCATCCTACCCATTTCCAGAATTAGCAAAAGACCATTCACCACAACTGCAGTACCCAAAATGCGCATCCCCTACGCCTCCTCAACCCCTCCGACAGACGCCTCCCAAGAGACCCAAGACATCTACAACCGCATCGCAGAACGCCGCAAACCCCGCCCTCTGATCCCCCTCGACCTGGCCCTCCTCCACAACCCCCAAATCGCAGACGGCTACAACACCTTGCTGGGCGCAATCCGCACCAAATCTTCCTTCCCTTTACATGTCGCCGAACTAGCAATCTGCTACATCGCAGTCCTCAACACCGCAGTCTACGAGTGGAAAGCTCACGCTCCAATCGCATTGAAAGCTGGAGCTAGTCGGCCGGCCCTTCAAGCTGTTCTTGATAAAGATGTGAAGAATGAGGAGGTACTGAGTGAGGAGGAGAGGGAGGTTCTGGAGTTTACGTATCAGAGTACGAAAGAAATAAAAGTTGCGGAAGATGTGATGAGTAAATTGAAGAAGAGGTGGAATGATAAGCAGGTTATGGAGTTGACGATTACGGTTGCGGGTTATAATATGGTTAGTAGGTTTCTGGTTGCGCTGGATGTTACTGAGAGTAATGGTGAAGATATGGTGATGCCGAAGGAGGATTGAGGATTGTATACATGTGGCTATGGGTTCGCTTCTTGACCGTCCTGATGACTGTTTACGGTTGCATCGGAAAAGATGGGTGGATGTCAGACTCGGAAAATGTGTACGACGAACCGGCAGGTCTGTGAGAGGCTGATTGGTTCTGCGGTATGAGGGATATTCGGAAGGCGTCTTCGGGGAGAGTATGGGTCAGAGGAGATGAAGAGACGTTACGGATTGGTACATGACCGAGGCTATGAAGACCAATGCCTCTCGTGGCATTGACGAACAAAAAATATTTGCTCTCAAATGCTCATTCATGTCCTGGATCTTGGGGAGCATTCGAGGCTAGGAGAATGTGAAGAGAAACGGACTCCAATTTTATATTTCACGCACATATCTGTACACATCTTCACTTCACTCAACCCATTCTATCGCTCCAAACTACAATCGATTTCGCTTTCACCGATCTTTCACTTGATATCTTACGCATCTAAATGCACACATCTTCACTTAATCTGTTCTATCGCTCCAAACTACAATCGATCACGCTTTCACCTATCGTTCACTCTACCGCCTTGGTCTACAAAGCATCTTTGAGCGACTTTCCAGCCCAAAAGCAGCGAGCACCAACCAGCGGTGGGAATCCTCTCTGGTGATTATGGAAGAAGAAGAAGAACTGTTTCGTTGGTCGAAGAGCAATGTTTTACAGAGCTTGAAACGTTCGGAACAGACCACACTCACATGTTTGCAAATTGGAATGTGAATTCAGCGGATATGTGTCATTGCATGTGACGACAAGCCTTGTGACATTCACAATGTGTTGGCAGCGCCGCCAGTTGGCTCATGCATGCATCATTCATTTATACTCGTCGTGGGGCCACCTAGATGGGAGCCTTGTCTTCAACATATGTTCATATGAAAGTCCCTATGCTTTTTATATAATGCTTGACTGAGGTCCGGAACACCAGCCGGTGAATTCGACCGTGTAATAATGAATCAATTGAATGATGTTTGATGTCGCGAGCATTCAGGAACAAAACACCAACAGCGAAGTCGCTCGGAAGCCGCGCACAGACCGCTGAAGTGGAACTGTGGAAAGCTGCTTGAGCTCTCCTTCACATCGCCCTCCTTCGTCGTACTCCATCACGCATCAAACGCTTCGATAACATACGATGCTGCGAAAGACAGCTCTGCGGCCTTTCCGGCCACCACGATCATCACGCTCTTTCACAACGCGTCCTGCTCTGCGCCAAGAACAACAACCTCAGTACCAAGCACCATCTCTCTCTCCTGAACCAGCGCAACGTCCAAACCCGCATCGAGAGGTGTACACAAGCGGTGGCGCAGGACGAGCAGTGGCTTACAATTTCCTGATTGCGATGGTTACCTTTCAAGCGCTATACTGGAGCTGGCTTAAGCTGGAAACCATCGAGGTCAAGAAGGAGAAGCAGGATGAGATCAAATCTCTGGAAGGCGAGATTAAGAACTTGACGGGGATTGAGATGAAGAGGCGATGAGTATTACAAGGTGTTGGCTCAGCATAGCATGAGCTGCGAGATGGGTGCTGCTGCTCTGTCATGGGACAACAGGCAGCGATCTGCGATATCTTCACACGCCGCCGTGGAAATAACGTATTGAGAGTGAAGGCCGGAGACGGCTTGTATTCACGAATATTTCGGCAAGAGATAGCAATGGCCGGTCAAGTAGAATCCGGATTCGCAAAGGCATTGGATCATTTCTGAGAGCCCTCCGCCCGAAACAGTGGGTCTTGGCGTCGCAGCTGCCTGGTTGTTGCCTTGTCATCGAAGGCAATATATCAACGCTTCAGACCGATCACACTCGCTCGCCACCCACAACAAGCGCTGGCTCATATGGCTCGAACAACACGACAGAAGCGCAAGGAGATGGGGCCTCCAGAAGGTACTCGACCAGATGATACCAAAGAGATGGCATCTTTCAACACACTTCGAGCAGTGGGGCGACAGGTCGCAGACAGCAGTCTTGTCTCGAGCATTTGATGCAGAGCGCAGGAGTGGCAATCAAGATACCGTTACGTACATCTCCATCTCCACCAATTCAATCCACTTCCTCTCCGCGTATTCTGGCCTTCTGAGTCCCATCGCATCCCGAACAACGTGATACTTGGGTCTAATTGTTGCTTTCACCTGCTTCCTCGCAAGAAACTCGAAATAGAGTTCAACCAGGCGAAGACGTGATAGTCGTGGCGAGCACAAAGCATTCCCATCTCACGCTTTCTTCTGCACGATTAAATAATGTGTTGCTAAGCACGAGAATAGCGCTACAAAACAAGTCTGGAGCCAAGCCACTGCTAGAGAAGAAGCCGCGGATGAGGTTCGTAGCTTGTGCGTGCTTGATATCCTGCATCACGCCATTCTGCGCTCCATGTCGAACTAGGATCAACGACTGGATCTCACGAAGCGCCTCCACAGACAAACTTCCCCCAGGTCGGCAATTCCATGCCACGCTTCAAAGCCACATGGAAGCGACTGCCGCGAACACCCTTCTCCACGCACAATCCTTCAATGTTGCAATGGATAAGGTTTTGTTGTGCCCAAACGTGCGGGATCGCACAAGCGACCACCCGGTTTTGTCGTTCAGGTCTGCGGACATGGACTGCTTTAAGATGATGCTAGAGTCTGGCCGTGAAGTTTTGTCGACATTCGTGCCTGGAAACAATCCTTGGAAGGACACAATCATCTGCCAAACATGGCCGCAGGAGAGGTCGCACTCGTGAGCCAAGGCACCGGCTATGGAATCATCATTGGACTGGGAGCGCTGTTTGCCATCCTGATCCTCATCTCGGTCCGGGTCCAGAAGCGGTACCTGCTGGAGGACTCTGATCGCTCGGAAATGTTCATGGTGGCCAATCGAACGATTGGTACTGGACTGACAGCAAGCGCAGTCTTCAGTTCGTAAGTGAACGCAATCGACACAATTTATGGGGCTATGCCGCTGATAGATGCACGTTCAAGATGGATGTGGATCAACGAAAGCATGTATTCGACAGTATTCGCTTACTCATGGGGCATTGCCGCGCCAGTATGGTTCGCCAGTGGCCTGACCTTTCAGATCGCTTTGATGGCAGTATTGGGTATGCACAAGCTAGCGTCGACATGGCATGCGAGACATCTGCTGATCATCTACATGGTCATGTAGGGATTGTGGCAAAGCTTCGAGTACCATACGCGCATACATCCATGGAGTTCGTTCGCATACGATATGGGAATATCGGACACATCGTCTTCATCTTTCTCAACCTGATCAACAATGTCTTCGGTTGCTCGGCCATGGTCATCACTGCGGCACAGCTCGTCACTGGCATTACTGGAATGCACATCGTTGCAGCGACAGTTCTTATTCCTGCTGGAGGTGAGTGCTGGCATCGGAATGGACACCGACAACCATATTCTAACTTTTCTCAGTCGTCGTCTACACTGCTGTCGGCGGTATCAAGGCCACTTTCCTCACAGACTTTCTCCACACAGCTATCGCTTTGAGCATCATGATCTACCTGACCCTCAAGGTCCTCACGAACGAACATGTCGGCGGACTTGGCGGTCTCTACGACAAGCTACGAGCCAATGAGGACCGGGTTCACGTAGAAGGCAACTACATGGGCAGCCTGCTGACCTTCAAGTCCTACAAAGCCGCAATCTTCGGAGTCGTGCTCAAGGTCTGCAATCTTGCTCTGGTCACCATGGACACGGCTTTCTGGCAGAAGAGCTTTGCGTCTGACGTGCGCTCAACTGTGCCCGGATACGACCTGGCTTCGGCGGCCATTATCGCCGTCCCTTGGGGTATTGGTACCGTGATCGGACTTTCAGCGAGAGCCATTGAGAACACACCTGTCTTTGTCACCTATCCGGAAGTCATGACTTCAGCTCAAATCAATTCGGGCCTAGTCATGCCTTACGTGATCAAGTCGCTCTTCGGAGGCTCGGCTGTCGTTGCGATTTTGGTTCTGATTTTCATGGACATTACCAGTACAGTCAGCAGTTCTCTCATCGCTGTTAGCAGTATTGTATCCTTCGACTTCTACAGGACATACGTCAATCGAGATGCAACAGATCGCCAAATCCTGACCGTCAGCCATGCCGGTGTTATAGGATACGGGTTTGTCATCGCCGGCTGGACATTGGCAATGAATTACGCAGGTATGCATACCCTCACGCCAAAAATCTCTGCACTCACTGACACCCTATAGGCGCCAACGGCAATTGGATCCTCTACTTCCTCCCCGTAACCACAAGTTCCGGCATCTTCCCCGTAATCTTCACCCTCCTCTGGTCGCGTCAAACCCGCGAAGCCGCCATCATCTCTCCACTCATCGGCCTGGCTGCAGGAATAGCAGTCTGGATCGGCCTTTCCTACTCCATGTTCGGCGAAGTCTCCATCGCAAGCACCAGCGAACAAATGCCCGCACTATACGGTTCTCTCACCTCACTCTTCACCCCGGCCATCCTCTCAATCCTAATCTCATTCATTCGTCCCCGGAAATTCGATTTCCGAGAATTCTTGAGAATTGATTTGATCGAGGATAAGAGCCAACCGGCTTCGAGTCAGGCCAGTCAGATTATCGGCGAGGATGCGGAAAAGACAAATCCCGCCTCCTCCGTTTCAAAAGAACCTCCACAAACAATCGACCTCACAACCCATCCCTCCCGCACCTCTTCAGTGGAACATCTCGTCCATCCATTCGACGAAGCCACACTTCGACACATCAAATCCTGGCTTAAAATCGCCATTGCCTTCCTCATTGTCAATATTCTCGTCACCATCATCGTGTGGCCTTTACCCCTCTACAGGAACTATATCTTTGGTCGCACCTTTTTCAAGAGCTGGGTTACGATGAGTATTGTGTGGCAGTTTTTCGCGCTTTTTGCCGTGGTGATTTATCCCTTGTATGATGGAAGACATGCGATTGCGAAAGGGGTTCGGGGTGTTTGGGGGGATTTGGGGAGGAAGAAGGATCAGTGATGAGGTATGGTAGATGGCGAGGGGAGTGGATGGTGGATTGGGGCGAGACATGAATGAGGTCGATCATCGGATGAAAGGTTGGCATGATAGATGGGATAGAATTTCATTGGAATTGAGGTGTGTGGCGAAATGCGGAATTCGCATGGCGAACATGTCTCTGCTATTGGATTCCATGATCTCCTAATGCCATTTCATCGCGACGGCTTATGTCGATGCTTAAGCATAGATGCAGCTCTCGATCGACGAGGAACTGCTTTCTCTGCTTCTGGATCATCGGCGAAAAATGAGCTTCGCATATTTTGCATCGTGCCGAAGCGTCCTATGAGTCTTCTTCGCTTCACGATAATCCGAGCTACGAAGAGGGCTACGGCTAAAAGTGCGGTGATTGCAAAGTACCGTGTCGTGAAGGTGAGCTTGGAGTGGGCTGCTGGATCGGCATGCTCCAGAATTTCGTCCTCGAGGATCTTGGCGGCTGGAGTCGGAGGCACGTTTTTGATCAGGTCGTCGTCGGTGCCCGCTGCAGGAGCTCCTTCATCGTTCTTGTGTTGATGCGTATGCGTGGGCTTCTCGTTAGCATTCTGGTTCTCTGGAGGCGTAGTATAAGTCACCTTCGATACTCCGAGACTTTTCCCTGCCACATCGAACGCTTCAAGCACCACATACGCCGCGAATCCGCTAGCCAAGATTTGAGTCTCAAAGCTAGTCCTCGCTGCCAGGTTCAAGACTTGTCTCTTGCCTTCTTCCTCACTTGCATCATACAGGTTCCAGGATGCAACTTCTGTAGCACCATTCCAGCTCACAAACACTTCCGTGGTGACCTCTCCATCAATAAAATGTGCTGCTGAGACCACAGCGATCTCCTCCTGCTTTGGCTGTCCGATAAATGGGAATTTGTAGTTCCGGTATGAGCCAAGCCAATCCGGTTTCAGTTGAGCATCCATGATCAAGGTGCCGTTCGATAGATGTTCACTGAGAGTGGCCTGCTCGGACCAGCCGATGAAAACGTTGCCGTTCTCCAGCGCTTGCAGGTTGCCACGAGCTTTGGCATAGCCTCCCGGCCCATACGGATGAGAGTATTCACTGACGAGTGACACAGTCATCGGACTGGTTGTAGTGTCCAGAGCTAGGAGTAGTCCTCGCGAGTACTGGTGAGTAGGAGGCAGGTCATCGATTTTAGCATTGTCCAAGATCGTGATGAGAGTGTGCGTTTCGTTCTCGCTGACATAACGGACCGAATGTTGACCTGTGAAGTTAAGATCTCCCATTTCAAAGTCAGATTCCACACCGCCCAGCCGCCAGATGATAGAACCATCCAATTTCGAAATTTTGTAGATGGCATTGGTGAACCGAGCAGAAACGAAGAAGTCTCCGTCTCTGCTCTTGTCGACTGAATTGGCATGCAAAAAGTCCCAACCCTCTTCACATCGCTCCCTGATGGTACGAGAGTCCTGCCAAGTGCTTTCGCTCAAGGCAATACGACCAAAGGAGCTCCATTGGAAAGTCCTTTCCCACGTCGTTGTGTCAAACTCCTCAAAGCCATCGAACTCGGCCATGCAGGAAGTCTCCTCATCAAATCCCACAGCCTTCGCATCCTCAGCTCCAGCCTTCTTCCTGTTACCGCGCAGAATGATAGCCCTCCTCCCATCGTCCACGAAATGAAATTCATGCATGTTGATCAGATGTGGTCTCGTGAATTCTCGTGCCTTCACGATCTCATACGAAGAATTCATCATGACGCCAGCGCCATGTTCGTCCCAGATCATGGTCATGAGTAATTCTCCTGCTACATGGCTGATGCGGAAGTCATCGACCCTGGTTTTGAGGAATGTCGAGGCACCACTCCAGACGAGTTCTCCAGCGTTGTCGTAGATGGTTGGTCCAATCCAGCCTCCCATCTGTTCATTTGCACCCAGAGGCTCGCGTGGAGCAACGAACCAGTAGCCGGGAGAAACGAGGTCTGGATGGTGGATGTTGACGTTCCATTTTGGAGCACGGATTTCAGGGCGCTGGAATAGGTCAGAGAGGGGTTTTCTTGATGTATTGCAGCAGACCTACAGTCACAAATTTATACAACCCGCTTCGATCGACGCGTTTTTGTATTGTCTCTGAGGCTGCGGAGAGTAATAACAGGAAATTCAGGAATGAGCGACTAGGCATGTCGCCAAGAAATCAAGAGCACGCAATGGTCGAGAGGACCAAAGAAGTGAGAGCTACGAGGCATGACTGTTGTAATAATGTGAGACATCTTGCGCGATGTCGATGTCGGTAGAGAAAAGGGGGTGGAGGCGAAAGTCCAAGCTTGTCTTGTGATATGCAATTGATCGTCGTTCAACGCTCGCTACGCATCACGGAGTAAAGTTTCTCCGACTGTCACGTCTGATGGTCATTGGAAATACATTTCTATCAATCTATACTCCATGCCACTCGTCACGTTTCCAAGTTACTGCACAGAGCTCATATTTCTGCAAAGCCCTCCTAGCGAATGAGTTCCCCTTGCTCCTACGGCACCTGCAGCTCGGTGGCTTCGTGGACGGACTTGAGATGTTATGCTGCGGTTGAGTGAGAAGATATCAGAAGCAACGTTTTGATGCGAGCACGAGTGAGCCAGAGCGGGAGCCACAGATGTTTGCCAGGATCAGGACCATGGCGATTCATTCGCATAATTTTCCCTGGTGACGAGTTTGTAGGCGTACTGACGATAGCTGCGCGAGCAAAGCCGAATGGAAGTGAATGTTGCTATACGTAAAACCTGCGCCACCGCTCAAGTAGTCGCAGCTCATGCTTGTTGTAGTATACATACTCAGACGTCTCTATGCCAGAGCCACATCGCGGCTATCACGCGAGCTCATATAGGTCTTCGTGGTTTCCTCATCCATCTTGCGCAACCCACTACTCGCTCATTTATCTTACACTGTCTGCGTACCATAGCCTCTGATCCGATCTGCAAAGTCCCAGCTCTGGTTCTCCAACTTCTCGTCCTCGTGCAACTCTACTCCCTTCTCGTCGATGACTGCGATAGAGTACTCGTTCATGCTCCTCGCATCTCTGTAGAACAACACCTTCATGCAATCCTTGATGGCCTTGACCGCAGTTTCCCGATCGAGGTTCTTGCTCGCCTCCTCATCCGGTACCGATTTCCGCAGGATGGGCTGCGCAAGATGAGCACCAAAGCCTGTAGCCATAGTTGGTGCGCTAAATGTCGTGCCGAGCAAGTCTGCTGATGCCAGGAATGGTGTGCCCTTCTCGTCCAGACCCGCCACAAGCAGCGCATTCCAGAGAGGATTGAAGTCGGAGCGACGCTTGTACATGACTTTGCCGAGGTAGGTGTGCAAGTTCTTCGCGCTCATCATGTCCGCATCTCCCTTCTCCTCAGTATGCGAGCCGGTGCTGTAGTTCTCCTCCACATCTAAGCTCTTGAGCAGGCGGTCAATGTACTGCATGTCCGACACGTCGCCACCGAAGCCGACTACTGCCTTCTTGTTGAACGGCTTCAGTCTGTGGACATCAGTAAAGCGTGCGAGTGAGCCATACGAAGCGAGGTTGTCGGCGGCAATGACAACTCCGGACTTGAACTTGAGGGCGATGACGGATGTACCGGTCACGATGGGCGACTGAGTGTGGGTGATGGGTTGTTGGGTGCCGCCATGCGATTGTGGGAGGTATGCGGAGTTGTAGTGGCCATAGATGTCGTCTCGCGGTCTGCCCCAGGCCTGGTCTCATGTCAGATGGGTTAAAGCATTTGGTGATGGCTGGTTGCTATAAAGGTACCTGCGGGAAGTGGTTCATCTTGATCGTTGATCAGGTGAGACCGGAATGTGTGTGTCGGACGTATGGAGCTTCGGCGGGAGTTGCGATGCGGTCAGAGAGATGGTGTGGTGTTTGTGGTGATGTTTCTGTGTGTCGATCGAGCTTGATGAGTACGTCGGAGGCAGCTCAAGTTGACGCGGTCGCGGTCGCTAGCGTCGGGAGCAGCCGAGATTCATCATATGCATCAAGATTTCTACAAAATTGCCAAGTCAACATTTTGACTACATTCAGTTACTTTTGCCAAGATGAATGGACTGGTCGCGTACGGCAGCAGCGATGAAGAAGACGATATTCAGCCAGAGAAGCCGGCCAAGGTAGGCGACTGCTATATGCATCAGACTCAAAGGCACGGATACCTACTAACGATGCACAAATGCCAGATAGCCAAGATTGACCCCGGAGCAGCACCGACAGCATCGCAAGAGGACGGTGTGTAATCTGTAGAGTGGCACCTATTGAAAAGGTACTGACTGCCAGCAGCAACGCATCCTATGCATACCATCGCACCAGCAAACCATCAGCCAGCTGCAATCAATACACCTACTGCCGATATCTCGCCATCAGGACCAGCACCAGGACCTTCAGCGCCACCAGATGCGTCAAATATAGCAGAGCACGACTCGGAGCCACCGCTGTCACCATACACATACGAGCGCCAACGACTCCGGGAGCTGACTATGCCCACTGTACCGAATTTTGACATTCCCAATTCACCACTGCCTCCTGCTCGCAATAGTGAAGAAGCTGCAGCATTGGCAGCAACGACTAAGAAGTTTGAAAAGTTCTTGGAACTGAAGAAGAAAGGGTTGCACTTCAACGAGCGTTTGCAGAACTCAAGCAGCCTGCGCAACCCAAGTCTGCTACCAAAGCTCATGAAATTTGCGGGCATAAGTCAGGAGGATAGCCATCGATCCTCGCTTCCAGAAGGGCTAGGAGTAGCAGTACGCTGGCCAGAAGAATGCTATGTCGAGACCCTCATGAAACAGAACGAGCGAAGGGAAAAGAAACAGGCCCGGGCACCTGGGGACAAGATCGATTTCGTGCCTGCAAAGAGCACTGGCTCGACTCCTGGCGATGCTCCGAGAAAGAGCAAATTTGACAAGCGTTAAGCGGTTCTGGATGCTCTTGATACTACACGATCTCTGGCCTTGCGGCACAGCCAAGGGGCAGCCTTGGGCAGCCTTCCAATCTCCAAATTCACAGCGAACGCTGGTTGTTGTTGCCCTGAAAAAAGCGCTTCGGGGCACGGAGATACACAGCGCAGCGAACGGTTGGCCGTAGCAGCGTAGCTTGAGAAGGAGAAAAGAGAATTGACATGGTCCAGGGTACTTGTCCTGGAATGGACATCGCTCAATGACTCGCTCGTTCGTTCTCCAAGTGCCTCAACCAGAGTCTAGACCAGGACCTTGGATCGAGCAGCTCGTCACAACTCACAAGTCACAACATGCAAAAGGCTCCACTTTGCAGTCAACTGGCGCAAACACTTTTGTTAACCTCATCTGTGCTACGACACCGTCGCAATGGTTACGAGACGTCGAGGTAGTTCTGACTCTTCGCTGAATCCACGCAAACGACTCTGCGGGCCAATCGGCCCAGACGGCTACCGGACCTACGACGATGAACAAATGACGACAGCTAGGAGCAAGTCTGAAGCATGCCAAAACCGCGGCAAAGAACGCAATGGTGCAGACCACGAGCCTCACCCACGTCGCATAAGATCATATACACACCACGATACAGGTCATCCCTATTCTGCTTCAACAGGCTGGCAATGCTCCATCTACGCCGAGAACACCACCTTACCTACGTTAGCTCAGGCGCTGGCGTCGACCCGTGAACTGCTCCCTTGGCCTGATACTGAGAAGGCAAACGTTGGAAGTCAACATTATCTTGCACCACTTCCTATCGCGGGGGTAGCGGGTTTTGCGCAAACTGGAATGAAGCTGTCACACGATGCTTTCGACAATGCTATTGACGATGAACCCAAAAGCTCCATCGAAAGTCCCGCCAGCGACCGTCCCCGGAGCCGGACGCATAGTCCAATGATGACATACAGCTCTCTCTCACTTGAGAGCAGTGTGACGCCAGATCCGGGATCCTTTATGACTGTCGTAGCTGACAATGAGGTCCCATCTGCATACGTCGACTTCGCTTTATTCATGATGGAAAGAGGGACAGCTCTGTACCGATGGGTCCAGGATGCGAAGGCGAGGTTGCAAGCTATGCAAGCAAGGATTTCAGTTCTCGAAACTCAAGAAGCGAGAGCCATGGCTTTATATCCTACTTGATTCAGATGTTTCTTCCCGCGAAAGACGGCACCACCTAGGTAGCAGCTCGATTGCCCTTCTTTCCTCAAGCCGAATTCCCTCCTGGAGATGCAATGGTGCATCTTTGAGTCTGTTAATCGCAACAAATGCATAGCACACCATGAGGCTGATGACAAGCTTTCGCGGGCGCACTATCCGAATTGACCTGTCCCAAAGTATACGTGAGAAGTATACTGGCCGCTATCCTAGTCGGGATTTGATGAACAGCATGGATATGCTGCACGAGCTCACCTCGCCCTGCCAGAGCTGTTGGACGCGTAGAGACGTGTCACTTTCCCGTCCATCGATGGACCGACCTGCTTCATCTGAACTCGATTTCGCATCTGAACGCGACATCAAAGAGACGCTATCACTGACTTGAAGTCCGAGCACATTTCACACACGCTGCAAAGTGGGCGGCACGAAAGCCCAAAGACTGACACTTGTGCTTCTCCACCAACATTCCGTGCACAGTCTTATCCACTCGTCTCCTTCGCCATCGCAGAGTACCACAGGAACCTCAATTTACATCTCTCGCCTAGGGTTACTTCAACAGCAATGTCGAAATCTCGTCTGAGATTTCCTTCTACATTCAGGGAACGAACTTGGGCGCAATCTCCGGTAGGCACGCCAGAACTGGAGGAGCGCGTACTGGAAACACCCGACCTTGTCAAGTCTTCACAATTCATCGCCAACGATGAGGAGATCGAACAGGCTTTAAGTGAACCACTTTCAACGCTTGACTTCGATCTGGAAGGCATTGGCGCTGCCGCACCATCTATCGCACCTAAGACGCTGGAGCAGCGGCCTCCACCACGTTTCCAGGTTCCATCGTCAGACAGCGGGGAGGACTCAGTTCTCCCTACGCCAGAAAAGCCCTGTGGTGTGCCAGTCTCATCACCTCCAGTTCCGAAGTCTACGAGCTCCCACGATAGCGGGATAGAGATACCATCATCCCCTATGCTTAAAGCGACAACTGCTCCCAGATCTTCACCCCACCATGACACGGCGATACCAGTACGATCAAAAGCAGAATATCCGGGCTTTGTCGGAGACATTGAAGCACAGACTGAAGCTGTGATAAGCAACGCAGAGGCTCAGAAGAGCGCAAAGCCCGTCAGTGACAACACAAGGGCAGCAGCTAAGCTCGATTCCGTCACGCTACTACGCATGCTTGCAGCAGCAGCTTTTCTGGTGCCAGAAATGGAAGAATCGCATTTGGCAGCTGCAGTCAAGCAAGTGCAGACTTGGTCCATGGAAAGAGCGGGTCTGAATATTCTCATCAAAACAATTCTGGCGAAAGCCGCGAATGCTGAGGAGACGGACTTGTTCCAAAGCTTCGTAAGAGACGCCGAGACATACCTCATAGCTCAGGGCAAACTTGAAAAGACAGGCACTGGAGCGAATTCTGTTGCGGCGGAGCATGACGCAGTGGTGGATGATCGTATGAAGAGCAACCAAGACCACAGTATAGGCACGTGCTCTCCAACTTGGAGGCATGAGGAGGGGGCGAAAGAGACGAAAGGCACTGCTACTCCCAACAGCACAGAACTTCCCGCCAGCTCGCAGCCACGGTCACTACAGGAGCAAGTCGACAAAAGCATTAGCCATATTCTGGAGCGCAAACAGCTCGACAAAGCGCTTGCTATCTGGCAAGTACACCAGGAGGCAATCTACGATCGCGATGTCAAAGACTTGCTCGAGAAGTTTCTGCAAAGCCGCGCTTCTCGGGACGAAAGCCAACGATTCAGAACACTTTTGAAAGTCAAGCAAGACAGGTTCAAGATTCATAAGAAGAGCCCGAACCGCAAGATACGCATGGTCTCGAGGGCGATCCAGACGGATTTCAGCGCTGTTGACGAGCCTCGGAACTGCACAGGAAGGGAAATCATATCCACGGCCACACAAACCGATGAAGTCGGCCTCCAGGTCCTCACACGGTCTTCAGACAGCCTTAAAAGGCCACCTGCCGAGTCAGAAGAGGATGTGCCTGTGGAAGAAACAAATAACGGCAATGACAGATCTACTCATGTTATGGACGATGGTCAGCAAAACTCTCGCGAAAACAGTCAGATCCCAAAGAAGCGCGAGTGTGAACCTGATCCACAGCCTGACCTCATATCAACGCCAGCAGAAGGTCCATTCAGAAGTCTTCAGAACTTGCAGCGGAAACGACAGAAGCGGGAGGACGCGAGAAAATTTGCCAAGTTCCTTATGCAGACCGAAGACGGCAGGGACAGCCAGCTCTATCTGGATCTCCTCGAGCGCAGTGAACAAGGCAGGAAGCGAAGAGACAGCAATGCTGCTAAGACTGCTTCGCGGAGACTGCATGCAGCACTCAGTGATTCGAGCTCTGTCTGTGAAGGCGTGAGCACTCCTCGCTCGACGCCAAATACGATCTATAGCAGCAACTCGTTGACTCAGAGCGGCATGAGATTTGCTGCCGACACGAATGTTGGTGCGATTCGAGTAGTCGATGCACCGGTAAGCAGCTCTAAGCCATCTTCTGATAAGACTGCGAGTCCAGACGCAGTGTCACCAGATCTGCAAGCGAGCAAGCGCAGTGTGCGCTACCCTGAGGCGAGTCCAGCAGACTCTGGAGCTACCACTGCCCAAGCTTGCAAGAGCGAGGATCGGGAGGAAAGTCTTGGTGGAGCAGAAACCAGCTCTGTCGCACAACCATCGTTGACGGACCGCGATAGTGCCCCATGCGGGAGCACACCTGATACCAGCGAGACCACTTCTGACCGTTCCAAGACCAATACTAAGGAGCCGCCCGAGAGTACTGGACCTCAAGTCGATAGAACACCCAAACCTTCCGAAGTCACCTTTGCAGCGCTCAAGCCGCCTGCTCCATCGCCCCCGAACATCGCGTCTCCGCCTCGATCACCACAGCTACTGCATTGCAAACGTTGTGATTATCATGCATATGGAAGTGGTGATCACTCCCGATACTGCCATGGGTACAGAGCGCTACGCAAAGCGAACAAAGCTGCTCGAAGGCTTGAACACAGGTTAAGGAAGCAAGCGCAGGCTACAGCTGCAGCTCAAGACATGCCGAAGGCGTGCAAGAAGAGTGGTGTTGTGGAGACTGAAGAAGAAACGTATCGTATCGCAACTGGGAATCCGGGGAGATGGAATGTGAGAAGAGGTAGTTTGGCTTACAAGTCTTGGCGTTAGGTGTGTGATGGAGATGTGAGGGTGTGTATGTGTATATTCAAAGTATCGTATGCATCTACTAATCTCAGCACAATTGACATGTGCGGTGCAGAGTCTTGGCTTCTGCTGATGCTCGGAGAGCCACAGTGAATCCAAAAATGAATACTCGCTTTCCCTGTCCGACCCCTCAAGTCTCAATAGCATATCCTTCGCGCAAATTTTTTTCCCTTATCCCTCCACCATCTCCACTTCTCCCTCCCCCTTAATTCCACATTCCATAAGTAACTCCTCTCCTCCCCCTCCAGCCTCGACCGCCTCCTCCCCAAGTCCGACTCCACCCTCCCTCGACCCCTTAGCCTTCTCACAAGGATCCGTCGAAAATCCACGACCAATCTTTCCAAAGAAATTGAAATTCTTCTCCATAGCTCTACGCGCGTCGACAGCCTCTTGAAGGCTCGCGAACTCGAAGAGCATCAGGCCTGGGACTTCTGCATCGAAGCTCTCCTTCAGAGGCTTTCTAGCTCCTCCACGCATCATCTCCTCGACGACTCGATCGAGCGGGAACGTCTTTTCCGGATCGTGGATGTAGAGGACTCGGCTAAGGTTTTCGAGTTTCATTTTTGAGATAATCCAGGGTGGGAGAGGACGGGTGATTGTTGGGATTAAAGCTACAGCGGCTTCGAAAGTCGCGTGAGTAGTTGGGAGAGTGAAGGTTGAGTTTGTTTCGCAGGATTTGAGGAAGTCTTTCGTGTCTTTTCCTGATGTAAATGTGACGGTGACTACATTTGTCTCCATCGGTGGGTTGGTGCGGAAGCCAGCTGTGTCGTGGAGGATGGCTGAGAAGATTCTGCCGCATCGGATGTTGGAGAGGACGTCGTGGAGTGTGGCTGACTTTGGGATGTTGGAGATTGTAACTGCTCGGTAGGTATGAATGTTCTCCGGAGGCGAGGTTGCGAACAGCTCTTCGAGTTCCTGTGGGCCCCTTGGAATGAATCGAGGACGCTGACCGAGTGCGCGATCTCGATGCTGGAAGCGAGGAGGTGCCTCAGCCGTGTCATGCTGTAATGGAAGCTGCAAATCAGAGTCTACGGCACGTTGAACTTCTTGTGGTGCCTTTTGCTCCGCGTGCGTCGACAGCGCAAGCTGGTGTGGCACTTCAAGCACGACTTGTGGAGATGTGTCTGCATCGATGCCGACTGATTTCGGTGGCAAGTCCTCCTTCGCAGTGATCACGGTGAGATGATCGAACGAGGCTGGATCTGCTGGCTTTGGGGAAACAGAATCCACCTCAGATGGCTGTGTCTCGTTGCCTTTCGCCTCCATCGTCTCATCAGAAGCTTCCAATTCTTGATCGATGGGTTCGCCCTTCTCTCGCTCCGGCTCATGGTCAACCTCAGCCTGTGGAGATGCCGTGGCTAAGCGAGCGTTTCCCTGTGCTTGCCCTCGAGCTTTCATTTTCTCCAAGTACGCTGGCCGAATCACTTCCTCATAGTATTGGATGTATTCATAGCCATTGTGACGGGGATGGTTCACAGCATGTCGATGCCAAGCTCGATCACGCTCTTCAGGCGTCTGATCTTCCAGAAAGCAAGCCATCCCCATCATGCGCATATGCTCTGCATTGTGGAACGGAAGAGGAGCCACAGGCTCAATTGGTGCGGTAATCGGGGTAGGGACGAATGCTGATGTACCATCGCCGTACTTGATCTCGAAGCCGTGCAGCTTCTGGCGATGAGAAGTTGGAGGATGGTCTTGGTCGAAAAGATCGTCATTCGTGTCGGCGGAGAAAGAGTGGGCAATGCCCAGTCCGAAAGTGTCTCTCTTCTTCTCTGGTTTCTTAGGAGTCAGAGTAGTGACGGTGTCGTGTGAAACAGGCTGGAGGAGTGTAGTCTCAAGTGCTGACGTATCGTCCTCCTCAAAGCTAAGGAGCTCATCTACAGTAGCTTGTGTGCCTTCACGAGATGCTTCGGATATTGAAGCGACACTGTCTCTGCGTCGATGATAAGAGGGCCGAATGCCGATTCGACCCTTGAGAGCAACACTCGGCGCGAGACCAAGTTGGGCTTTGAGTCGGACGTTCTCGTGGATTGCACGCTCGTACTTCTGCTGGAGGCTAGCATTGATTTTGCTTTCGGAGTAGGTATCGCTCGATGGCGCAGAGAGTCTTGCAAGGAGGAATTGGTTGGCATTCCGAGCCTCGGCCAGCTGCTCCTTGACGTAGCGAAGCTCTGCCTCGAGCTCTCCGCTACGGTAAAGCAGATTGTGGAGAGTATTCGTATCCATGTTGTTGAAGTTGTTGATGTCCATGATGGATGTTTGTGTGAAGGTGGTTTGGTGTCGAGATGTGGTTTGAGATGGTGTGCAGAAGTCTGGATGCAGACTGAAATACCAGTTGGCAAAATGGAGTGAAATGGATCTGTGCTTGTGCTCAGTACTGAAGTGAGTAGCATGTGAGAGTGGTGTCCATATTGGGCCATTGACCGGTCAACCAGGCATGTGAGCTCTGCGGAAGCGTGTGAGCTCTGCGAAAAAGTGATGGCGCGTCAAGACCAAGTTCCATGTGGACAAGATGACCTGCTACTTTCTCGAATCCTGAGAGAAGATGCCCATCTCTCAATGTTCGACTACAGTGCTAGCCGAGATCTCAGTCTCATCGAAGAAGCATCTTCTTGCACACCGAGCGAGGTATAGTGTCAAGCATCAAGGCTCTTTCGAACTCTCCAACCGAAAGGCCAGCCGAAGCAGAGATATTGTGTTTCCTCTCCACCTTGAGCGATTCGATACATCATTTTTCTTGACCTGCGGCCACCTTGACTCTTTATGTCGATCTACACACGCCTACAGCGTTACCTTGCCGCCAACGATGTCAGCAGCGATTACAGGAGCAAGCAAGATGTTGCTCTTTGATTCTGCATGGGTAAGCGGCCTTTCCAGCCGCCTGAGACCATCCATACTGGGTGTCAAGATATGAAGACAACGCGGGCAGCGTTGATTCTTTTTCGCGGTAAGAAGCGTGCTCGCAGGTCCTACCAGCCATATGTAGGAGTTGTTTCGAGATCGAGACAGGCCCTGCGAATTCCATCCGCTTCGACTTGCCATGTTCTCTGATGATGGCGTTGTTTGAAGTTGATGAACAAGAGTGATGGTCGAGGCGCGTGTGAAGGAGAAGGTGGCTGGGCGTGAATTGCTTGGCACCACTTTATCGCTAGCGCGTTTGTACGCGACGCGACGCGTAAAGAAAGGCCGAGTCTCGTCGATCCCACCTTCTCCCACCACACATACACTGCATTGCGATTGCTTCCCGCCCACACACGCATACACCAGCAGTTGCGACTATGTCAGTACTCGGCAAGCGCACCAGAAGTGCCGCTGCGCCTACACCAGCAGCAGCGACGCCGTCAACGCGCAAGACGGGAAAGCGCATTGGCCTCGAGATCTCGCATGAAGATGCAGCAACCACATCATCCCGCGCAAAGCGAAGAATAGCAATCAACGAGCCGAATGATGAGAACCAGAATCCATTCGTTGTCAAGCGACAAGATGGAGGCGAATCGGGCGACGAGATGGAGGTCGATGTGGTCGAGCCACCGAAGAAGAAGACGCGTCAGTCTCCGAGAACAGCGCCTGCTAAGCACGGCGCGCTCGAATCTCGTGCAGAAGTCTCGCCTGTCAAACTCGGAAGCCACTTTAAAGTGACCAAGTCGGCAATTGGCGTATATCAGGACGGCAAGGACGACCGAGGGAAGGAGAATACACCAAAGACGCCGAGACATCGCGACGCGCTGTCTAAGAAAGTGCCCATCACTCCACGGCACAGAGTTCTCGCCAGTCAAGCTACTCCGAGATCCGCCAGAGCACCGGTCACGCCTTCCAATGCCTCAGTCTACAACAAAGCAAGGCAGTTGTTCTCGCGATGCTCAGATCCTGGCAAGCTCATCGGACGCGACAGCGAAAGAGCAGAACTTTCTACATTCATCCAGTCCGCCATCGAGTCGAAGTCGACGGGATGCCTCTATATCTCAGGACCGCCTGGCACAGGCAAGAGCGCGCTTCTGAACGAGGTGATCGAGGAGCACGTCAAAGACGGCAGCATACCCACTTCTGTCGTCAACTGCATGAGCGTACGAAACACAAAGGATCTCAGCCAGAAGCTGTCCGACGACCTCGACTTGCGAGAAGATGCAGGATTTGACTATCTCAAATCGGCGTTTGTGCGAGGGAAAGCGAAGGATAAGAAGAAGTATTTGGTGGTGCTAGACGAGGTGGATGTGCTTGTGGATTTGGACCTCTCACTCCTCTACGGCCTTTTTGAATGGTCGATGCACCCGAATTCCCGCCTGATCTTGATTGGCATTGCCAACGCGCTGGATCTCACAGATCGCTTCCTCCCACGGCTAAAGGCGCGAAATTTGAAGCCTGAGCTCCTCCCGTTCATGCCATACAGCGCGGCACAAATCGCGGAAGTCATCACTTCAAAGCTCAAGGGTCTTGCAGGCGGAGAAGCGCAGGTCGTGCCTTTCCTGCACCCAGCAGCGATTCAGTTCTGCGCGAAGAAGGTCGCGGCTCAAACTGGGGACCTGCGAAAAGCTTTCGATATTTGCAAACGAGCGGTGGATCAGGTGGATCAAGAGACACGCGAAAGAGACTTAAAGGCAGTTGCGGAGAACAGTCCTTCGAAGACGCCACTGATGGAGAATGTGAATCTCTCATCTCCAGTCTCGCCGAGCAAGAAAGCTGCATACACCATGGAGACTGCTCCAAAAGCAACGATCGCACACATGGCGAAGGTCACCGCCCAGGTGTTCAGCAATGGAGCAACACAACGTCTCACCAGCCTCAACTTGCAGCAAAAGGCAGTCCTTTGCGCGCTTGCAGCGCTCGAGAAGCAAAAGCGCGAAACACAGATCGACCGAATCATGTTCGCTACACCATCAAAGAAAGAAACTTCTGCGCCTTCGGTCAAGCAGCTCTTCGAAGCCTACACGAAGCTTTGTAAGCGAGACAACGTCTTCCACGCACTTTCAAGCGTAGAATTCAGAGATGTGTTGGCAGGCCTCGAGACACTGAGTCTGCTTTCGGCAGTCGATGGCAAGAATGGCAGCTTTGCTACGCCCATGACACCGAGCAGAACACCTGGCAGACCGAAGAAGAATGCATTTGCTGGCGAGCGAATCGGCGACGAAAGGAGAGTTGCGAGTGCTGTGGGTATGAAGGAATTGAATGCGAGTCTGGAAGGACCTGGAGGGGAACTGTTGAAGGAGATGTTGGAGGATGGAGTTCTCGCTTGATTCATTGCCCGTGTGTAAGCGACATGGCGGCATTTTGAGCGTTCTCGCGTGGAAGGGGACTTTACTGTTTAGCGAGGCGTTGTGGGCATTGCATGGCATGGCACGGAATTGCATAGCGCTGCATTTGGATATTATGATTGAGGGAGGGCTTTAAGCCTGTAGAATATAGAGATGATCAAAGCGAGATTGAATTGACGACGATGCATCAGGAAGTCGCATGTCCTATCCCATCACACATATAAGACCTTGACTGCAAGCTGCCAAGCTGGTTGTTTTTCCCCTTCATCTCAGCAGCTGATTCTCGTGATTCTCAATACGACCATTACAAGGCCATCTCGAGCCCTCTCCCCTGTTCCGCCTCCATTCCAATTTCCGGTCCCACCTGCTTCTCCAGCGACAAGGATTCATTCACTCGCGTTACGCGTATCGCGTCTTCCTTGCTACCGACTTTTGCCGTTTGTCTGTCACTCATTGCAAGAATTGGGAATCGGGAGCCGCAATGCTGCAATTCAGACGGATCCTGCTCCGTCAGTGGCATGCGAGAGCAGCACGCCGTCGGCAAAATCGTATACTCCTAGTAAGTATTAGCCATAGATCTGTTTACTCATTCGTATTGCTTTCTTTGCTACTTCTTGATATTGACCCATGCGAAACACATTACGAAGGTGCGGGTCCAGGTCGATATGGGCCAGAACTACGAAGCAGACCCACGAACACAACTCATGACCCAACGACCAAGGAATCCCACGAAAAAAAAGAACCTTCGCTTTTGAAAGTCCTGTGCTTCAGAACTTATGGACAGGACACTACTGCGGTTTGGCTATGATACATTACAGTTTTCCAAAAAAAAAACAAAAAAAAAGACAAAGAAACATGTTTCATCGTCGTGGTGCTGCTTCCTCCAATGCTTATTCTTCTTCTTCGGCCCTGTACGCAAGGATTGAGATTGCGATCCCAGAGACATCCCACCACAACTTTTCTTAAGCCTTCGGAGTGGTGGCATTGCGGCAGTTCTGCGGGAGAATGATCAAGTCACCAGGGGCAGTCTTGCTGGGGTCAACGGTAGGGTTGAGAGCCTTGATCTGTCCAACAGTGGCTTTGTATTTCGTGGCCAAGTCGACGAATAGGTCACCAGACTTGATGATGTAAGAGCCAACCGAGTCGCACCGGCTGTTTGGGCAAACTGTGATTTTGAGTTGCTGGCCGACTTGGATGAGATCTGGGTTTGTGATGTTGGGGTTGGCGGCGAGGATGGAGGCGAGGGTGATGTTGAAGTCCTTGGCGATGGCGGTCAGAGTGTCACCGGAGCGGATATTGTAGGCGTTTGGAAGACCAGCGACGCACGTCGCGGTTGCGTTTGGTGATGGTGGGGGAAGGCAAGTCGTGTTGTCTGGCTTGGTGCAGTTGAGTGGGATCTGCAGGGCCTGGCCATTAAGGATGAAGTTCGGGTTCGTGATCTTGTTGTACGCAGCAATGTCACAAATTCCGGAGCTGAAGTTCTTGGCGATGGTCGTGAGACTGTCGCCGGACTTGACGGTGTAGTTGGTGAAGCCGGTAGCGCCGCAGATGGTCTTGGTCACTGGAGAGCCAGAGCCAGAGCCAGAGCCAGAGCCAGAGCCGGAGCCGGAGCCGGAGCCAGAGCCAGAGCTGGAGCTGGAGCCAGAGCTGGAGCCAGAGCCAGAGCCAGAGCCAGAGCCAGAGCCAGAGCTGGAGCCGGAGCCAGAGCCAGAGCCAGAGCCAGAGCCAGTAGAGCCGTATGGATTTGGCGAGCCGTAGCCAGAGCCAGTAGAGCCGTATGGATTTGGTGAGCCGTAGCCAGCTGGACTTGAAGGCACTGTTGGTGTTATTGGGCTCGGTGGAGTTCCGCCACTAGAGCCGTAGCTAGCGGGACTGGGAGGCAATGATGGGTTCACTGGGGTCGATGGAGTATCTCCATAGCCAAGTGGAATGGCAGGCTTTGATGGGCTTACTGGAGTAAGATTGGGTGGTGATGATGAACCATAGCCAGCTGGACTGTCAGGGATTGACGGGCTTGCTGGGCTCGGTGGAGTTCCGCCGTAGGTAGAGGGGCCGGATGGGCTTGCTGGGCTCGGTGGAGTTCCGCCGTATGTAGAGGGGCCGGATGGGCTTACTGGGCTCGGTGGAGTTCCGCCGTATGTAGAGGGGCCGGATGGGCTTTTTGGATTCCCGTTATCATCACGGACCTTGACAACTGGGCCCGCGAAGACTGAGGCGCTGAAGAGCGCGGCGATCAAAGTTGCAGTGTGCATGGTGATGAAGGTGAGCTCCGCTCGATCGAAAGAATATGCCGATATGCCGGCAAGGATTTATTGCTGGTTGTCTTGTGCGATTTTGCGTGAATGAAGTGTGTTGTTGGTTAATGAGTGACAGGTAACGAATGACTAGAAAAACAGAACGTGTAAGCAGAGGCGGAGCAAGAGTCAGGTTTGACTGCGTACCTGGATTTAATTATATATCGCACGTCTACAATTCCAGCGATCTTTCGAAGCTAACAGATCTCCTGCGTCGGCCCTACAGGTTAGCCCATGCGTTCTAACAACCTCCTCACTAGGTCTCTCCTGCCGTACCTTCCGGTTCCGGATTAATGTCGCCAAATACCAAAAATGGTCGTTCTTGGCCGCGCCGTCGGACGTTCAGTAGGCGCTTGTCAGGTATGATCGAAACTGAGCGAGTTTGCCAAAGGAGAGCGTTAGCTTGTCGCAAGCTTGCGGCGTGTTTGAAGACAATAATCTATATTAGAAGGAAGAGGAGATTCAGAAAGGCGGAAGTGGAAAGGGTGCACTGTTAGCAGCCTAGCGCTGGCTAATCTCGGGATTAGTGAAGTTCATGGGATAATGGACTGGGGCACCTGGAGAGTGACCGGGTTTAGATGACCGTATTTCAGCACGGTGCAGCACAACACGTGCCTCTTTCGACGCTCGAGCACTCCAAATGAACTTCTATTTGATGCTGCAGAACACTCCTGGGAACTCACATCTCAGCATCGTTGTTTTGCTGCGTAGAGAAACATGGGATGCGCTTGAATACGATCCTACGCGGGACTTATCTACCAGATGGCCACGCAAGCGTATCCTCGATTTGGCTTGTCTCCTCGTTCTATCCATGCTTGGGATTGTTCTTGACAGATATATAACAGCTCATTCAGTTTCACTGCTTAAGATAGACACCATTCTGTCACTACTAAGAACTAGGAAGAACACCGAACCTCGTCAAAACGGAATGTCGGGGGTGAGAGAGGCACACGGGGAGGAACACTGTTTGATCCACTCGCAATGTCCCACCGCCGCAATGTCTTGACATCTAACCTCTCAAAAGCAAACAATGAAGCCACCTGAATACAACTTACATGAGACCTAGATGCGTTTGACTCTGTGATCCAGCCAGCTGGAAGATTCACCACCGTAGAAAGGGGTTAGAGTGCCCATGGACTCATTACTGTTTTGATCAACCTATCAACAACCAGGGAGGCGTACCGACGAGGACAGGGCCGATACTGATAGGCTTACGTTGCGAGCGAGTGATTTCAAGGACAGGCTTGGAAGTTGGATACGCATAGACTGGCATAGTTGCATTATTACCTAGCCTCACTCGCAGGGGCAAGACCATACACCCTGATTAAGCGAGATAGCGGACGGGGGTAATCCCCGTAAGCGGCAGTTAGCTCAAAAACGTTAGATGTAAACTTGTTAAAGGTGCGGATAGCTCCTTTAGGTAGTACACTAGCTTCTATCAGTTAGATCCTATTCTTAGAAACTACCCCCTTCCGCTATCACGCTTAATCAGGGTGTATTTCATTTCCACTCTAAGTTCTTCTTCTTGATAATTTAGTTCGACGGTCAGCAGTTCTGATTCCTGAACGTTCGGCGCTCGCGTAGAGGTGATTGTTGAAAACTTAACCTTTGAGATACGAGCTGGTTGGGCTTGCGTCTTATTTACAGCTTCGGCTCGAATTGCCCCTGAGTGATGCTCGTATATTGCTTGTAGTGGTGGAGGGACCTGGCCCTACCGTATAATTATATCAGCTGCCTCGTTTCCAAACAAGTCTATACGATGGTTGGGAGGTCGCTTGTCCGTTGATGGAATATCGAATCTTGAACTGCTGAGCAACGCACTTGAACTTACAAACAAGCTACAGAGGTTCTCGAAGCTGGCTGATAATACGAATTGCGGATTTGCATATGTTCTCTTGTAATAGCTTCTTGCTGGGCGAGATCAAGCCCTCGAGCGCTGACCTCTTGCATCCACCATTTAGAAGCCTATGCGGCGACAGGCAGCATCGACAAAGTACCACCATCAATAATGATCTCATGGCCAGTCAAGAACTTGCTCCTCATAGCAAACAAATACGCCTCCGCACAATCGTTAGGAGCACCAAGTTCACCAACAAGCGTCGACCTCGCGAATTTCTCCCTGACTTCCTTCCATCGAGCGTCCAACATCTCCGTATTGATAGCACCAGGCGTGACAAGATTGACTCTGATAGGTTTCAGATCGATAGCCAAACATCGGCTCAGCCCCTCGACGCCAGCGCCAACCAGTATAAGAGAGCTCATTCCGGGCTGAGGCCGCTTGACGAGAATGCCCGATGTCATCGTTAAGGAGCTCTTTGTCGAGACACTGATGTATTGTCCCGGATACTTGGCGATATGCTTGGCGACCATGAGTGGCATGATCAGTCTCAAAGTCTGTGCTGATGGGTCGATGGCTGTGGTAGCTGTCACTTCGTCGAGCTTGACGGGATCCCATCGTGCTCCGGCAGTGCTGACGATGTGGTCCAAAGGTCCGCCTGTGAACTTGACGGCTTCGTCAAGGACAAGTTTGATATTGGCCTCGACGGTATCGGCGGATGAGAGATCTGCAGATATGCCGGATACCTTGCTATCGGGATAGAGGGACTGCAGTCGTGAGATTGCTTTCGAGACCTTGTCTTGAGACGAGGATGTAACAAAGACTTGGCTGTTGACTGCGATCGCTCCAGAAGCTACTGCAAATCCAATGCCTGAAGTGCCACCAATCACCAGGATTCGTGATGAAGCAAGCGCCTCCATGTGCGGAGTGTCGATGCGTTTGGTCATGGTAGGATAGATCGTGTCCAATTGATGAAGTGTGGCCGCATCTCGACTTCGTGGCACAAGACATCCTGCCTTTATGTGTCTGGCTTTTCATTTTGAAACGTGCGGTGTATAGCTGCTCGTCGTTGTTCCTTCATATGCAGTCGGAACGGCAATAGGACATTGTGGCTCCTGTCCCGACTGAACTTTGTAAGCTGACCGATGGAAGTGTGCGAAGGATTACTATTCTCCACATTAAGGGCGTAGAAGTGGTATCTTCAACGACCACCGGCAATCCACGAGACGGCACAAACATGTCGCCGTTCGCCGATGTATCGTTTGTGAGAGCTACGTTCAGCTGGTTCAGCTGCAAGTTTGGGCTGTCTTCGCGGGCAAGATCCGGCCCAGTATTCCTCCTGGCGCAGTACGTGGTTTCAGCTGGCGAAGCAAACGAAGATTGGTCGACATGGAGCCGGCTGCGGGAATATAAAAGCGTTGCACGTTCTATCAAGAAAAGCACTTTCAATGAACAAAGATCCTCTTCCTATCCCAGTCGCGATCTTGACACCACTTTTCCACCTCTTTGTCAAGCTTCTCATAGCTGTCGTACACATTGTTCATCATCTCGTTGACACTTTTACCTTGCGCCTCCCTATCTGGTCCATCGACTGTCTCCCAGATAGATCTCATGAGCTCCATGACCGCGAATAATTGATTAGGTAGCCATGTGACAATCGGACTCCCTCCAGTAGCAGTCGGATGGGAACTGCGCCTGATGATGTACTCGCGCGCAAAGAGCCAATGCCGCCAGCGAAAGCTTCGCACATGTTCCAACAGACGCAGATACAAGACCTTGGTCTGAAGATCTTTCAAGCAGTACTCTTTGACACCGATCTCCTCCGCACGAGATCGCACATAGGCAAGGAAGTCTCGGTGTGGTTTCGGCCTGTATCCGCGGAAGTCTTTCAGAATCTCGGTGAGTGGATTTTGAGGCATTGGGATTTGAAGCAGCGAGTCCAGCAATGGAATGATGGCATCATTTGCACCAGACTCGCCACGAAAGTACTGTGGTTTATTTCCGTCGACACCTTCGTACACGACACCATTGGGAAAGAACGGCTGGTTTGTGATGCCAAAAATGAAAGTCCGATAGCTGATGTAGTCCTTTGGTCGTGACTGGTTCCACATGCCCTCCATGGAGTCTTCGATTACGCGCATGGTGTTGAGGAGAAGCTCGAAGGCGTCATTGACAGTGGAGCTGCCGGTATCTGCCGCCACGGCATCAAGCATCTGCACAGCGCCCTGTATGAGCGGTCCGGTGTGCTTGACCATATCAACGTGAGTTAAGATGAAGCCAGCCTCCGAAGAGCTTGGGTCAAGGCCCTTTTCAAATGCTCTGATCAGACGTAGGTTGCTATATTCGGATGCGCCGATGGCAGAGTTGGAAAAGCGATAATTGAATAAAGCATAGCCGGCAGCGTACGCCAAGAACGCTGGCACATCGAGGCTGTTACGCTGTTAGTTGATGCATCCGAGCTAGATTTCTGCCGATACCTACAGCTTGGCACACTTGACAAGCGGACCAGCGATTTCTTTGGGAAGCAGCTCACGGCCAGTTCCGTATGTGCCATCGATGTTCCACTGCTTCCAACAAGGCTCAAGTAGATAGGCGGATGCCAGAAAAGAGTAGTCTCTAAAGGCGGCAGAGACGGCAGTCAGGTCAGGCTTGCCATCCGAGGCAATGAGGTTGTCAATCTCATGGTTCAAGTCAGGCAATGCTTTCTGCTCGTCGATCATGGGGCCAAGCTTGTATGTAGCCAGCAGTCCAGGGGTGCCATCAAGTTTTTCAATTGGCATATCGTCGCATAGTTTCTGGAGTGGAGCAAAAACGGAAGGAAGCTCGACCTTTGGCGTCTGCAAAGGTAAGAAGCCATTCTGTGTTGTGATGGTGAAAGGATCCAGAGAAGGCGGGAGAGTAGCCGGATCAGCATGGATATGCTGAAATACCGTGGCAGTATTGGTCACCTTGACCTTATCATCATGGTCGGTGCCACCGCTGAGGTAAGGACTCATGTTGCTAAGGGAACGAAGGGCGGGTGGGGAGAAGTGAGATGAAGTTGAAAAGGCTTGGCGAAAGCCACGTGAGACAAAGAACAATATCAGATGGCCTTGCGAAAGGGCTCCAGATCTGTGTTTTGAGGGAAAAGAAAGAGAGTGAAATCTGGAGAAAAGCTGCCCTTATGTATCTGGTGGCCGGAATTTGCGCCTGAAGTCTGGCATTTCCATTATCGCAGGTTTGCAAGATAACGTTTCCTATTGGTCTGGCCGGAACATATGCGCGGTGGGGAGAGAGCGATAGCAGCGCGGATTGACCGCCTGATCACAATCCAAGGGATTAGGATGATGATTAACACCAAGACAGAGATGGAGAAGTGTTGAACTGCATCCAAGGTGGGTGTGAAAGGCCAGGACGTTGTTGTGAACGACGACCTGAGCACAACTGGCGCAGCGACAGCGAGTCTCATCCGGAATGGGAGGCGGCGGTGGCGGCGGCGGCGGCGGTCAGGCCTGCGTATGACGGGGTGTACAGTTTCAGGTAGCCACAAGCATGTGCCAGCAATCCGAGGCAGCTTGCCTTCTTGAACATCGGAATGAGGTTGAGATGTAGAGTTTGCAAGGTGTGGCATCACGGTCACGTGACCCAAGACGGAATCGAAGGAATCATTGGGGCGTGGTCCAGGATATGTCGTATAGTAGTGATGCATATCGTAATTGGATGTCTCTCAGCCTGATCACGGGACGTCCCGGTATGTTGAACGGGTCTGCATGATACTCCAAACACGCTCGAAGAATCGAGCCTGGACGAGCGCACTTCCGAACTCGTCTAAGGCAGCCAATGGTAATGAGCAAGACTGAGTAGCGAACACTTCCGGACGCTGGCTCAAGTATGCTCGGGACGCAGAGGTATAACTCAGGGAATAGCTCTAAAAGCGTTCTTCGCAGTAAGGGAAGATTTGGCCAACTCTTCCGGAGGCACAAATCCGATCATATCAGCTGACAGCAACACTTCCGGAGCTGCCAGGCTTGTGAGAGGCGAAGCACAGCAAGAAGCATCATCGTTCAGGTACGGAACCATTGGTAGCCAACACTTCCGGAGGCATCCAAATTATCCGCATCGGGGTACTGTGACCTGGCAGAGACAGGTACGCAGTGTAAAGGGCGGAGGTACGCGCTGGGTGCGGATGGTCGTTTCCGCCTTGGAGATGGGTTTGAGGTGAGCACTTCCGAACACCTCACCCTTGGCCGCCTGCGACGTTCATGGCGACGGAACCAGATCCAAGCATGTTTCTGACAGCAACACTTCCGGAGCTGTCAGAATGGGTGTTGGGTTGACAAAAATGTGCTCTTTGCGAACAGAAGATGCTATCCTCTACACTGATAAGAGTTTTCACCGACCATCACGGTGGTCTGGGCTAGCATGGACCACCTCTTTTCTCCGCAGAACATCTTCTGCACTTGATTAAGCCCGTCCTCTCGTCGACTTCATGCCTCTGCTTTCGAATGAACGCCGTCGCCGTCGCCGTCGCCGTTGCGCATAATGCGTTGGAGCGGCCTTTTCGGGCGAGTGGCTCGTCGCATGGAACCTCGAGATACGCAGCCTTCGCAAGCGTCGGATAGGGAATGAGGAGCCATAGTCGAAAGATGTAAGTCCAGAAGTCCGTAGAAGATTAGTAATGAGTTTGACGACGACAAGATGAACAATAAGTTATCGGCGTCGATGTCGTGTGCAAAACGAGGAGAAGAAGCTGAGCCGTCAGCTTCAGCCTCGGCAAACTTCTCCACTCACTCCCTCCCATTGCCAAGAACATCCCAGGCTTCATGACAACACCTCCTCTCACAGTCACCAGTCTCAAGCCACCTATCAATGACAAGAGCCATTCTCAAGATCCAGAAACACAGAACCGTCATCACAACTCCCCTGAAAAAGTCCTTCTTCACTCCCTCACAAATCAGGAACAACAGCACAACAATGGCAACCAAAGCCCCGCCGATCATCGCAACCAGAACATCCCAATGTCTCTGCAAATCGATCAGAATCGAAGTCACAGGACAAGACAAAGGCTCCGTGCTATGCCATTGCAATAACTGCAAGCAAACCTCCGGAAGCTCATTCATGCACAATCACAGATTCACGAAATCCGAGGTTAAAGTCCTCGAGGGCAAGAATCTTTTGAAAGCGTACAAGGACTCTGACACGAAGAGTGGGAATACGCTATCGCGGTACTTTTGTGGGAATTGTGTAAAGTCGCATTTTGACTCGTTTGTCTGGTTCTTCGGGTGCTGATTTTGCATGTGTAGGGATCGTCGCTTTATTTGACGAATTCTGCGATCAAGGGCTTTGTGGCTTTACACTGTGGGAATCTTGAAGGGATGAAAATGAGGCCTATAATGGAGTTGTTTCCGGAAGACAAACCGAGCTGGATTGGAAATGTCTTGGAGGAGAAGGCCAGGCTATGAGATAGCGGTCCAGTACATGATGAGCATGACGGCAGTGATAGAAGCACTTCATCGTCGAATCCGAGATCTGAGTGTCCATCACGTGCACTTGTTGGTAGACACGCTCGCGATGCGAGGCTGCGATATGGATGTAGAGTTTGATGAAGCTGATATGAGCTTGGCTTGGCACGGTCAACGTCACTTCTTCAGGCATCAAAGCATCACAGCGATCCAAGTCGGGATGACAACATGCAAGAAGTAGACAAACAGTCCGATCAAAAATCGTTCGAGGAAGAGAAAATGAAGTGGCTGGTCAATGGTATTTTGTTCCGAAGCCAAAGGTATGCATGTGGGGAGTCCCACAATGAACGGGACGAAGCAATGATCTTTTCTAGTTACACCACCAAGAATATAACGCTAACTCCAGACCACCATCTACAATCGCCGCCGATGCCCGTTCCGTATTTTGATCATGCCGACAATCTCAACTTCAGCCTGGGATGCAGTGGTCAGCAAGAAGAACAGTGATACACCCGTTCTCAGAAAGTCTTACTTACCATCATGTCATTCTTTTTCAAAGGCCGTTCACCCCTTCTTTGGAGTCTTCCACCCCAACTTCTCACATGCCGCACAATCTTGCTGCGTCTTCGGGTCCCAAATCTTGCCACCCCAGCATTTCTTGAGAGCACAACCAGCCTTGTTCTTGGTCTCCTCGGTCGCGTCTTTCGCCATCGCTCCAGAGTTTTGCCAGGCGACCATACAGGCGTCAGTTACGTCAACGCCGTTGGGTGTGTGGGCTGCGTTCTCGAAAGCAAACGCAGTTGCAGCAAGAGTGAGGAGGGCAAGGAACTTGAATTGCATCTTGACTTTATGTGTTGATTAAGGATTATTGATGTTGAATACGATAAGCGAGCGTCGTGGGATTGTGTTGCTGTACTGTTGCAATCTTTGGTGTTCTGTGGTCTCTGCTCCAGAACAGGAGGCAGTGCAGTCTGCTTATATCTTTGTGTCATTTTGATGACTCTCCTGATGTCTTGTCCTTGGAAACTTCACGAAGATGTTCGTGCTGTTGCCATACTTGTTAGCATTGACGTCTGTTTCATCAAAGAGACTCAAGTAGAGCCTGGTGGAACATCCCAGCTCGCTGTCAGGGCATTCCTTTTCGGGCAAGAGGCTCTCAGCCGATCTCAGCTCAGTGGTGCAAGGGCCTTCAGACACGAGAATCGAGGAAAGATTACACGCACTTCTCGTGAGAATGGTGACTTACTTGCTGTTATTCGTTGGCTGCAAACTTGGCCACGTTTCAAGCGACATCAGCCTCTTGCAAAGTTTCGGTAGTATCATTATACTTTGTGGAAGAGCCTCCGAGCCCTGGAAGCAGATGATGCCTGTATTGAGTCATCGAACCACGCCGGAGTCACCATCTACCATAAAAAGCTATGCCATCCATTCGGGCTGTGATTGCGACTTGTTATCACGCACAGCGCAGTGGATTACTTACGTTATACTGCCTTGCCAGCGGTTCAATTATCAATATGACTTCGTTGATTGCCTATGTTCTGCTATTCTATGGTCTAAAATACAGTGTGAAAATCCTTCTCCTGCCAAGAAGTCATGTGATAGTCATGTGACTGAGCTGACGCGTCACACTTGTTGGTAGCAGGAGCTCGATTCACCAAGTTATTGATCAGACTTCTCCAACGACAAAAGATCGACGAGTCAACTGACATTTAAGAAAGACTGCCTGCAAGTTGTCTCCGCGAAGGACTTGGAGAAGATCTATTCATCCCCTGGTAGATCATTCCAGTTGTTGTTCTGGAGTCTGACACAGTATGCTCCCACATTTGCAAACCAATCTATACCTAAACAGTGAATCAATTCACAACCACACTTGTTCTCCAGCTGATTGGTGTTGTATGTCTTGCTAGGATTCTCGCATGTCCTGTGCTGATTGATGCACTCTGAGCGCTTTGGTTCAGGTATGTTGTTTGGAACTGGAAAGGATTTCACTCCAGATCGGCGCCTGAGTTTTACATCTTGATGGATCCAATAGTTATTCTTGACCTTGTCGCGATTCTCTTCATTTTTAGCGTTGTCTTCGCACGTGTCGTAGGAGGGCACAGAAGTCGGTTTGGCGATGGCTATGGATGCTAATAAGCCGAGGATCAACTGAGTAGCCTTCATGGTGCTTTGTTGTGGCGGCGCTTTCCAGCGGGTGCTTAAGAATTTTGCTGACCGAGAGTGCTGATTGCTTTCCAGTCGGTTGTCGATGCTTATTTAATCTTCCTATTGTATATAACGGGAGGGAGGCACGCTCGAATATAACGCCTATCGAATGTAGGTCTGTACATTTGCCTAATTGGATGCCCTGGTGGATGTTTCTGGGCACGAGTTGGTGTGTTGGGAATAAGAAACCTCGTATCGATACGCCTAGACCTCTATCTAGGCGCTTCGTACAGCTATTATTAGTGCGATTCGAATATAACTTTAAGCCAAAGTACCTAGTTAGTAAGCTATTTATAAGGCAGAGTACACATACAACACTCATCCATGTTAAGGACAGAATAGCCAGTTTGCGATATTTGTCCTTAGTCTCTTCGATAAAGCCATCTTCAGGTCGCTAAACCCAATGAGTGTAAAGTAATAAGAGAGGTAGACCGTAGAAGGTGCATAGGACGGCACAGAGGCTAGCAGGATGTCATGCATTTAGTCTAGAAAAGACGGATCTCAAATTCTCGAGAGCTAGATGGGAAGCGCTTCGTTCTTATTAACGTTGCCGAGGGAATCTGTAGGCGCGGTCTTTGGTGACGAAGAAGAAAGATCCTAGGTAGTGAAGATTGGCGGGAAAGACCGCGTCTAGACCTATTCTCGACTAGGGTAAGGAGTATGCCTAACTACACCCTAGACATTACTTCATCAACCATTCATCGTTTTCAACATTCGCTACAGGTGGCGACGTGTCTGCTGAAGAATAGGCATTGACAGATTCAGACTGTTTTAGGGACACAGCGCAGCGTAAGTATGTTTATTACAGTTGCCACGCCTTCCTTTCGCCGTATCTCCAAGCATCATCCCGAACATCACCAAATTGCTCTGATAAATCGAAGTATACAGCAAGCTCACAGAAGCAGTCACAAAGCCAGAACGCCTCTATACCCCAAGATCCACTCCCAGACATCTAACAAAAAATGGCATCCAAGACCAACCCCGCTTCCCTCGAACATTCCAAACCATCCCATCCCCAACCCTACACAATCGGCTACAAAAAATCCCACATCCAAAACCACACCTGGCGAACCGCCGAAAACTCTTCCGCCTTCTTAATCCCCCATCTCCTCGCCGCCTCAAACTCCAACCCCACCCTAAAACTCCTAGACTGCGGCGCCGGACCGGGAACCATAACCGCATCGTTCAGCAAATACATGCCTTCAGGGCAAATCACAGCCACAGATCTCTCGGAAGAAGTAATGACGCAAGCCCGAGCCCACGCGGAAAGCGCAGGAGTAAAGAACATGACGTGTCAAGCGGCTTCGATCTACGAATTACCGTTCCCAGACGAAGAATTCGATATCGTGCATGCGCAACAAGTTCTCGTGCATCTCGAAAATCCTGTCAAAGCGATTCGGGAGATGGTCAGGGTTTGTAAATCTGAGGGGGGGATTGTGGCGTTGAGGGAGAGTGATATGAGGATGTGGAGTTTTTATCCTGAGACGCAGGAATTGAGCGCTTTTCACCGACTTATTCGGCGGGTTATGGAATCTTCGGGTGGAGCGCCGGATACGGGTGTTAGGCTTGTTTCTTTGGTTATGCAAGCGGGTATCGAGAGGGAAAGGATTGAGGCGAGTATGGGGACTTGGTGTTATTCGACGCCTGAGGAGAGAGCGGTTTGGGGCGGGACTTTTGTCAGTAGATTGCGAGGGGAGGATATGAGGGCTAAGGCGCAAAAGTTGGGGTATGAGGAGAGGGATTTGGAGAGTATGGCGAAGGGGTGGGAGGAGTGGATTGAGACGGAAGATGCGAATTTTGGGTGTCTGCATGGGGAGGTTATTGTGAGGAAGCCTTGAGAGGTAGTGGAGCGGCGAATTGGGTGCCAGAGATGGCAGCAGAAGGGAATTATCTCCTCCGCCACTCAATCCAACAGTACAGAAAGGGCAGGATTTGTTAGTTCCCGTAGATTCGTTCGCATTGATGTTCTGCTGACGGTGAGCATGTATTCAAAGCGAAGGGTCGAAGGAAAAAGCAATGGTTCTGCGAAACGCCATGGCCAAGCATGCCTTGCATATTGACGCATATACGGATCCTGTTCGAGTTGATGTCTGCGAACGTCAGATGAGCCGGAGGTTCAGAAACCATGCACGTTTGGAACTCTCTGATGTGTATTGTGAAACTCTTGTTACACGACGAAAGCACGCTAGAAAAGGTCTGTACATGCCAACTTCCTCTTGTTTGTCCTCTATTTATCTTTCTCCCCAACTTCATACACCCATGTCTATCGTCGGAAAATGGAACCAGGTTGCTTTGGTTGAGGGGTCTTTGGTGGGTTATATGCGATCTTGCGAGTCTTGATGGTCGACCACTTGTATCTGCGATGAGCGTATTAGTAAAGGGGCTATTCGATAGGTCGCAGATCTGGTCCTCATACCTCTTCACCCAGACGGACATAACAAAAAGAGTGGTTCCAATGGCCATAACCTTCCATCCCATGCGCTTGCGGTCGTCCATTTCTGGCTCTGCAGCCCAGTTCAAGAACTCAACAACATCCTTGGCCATTTGGGAGGCTGTCGCAGGAGTGCCGTCCTCATACTCGACAAGACCATCGTAAAGGACACGAGCCATTGCAATGCCGGTACCGGGGAAGTATGGGTTGAAGTTCAAGCCAGACTGTACGACTGCACCAGCCGGTGGCTCTTCAGGATATCCCGTGAGGAGAGAGAAAATGTAGTTGCATCCACCGTGACGACCCTTGACAATCAGTGAAAGATCTGGTGGCAGAGCACCATTGTTGGCGGCACGACCGGCCTCATCGTTTTTGTATGGGGATGGAATGTAGTCGGAGAGCTTTCCCGGTCGCATTTCGATCTCACCCTCATCATTCGGCTCGCCTGGGTACTCGTTCTCCTCGGCCATCACCTTGGCCTCATCCACAGTCATGATGTTTCCGACAAGCTTTCGGTACGGAATTCGGCTGAGAGAATGGCAGGAGGCGCAGACTTCGCGGTAGACCTGGAAACCTCGGCGAAGTGCGGCGTGGTCGAATGTCTTGATGAGCTTCTCGTGTTCCCAAGGGTACTGTGTTGCGTGAAGACTGTGCGGGATGCCCTGTCAGTTCCGATGCCTCAATGCGCCACCTCATAACCATTTCTTACCCTTCTTCGGCCGGTGTCATGGCGTGTGCCGGACGGCCGAATTGATAGTAGTACCATGCCACGGAACCAACACCGAGTGCTGTAGACGATGCGAGGAGGGTGTTGTTTACCCACTGCGAGCCGGCGGATTCGGAAGAGCTTTGCGAGGAGGCATTGCGCTGTGAGGAGATGTCCGTCAGCCCTCATATCTCTCGTATGTATACCGTATATCCCTCGCCACGATATGTCGATGTCGTTTTCCGCTGTCGCGTCGCCCGGGTGCTGGTGTCGGCGTCAACATACCGTGGCAGTCTTGGTGGCAGCGTTCTTGCCAGCGCCCACCGCGCGGCCTGCGCGAAGTGCTGACCGGCTCAGCATGATTCTAGCAGCAGCCTCAGCACTTGAGGCTCGCTACGAGATGTCGGATGGAGGATTGGAGCACTGTGGTGTCGTTATTCGTCGTTGTCGCTGCGTCCTGATGTCTCCGATGAACAGCTCCTTCCACAAAAACGAACACGGGCTGGTCCGCATGATTCAGCTCCACATGATTGGTCAACTGATATCCGCTCTTTGCTGGAGCGAATTGCAGGGAAGATACGTAGCGCATCTCTGACTTCACCATTTTCCACTATGTATTCATCCTGTGCAAGTGTCGGAAATGCTCTCACTATTTCTTGCTGCCAGACTCAAGCGAGGAAACACGTCGATGGAAGCGGAGACGCGTATGGCAAAGAGATGGACATCGAAGACAGGGCCGTGCTGGACAAGAAATGGTCGTGAAACGTCTACTTCGCATACATATCGCTTCTCAAAAGATGCGAATGAAGCATTTCGCGGGAACATTGTCAAACACTGCGATGATTGAGATTGCCATTAAACCCTCGCATAAATGCTATCAAACTCTTCATCGGCAATCTTCATCACATCTTGCCCATAAATCATCTTCTGCACATCGGCATCAGCCCATTTGTCAGGTACCGGCCCCTTACCCGCCTTCAAAGCTGCGAATTGCTTATCTCTTTCCTCCTTCGCAGCACCTTCGCCCAAATGCAAAGCTCGTCCAGAAGCCGCAGCCAGCTCCACGAGCTTATATGCTCGATCGCGTCTCACCTCTTCGTAGACCTTCAAAGCTTTATGAATCGCCTGGGGATCCGTCGATGGCAACTTCGAAAGCACGACCGACAGCACTGCTCCGTCCTCGATCGCCTGTGCAGCACCCTGAGCAAGATGGGGAAGAGTCGGATGACAAGCGTCTCCGACCAAAGCAGTCTGATTCTCCACCCACGTCGGGAGCGGTTCGTGAACACGTAATTTCCATTCGCAGACCTCTCCGTCCGGCACAAGATCCAGCATCTTACGAATCTTGGGGCAGAAATCTGAGAATACTTTCATCATCTCCGGTTTGCTTCCTTTCGTGGTATAGGTGGCTGATGGCGCAGAAGCAAAATGGGTATCTGGTTGTACGGTCGACATGTTGTAGATCTGGTTTGACGAAACCGGGTAGGCGATGATGTGACGCTTCTCTCCTATCCATCTCGTCACAGCTTCTGAGTCAAGGAGTTCGAGGAGTTCCGGGTCGTTTTTCATTTGGTCTCGAGTGAGCATGATTCTGTATGCTGCTTGGCCGGTATCGATGATCTTGGCGTCGATTTTCTTGAGGCGGAGTAATTGGTCCCGAATTGTTGATTTGACGCCATCTGAAGCCAACAAGATATCGCATTGGATCTCATACGGTTCTCCTTCTCGTGGAATGGCAGTAAAAGTAGGGTTTGGGCCGTACGACTTCACTTCCCCTGCCGCAGTCTTGAAGATGAACTTGATGGCCTTCTCTCGCTTGCAGCCTTCGTACATTGATCCCGCAAGTGATGATCGATGACCGACCATATGTGGGTATGTGTAAGCTGATCGCACGTATGTGAGGTCGACATGGCCAAGTTCCTGGTCCGTTGAGCCCTGGCGAATGCTGGTCTCTTTGAGGTCTACTGCTTCCTTTTCGATATCCGCCCATACGCCCAGTCTGTCCAGTATTCGGGCCATGTTGGGCGCAAGCTGAATTCCTGCACCGACGAAGCCGAGATTCGAAGCTGTCTCGTAAACTTCGATTCGTTTGAAGCCTTTCTTTGCTAATGCGAGCGCGGTGGCCAGGCCGCCCATTCCTGGTGTTCGTGAGCATTTGGAGAATGTGCAGTACTTTCTTTACGACCCACCTGCTCCGATGATACATATGTGAAGGTCTAGAACATCTTTGACTGCCATCTTGGCGTTGCTGTACTGTGTTGTGTGCTGTTTGGGTATAAAAACTCGTAGAATATGGGGGCTGTGACCTACACGAGAGACACTCTTATGTATACTACCACAAAGGCTCAAGTACCGTCTTGTCAGGGGACCGAATTCCGTGAATGTGTTGTTCGGCAAAAGTGGTCGGAACCCTTTCTCCACCTTGATTGAGTAGACCAAGTCGCAACCAGAGTCCTTGTTCAAACAGTTGGTCGTGCCCAGTCTTACGAAGACCACGCATCCCGACTTCGCTGCGCCGAACGGCCGAAATCATGTCGGATTTGGACGTGATGGTGCGCGCGAGTTTGGTTGCAAGAGGACCGAAGACGAAGGGGGTCGGATCTCGGCCAACGGCGGCGGCATTTGAAGATTGAAGATTACTTAGCAGAGAGCTGCACGCGTAGCGATGGTGTTCAGTGGAGGTCTTCTGCTTTTCGACGAACAGAGTGTTCGCAAAGACGTCCGAAAGACTCAAGAGGCTCCGTGAAGGCGAATGCTCCCTTCCGTTGGCTCCCGGCATCGTGCTGCGCGCGGGCAGCTGTGATGTCAGAGCAGAGCAGAGCATCATTACCTACACGTACCTCTCGTGTGCTTTCCTCGCGACTATGATTGACTCTGCAGTGAATAGTCCTCTGGGTATTGCAAGCTCCTATTGACAATGCAGTGTTTACGGCGGCGTGCTCTGACCAGAGTTACGCCTCAATGGCTGACAGCCAGCGCAAACTCCTTCCCGAACCCGCGACGATTCCTCTCGATCGAAGAACTGAACGACCAACGACAAGGAAAAGAGCGGGTGGTAATTCTTGGATCAGGATGGGCAGGCTTCACCCTTTCAAGAGCGTTGGACCCCAAGAAATATCAGATCGTGATCGTCAGCCCGAGATCGTACTTCGTCTTTACTCCTCTGCTGGCAGGAACGTCTGTTGGCACTCTTGAATTTCGAACAACATTAGAGCCGGTAAGATCGTTTCGTGGGAGAGGCGTAGGTGCAGAATACTTTCAAGCATGGGCGGACAAGGTGGATTTTGAGAGCAAGACTTTGGCGGTGGAAGAGGCGGTCGAAGATGATGTGCCCTCGCGAGCACTCACGCCGGGCCTAAAGGAGGAGAATCCGACGCAGCAGAAGAGCGCAGCAAAGAAGGGGGAGCTGTTTGAGATGGGATACGACAAGCTCATCATATCAGTTGGCTGTTATGCTCAGACATTCAACACGCCAGGCGTCAGAGAGAATGCATATTTCTTGAAAGATGTTGGGGATGCGCGACGGATCCGTAATCGCTTGCTTTCTTGCTTCGAGATTGCAGCTCTGCCGACCACATCGGTGGAAACCAAGAAGATGCTCTTGAATTTTGCAGTAGTTGGAGGCGGACCGACGGGAATTGAGTGGTCTGCGGAGCTCTATGATATGGTCTACGAGGATATCAAACGGCTTTACCCAGAGCTGGTCCAGTACGTGAAGATCACGGTGTACGATGTGGCGCCGACTGTTCTCGGCATGTTCGACAAGCGCTTGTCTGACTATGCCATGAAGACTTTTGGTCGCCAGGGCATTGACATCAAGACGAGTCACCACATCCAAGAGCTTCGCCTAGATGTGCCAGAAGGCAAGCAGCCGCCGCCAGGAGTGAGAGATGGAGGCTCGCTGTACACTTTGAAGATCGAAGAAGAGGGAGAAATCGGGTGTGGTATGGTTGTATGGAGTACCGGCTTGATGATGAATCCATTCGTCGAGAGCGCTTTGAAAGGAAAGGTCAAGCAGCATGAGAAGAGTCACGGAATTCTCACCAATGAGCGGCTGCAAGTGAAAGACGCGACTGATAAGCCGATTCCAGACGTGTATGCTTTGGGTGACTGCGCCATACTCGAAGGCACCTCGTACCCAGCCACGGCACAAGTAGCATCGCAGAAGGCATACTGGCTTGCCAAGCGACTGAACAAGGGTGACATCGAGCAGAACAAGTTCAATTATCGAAACCTGGGCGTTATGGCGTACATTGGCAACCGAAAAGCAATTTTGCAGAGCGGAGGCGGCGACATTTCTGGACGCATTGCTTGGATGATCTGGAGAGGTGCATACCTCACAAAGACTGTGAGCTGGAGAAACAGGATTTTGATTCCCATATACTGGACCATCAATTGGATCTTTGGACGGGACATCAGCAGGTTTTAAGAGATACAGAGCCATTTTTGCCATCTGCCCTCAGCGACTGGCCATCCAAATGATGATTTCTTTCACAACGTCGAAATTGGCTGAGGCCCTGGGCTCGTCATACAACCTGAGACAATGGCTTCGTATCCTACTTGGGTTGTCTCCACCTACCCGTCTCTTTGTCTTCGTCTGCATCCCCAGTGGCAGTTATTGTGCCTTGCGCACTGCTCGCGTGGCTCAAGAACCCCGGATGCGGACATCTCTATCATACGACAAAGAATACGCGACATGTCGTGGAATTTTGCGAGACCAATTCTAACATACTGCCTGAAAATCCCACCCAACATCAAGCTAGGCAGTCGAAAATGGAGGACATTGGGCAAAGCGCCAACCCGAAAGATCTGCTGTCAAATTCGGAGCTGATCAGGCTTGCACTCCAAGAGGGTCGCGATCCGCGAGAAGAAGATCTCAAAGTCTGGGACAGAAAAGAGAACTGCACTTCCGATGTATGCTGGACTTGTCAGCTCCAGTTCCCAGACCGGAAGCAGCAAGGGTTGATCAATCCTCATTATAATTACTCGAACATCGTTAACGAGGAAGAGGCGGCATCCAAACTTCGCCCCACCACCGAAGCACTCCTGAACAACTGGAACGAGTTGTCTGTTCTTCGGAAGAAATGGGGCAATGCAATTCTCAAGCGGTGGACACGCTGGGACAAGACTCGGCGTCACAACACTCTGCGTGAAGCATCCCCAAAAATTGCCAGCCACCGATGGGCACATGTCGATCATTGGTTTAATGCATCGTGGGGTCAATGTCCGGACCCAGAAGCTCGCAACTCTCCGGCTGTGCGGCAGGCCATGCTCCTTCCGTGGCTCAACCTTCGGGACCTTGGAGACGACAACACGAACTTGCTAGCGCTTATACATCACCGTGTCCTCGACAAGCCTGAGGAATGGATCGTCTTTGATACTGAGCAGATACGCTTTGGACGAGATAGCGGCTTGCTCGAGACCGAATTCAGTCCCTTGTGCGTCTCAGTCTGCCATGTCGATTACGGCAGATCTCGCCCGTTCAAAATTGATGAGCTCCATCGCGGCAACATTTATGGGTATCCGATTGCCGCGCTGGTTTTCGAGGCCCAAGCTCTTTTGTATACCTTTCTGCGAAACGTAGTCGAAATTATCGTGCGTCCCCAAGGTGCTTTAGAGGGCGCCGACAAATGGGACGAGGCGGCCAGTAAATCGTTCCCTGGCTCCAGCTCTGCTCTTGAGGGACCTTCACGGCCTGCGCAGTTTTCCAAATCGCCGACATGGAGTACGGAAGAATCCTTAGCTATCGCGCACCGAGGCATGGAAGATGCTGAGGCCGAATTACTCCAATTTCAGACCGACCCAATACATGCTCAGACGGAAGTCGATGAGATGATTCAATCGAAATTCTGGCAAGATCTGCAAAGCGATGAGCTGACCAAATGGGATACTGCAGCTCTGGCGGTCTTCGAGCCTGCGCTACGCCGCGCTGTAATGTGAGTCGATCAAGCCCGAGGAAATGCCTTCAGCCAGATGTGGAAGACCAAGACAGTATTCTCTGAAGTGGCAGCATTGCCTCACAACTCTGATCAGGAGTGGTCAGTCTTCAGAACATTGCTAATTTCTACGCTCGTCGCTTTTAGGTGGGACGCCATAGGAGTACACATCCAGATTATTCAGCATTTCGAGGAGCGTAGGTTATTCCCTGCACTCGTCGAGGAATCCTTGCAGGCTTTGTCAGTCTATCTCGAAAAATGTGCCCCCATGGTCGTTCAGTTGGACATCAACAGAGTTCTGTCCACAAGTCTCGCCTTTGAGGCAAGATTTGCTCAGCGCATCTCGAAGGGAGACGGGAGGCCTCCCACGTACAAAGACCGGATGAATCTCCTCAACAAGTACCGAGAGGCTAACTGTATGAAAAAGTCGGATTGGGACAAGGATAAACTCTTCTGGGCCGTCTCTCAATTATGTCGATGGGAGCAACCACTGTCGCCGCTAATGCGAGCAGCAAGTGAGTACCTCATTGAGTCAACATTCGGCGCAGACATTGTTCCTGAACTGGATGACACTCCTCTCTTGAGAGTTGCGGAAACATTGGAAGCTCTGCAGAAGCTCAGAGTCATGCTTTTGGGCCGTCGCCCTGGTTTTCATCAAGAGAGAACATTATATAATCGCATGCGTTTCTCTGAAAAGCCGCATCATGTCATGACGACTATGATGGCGAGAGATTCTCACTACACGAGTGGCTGCCCAGCCTTCAACAGTCTGTCGGAAGATTACGGTCAATGGAGTGAAGGCCATTCAAATCAGATCAAGGATGCACTTGGCAAATTTGCAGCTTTAAAATATCCCGGTAGTCGTGCCAAGCTTTCGGAGCCTGCCCTGGAGAAGGCCATTGAGTGTCGAAAGGCTATGAAGAAGTTCTGGGAAGTGGTACGCGAAGCACAAATCGATCGTTTGCTTGCCACGAACACGGCCGTCTCGCCTGAGGAAGTCGAGTCAAGCAAAGAAGTCTCGATTCTGCAGCTGTACAAACAGGCCGACGAGGAGATAGACAAGCTACAGCATCGACTCGATATGACCCGAGCGAACAAAGCCTCCGCCGCAGCCGCGCGCGGTGCTAAGCGTGATGCTGCCGCTGCGGAGGTGACAGAGATCGAGAAGCAAGGCCGGTTTCCCAACTCGGACCTGCCGTCGCCACCAAAGCGGCGAAACACGAAGAAAGATAAAAAGGCAATGAAAGGTGCGAAGAAGGTCAACGCGGGTATCCTGCAGAATGAGCTGCCCGAGCCTCCTGCTCTCGAAGCAGATGAAGACGACGATGCGCCAGAAGAAGCACCACAGACCGAGCCCGAAGCAATCCCCGTTGGCAAGGATAGTTATAAAGTGTTTGCAAAGCTCTGGCCGTTTCAAAGCATGACGCATGATGGCGGATCTTGCACTTTTCGAGATGTTCGTGCGGCTATGGAAGATGCTGGAATGGATGTCGTCAAAGTCGATGGCTCGCATTTCCATTTGAAAGGCGAGCGTGGTGAAGTCACTCTCGTGGCTCCGCATGGCCAAGATTCCATTTCCAAGGCGTTGGTTCGATGGAGGCGCATTCGGTATGGACAGATACTGCGAAGATGTCTGGGTTGGACTTTTGAGTCGTTTGTGGAGGTGAAGAGGTGATTCCAAGGGCTCTTTGAAGGAGGGGAGTAGTCGTGTTAGAGGATGAGGAATTACTACGTGTATAGTAGCTTAAACATTGAATTTATTAGCGGGCAACAGGTGAATGAAGTGAACCTGACCGCGGTAAACTTGCCTCATTTGGGCAGTTGTCGCCAAGCCCGAGAGAGGACTTCTGCATTACTAGCCGTCTCATTTGTGATCCACCAAACGGCAACACCATCACTGATCTTCAGAGAGGACATCAGCCTGATGCAGCGGCAACAAAGCTGAACGCTTTTGGGGGGGATTCTCTTCGATGGATCGGCCGAGGAAGTCGGAATGCTACCAGGTGTTGTTCCTCCAAAGCAATCTGACCATGGATCACCACATGCTCATCACGGCCAGTCACCTGCACCGCAACGCGTTCAAGATGCTGAGCTTCTTCCTCATCGCAGCTGTCTGGTCGTTCCTCGCCTTCGCCTTCGCCTTCACTTGCGCCAGCCCGACAGATGCCCGGTGGAAGTGGAGAAAACCGCTCCGATTCACCCAGGAAGGCACTTTCCAGATCGCCGTATTCGCCGACCTGCATTTCGGCGAGAGTATGTACCTCCTCCAGACATGCTTGCGTGGACGTCGAGCTGAGCTGACCTGACGCGGATGCTTGGGACCCTTGGGGGCCGGAGCAAGATGCCAACTCGGTCGTCGCCATGAATCGCGTGCTTGATGCCGAAGACCAGCAACTGGTGGTGCTGAATGGGGACTTGATCACCGGGGAGAATGCCTACCGGTTCAACAGCACGGCAACGATTGATCAGATCGTGGGCCCCATCGTCAGAAGAGGACTGCCTTTTGCGACCACCTACGGCAATCACGACAGCCAATACAATCTTTCACGTGATGCAATCTTCGCCCACGAGCATCGCTACCGGAACTCCAGGACGAATCCGATGATTCGAGGTGGCAACGCTGGTGTGACTAATTACTACCTTCCAGTCTATCCTTCGCACGGCGGGCGAGAACCTTGCCTGATTCTTTGGTTTTTCGATTCCCGAGGCGGCCTCTACTTCCAAGAGCAAGATGAAAATGGCGATGGAGTGGGCCAACCGGACTGGGTCGACCAGAGCGTGGTGGAGTGGTTCCAGGAATCCAATGCTTTACTCACTCGGCGATATCAACGGACGATACCATCGCTCGCATTCGTTCACATCCCGACCAACGCAAGTGCGGCACTGCAAACTGAAGTTGGAGTCGACCCAAACACCGAGCCTGGCGTCAATGACGACTACCCGTTGGCGTCGCAAGCACAGGGCTGGTGTCCGAACGGCACGGATTCTGGCTGTGATTACGGAGGGCAAGACACTCCGTTTATGCAAGCCATAACTACAACACCTGGCCTAATGGCTCTCTTTTCTGGTCACGATCATGGTAACACCTGGTGCTACAAGTGGGATCAACTTGTGCCTGGCATGGTGGTGGCAGGCAATGGCCTCAGTGAGTGTACGAGCTGTATTGTGATAGACCTTGGACTGATCGTTTCAGATCTGTGCTTCAATCAGCATTCAGGATACGGTGGCTACGGCACTTGGACGAGGGGTGCCAGAGAGATTCTCATCACAGCAGGAAAGCTCGCGAATTGCGAAATCGATACCTGGATTCGTCTAGAAACGGGCGAAGTCGTCGGATCTGTCACATTGAATTCGACATATGGCAGGGACTTCTACCCAGCTACTCCAAACGCCAATAGCAGCTGTCCGACTTGCAATTACACTATCGTAACGCCCATGGCAGGCTCCGAGGACGATATGCCTCAGAATAGGGCAAAGTCCGTTTTGGGTATGCGAAATGCGATCTGGAATAAGATTGAGCAGTGGATTGAGATATGCAGAAAAGCTGGAAGACGTCCATCGCACGCGGGACTCAGGTAGCCACTGCTGTGAGGTATTCGACGCTGACACGTATGGCTGGTCCCGTTGAACAATCCATGTGCATTGGATACGACCATCAAAGTCTACCCGAGAAATTACCATCGACGATGTCAGCCCATCCACCCAACCGCCTTCATCAGCACTCGTTTCTGGTCGTACTTCTTCCCATCAGCGTCGCCAGCGAGCATCACAGCGGGCCGGGTGAGCATGAAAATCTCCTTTCCACGCATTGCCAACGGGTCGGCCTGCAACACTTTTCTGTGTTGCGAATGAGCTTCCAAGGTGCTTGAATTGGCATGGTAAATGATCTTTTCCTCCTCGGTCAGCAAGGGCCAGCCAGCCATCTCGACACGACTCTTGCGAGTCAGTAGGCTCCACGAAAGCTTTGCGGCCTCTCTCATCAGCATCATCAGATCATGCTCTGCCTCCCAAAGCGCTTTTTCCAAAACGAGATATTTGACAATGCTTCGCGACATTTGGCTTGCTGCCAACTCGGCACTATGATTCCGGCTTGCCTGGGCCATTGTTTTCAGAGAATTGATCCCTGGAGTTGCCCTGTGTCCTGGAGGGTCCAGCAGTCGCAACAGCTGACACCTCCAAGCCTCTGCGTCTTCGGAACTTCCTGCATCATGCTGTCAGTAGGCACTCCAGACTGTCCTTCGCATCTACATCTACTTACCCCGACGGATCAATTCGCAAATCGACTGCGCGGCATCACCATCGGCATGTTGCAACAATTCGTGCTGCTGGCCACACGTTCCGGCAAATGCAAAGAACGGACTGCAGAAGACGGTGCCAAACACTTCAAAAGACACTATGGTCGAGAGCATCAGAGCAGATGCTCGTCCCGGTTGGCGAAGGTCCTCATTTGCGACGATTGCCTCTTCCAATTTCCCGAGAGACCCAATACAGCCGCTTCGTTTCAGATGCGTCTCAACCCGCCCGAAGCGCTCGTGCTCCAGGAGTATTTCGAGAGGTAGCAAGGAAAACCGCTCAGCCCAGTCCTCAATGTCCAGCATGAGATCTTTCATCTGTCTCTGGATATTCTCCGCCGAATCCGGTGCCCAATATGCCGCTTCTAGGGATTTCATCGCACTGGCCTGCAGGTCTCGGATCGCTTCTTGCTGTGACTGCACTCGGGTTTCGTACTCAACAATCTGGGTATCGCGAGCGGCCACGGTATCCTCCAGTCGTACAGCAAGATTGTGCAGCTTCCCGATCTCTGTGTCACGCTTGCGGATGACCTCGTTCTTGCGTGCCATCTCGGCCTCATGCTGCTTCTGCAATGTGGCCATGCGACTCTCGGTCAACGACGCTTGCTCTCTGCGCTCTTGCTGGAGCCTATCATGGCATTGCTCGCGCAGGTATTGAGTCTCCTGTCGCACGCGGCCATCAAACTCCTGCCTCAAGTTGGTGTTTTCTTGCTGCAAATGCCTTATGCCATTTTCGTAATTCATGATGCCTTGATAGAGGCGTTGATCATCAGCGAACAACTGGTCGATGGCGGGCTCTTGAGCATTCGCATCAAAGTGATTACGCACCCAAGCTATCAGATCCGTCAGCCACCCAAACGATGCTGTTACTGCAGATTGCAGCTGGAAGCGAGACGCAGCTTTCTTGTGGCGTCCTATTATTACGGACTGAGACTCTGGACACCTCGTTCCTATGCTCGGCTCGGCTGTGAAGATCCCAAAGGTAGAGTGTGATGCAGACGACGAAAGGGGCACTGCGGCGTGGCTGTTGACCTGAGTCGAACAGGTTGTTTGCGGAGCATCCGTCATCGCTATGTCTCGCTTATGGAAGTTCGATATGACTGGCTTGCTGCTATTCCGACTGTCCGTGATGAGTCTGAGAAGGCTTCGCTGATAGCGCTAATCTGAAGGCTGTAGAATACTGTAAGTGCTTGCTCTTGACTTTGGATCTACGGGATCTCACGGTTCTGGATTAAATACAGTTCCCACAACGGATGCTTCCAGTCGCGCTTTGTCTTGCCGAAGCTCTTTCTGAGACCATGCGGCTCACTGCATGTCGGAGTCGTCATTTATATCTTGCTGAGACACAAACGACAGAACTTCGGATACACGCACGGAGTGTACTAGCCTGTTCTACCGCATTGCTTTTACGGAATGAGTCGCTTTCGGCAAGCCCCACGGTGCATCAGTTGGTCAGGTTTTGATCCTCTTGCGTGAATCTTAGCCCACGCCAGAAATATGCACAACACGGGATGGTCTCAATCGGAGTCTCAGATCGGAATCATACATCGCAGCGGATCCGGACAGATGCGAACTGCTACTAGCGTGCGAAATCTCAGTAAACATGGCATAGCAAAGCAGCCTCACAATCGCTGTGTCCGAATGAGGAATGTGATAAGACACGGAGCTCTGATCGGGAAGAGAGTCTCTAGCAAATATAATTGGCAAGCTTGCGGTATGGGTTCGTCTTTGTTGCCTCTCAATCTCGTTGTGTTCTGAGATACCGGTCTACCAGTTATCAGAAGCGATCAAATGCCTCCAACGGAGAATCCACCGCCATATTCAGCAATGAACCGTCAGCACACCCAAGGTACAAACGAGCGACGCGACAATGAGAGATACCGCTTGGTCGTGGGTATCGACTTTGGCACAACGTACAGTGGTGTCAGTTTTGTCGGTACAGAAGGTCGTCATGTAAAGATTCTGGAAGATGTGCTGTGTGTTCGAGAATGGTAAGATTTCCTCCTGACAAAATCCTGCTCTGTTAACAATGATAGGCCTGGACCAGGTAGGCAAGGCGACTACTCGTGGAAAACACCATCCCGCCTTGCATACGGCTACGAGAACCCTTCCGAAGACAGCGAGCATGATGATAACGACGATGCTCTTGATAACTGTTACGGCTTCGAAGTTACTCCCAACATGAAATCCTACTCATGGATGAAGCTTTTACTGGATCCGCTGCAGCACTCCAAATACGATGATCCTGCCTTGTCACAATTCGTGGGCAACGGTGTACTCACCCTTCCACCAAACAGGAAGCCAGTTGATCTGTGCGCGGACTATTTGACTGAAATTGCCAGATTCGCATACAGAGAGATGGTCAAAAAGCTTGGCGAAGAGATTGTTAAGCAGACTCCCATGGACTTCTGGATCACCGTGCCAGCGGTCTGGAGTGACAAGGCTAAGAGCGACACGCTTCGTGCTGTGCGCAAAGCCGCACAACAAGCAAAGGTGCAATTACACTACGATAGCCAATGCTTCCTCATTTGCGAGCCAGAAGCAGCTGCAGTAGCAGCGATATCTTCACTTGCACAAGGCGACTCCCAGACTCAGGTCAAGGCGGGAGACGTGATTCTCGTTTGCGATTGTGGTGGAGGCACTGTCGATGTCACGACCTACGAGCTTGCGGCTCTCACTCCAAAGCTACAGTTTCACGAGCTTCAGACTGGAACTGGTAAGGCGGACATTGTTCTCTCATGTGGTTCCGCACTGACAATCATGCAGGTGGCAAATGTGGCTCGACCTGGATCGATCGAAATTTCATGATTTGGATGGAACAGAAGTTCGGCACAGCTTACACGGACCTCAGCCTGGAAACAAGAGGCCCGACCAGTCGCTTCATGAAGGACTTCGAGGGCTTCAAACGTGATTTTGGCAAGTCGTCCAATCCGACAAAGCGGTACAAGCTGCCTCTCAGTCTTCCCGGTGTTCCACGCTCCAAACATTACGATGATACGAACTCCTATGTCATACTCTACAAGTCAGTTGAACCTTTGCTCGATTTTTGTAATGAATGTACTGACGTTTTCCGCAGTGAGGACCTGAAGTCGATGTTCGATCCTGTGGTCGCGCAGATCTTCGATTTGCTCGAACAACAATGCAGCATCGCCACAAAGCAGCCGCAGAGCAAGCCCATTGATGTAGGTACCGCAGAGAACTTCTTCGAATCTGCTAAACTAATCTGCACTCCAGTTGCTACTGCTTGTGGGCGGGTTTGGCGAGTCGTTCTTCCTCAACGATCAGCTGAGAGCATGGTGCCAACAGCACGGAACGAGACTCATCTGCCCAGAGCACGCGTGAGCAAACATGAAATCTCCAGCTGGCCACCAATGTTCGCTAACTTCAAATAGTCAATCCGCAATCGTCCGTGGGGCAGCACTCAGTGGCTTGCATGAAATTCAGCCCGTTTCTCGACGTTCTCGTCGACACTATGGCTTTGAACTGTGCGAGGCATTCGACCGACGCCGTCACAAGGCCGAAAATGCTTATGTGGACGATTGGGACGGCCGTAAGATGGCATCTGGCAACATGCACTGGAAGCTCAACAAGGTACGACAACGCCTCGCTGCCAGAGCCTGAACTACTGACCCAAGCATTGCATTGTATAGGGAGACATGGTGGACGAGACCACGAGCATTGAGTTCAGTTTCGTGAGCCAAGTCCGACATCACCAACCCGGCAAAATCGCTGTCTATGCTTGTGATCTTGACGAAGCTCCCGATCACGTTCGAGACCAAGGTAAAGCCATCGGTGATCGCCATCCCCACACAAGAGCTGACCCGTGATACAGGAGTGTACAAACTCGCTGATGTCCGTGTCGCCTTTGAGGAGCTCGACCTCAGCCAAGAGCCTACCAGAATCGTCAACGGAGTTGTATTGAACCAGATTGAGACGGACTACTCCATCCATTTTGGTCATCGTCGTGGAGTCCTTGACTTCACGTGCTCTTCCAAGGGCCGCAAGATCGGAGACACGACCGTTCTATTCGATGGCCAGAACTTTCAGGATGCTGCAGAAGGTGCAGGTGCAGGTGCTGCGAGTGGCGATGTTCATGCTCCACACTGCGCGATGCAGTGATCCAGATCCAGCCGTGCAATGCTCGCCCGTCTCGATCGAGCATCGAGCATCGAGCATCGAATGCCCTGCACGAGGCGCGACAATGTCTGGAGCGTGGCGAGCCTCAAGACCGGGCGCGAGAATGGCTGCGGAGTGGCAGCTCCATACTGGCCATGTATATGGAGCTCTTGTCTCTTGGCCTGAGAAGCAAGTGACCAGGCCACACAGAGCGCGCTCGTGGCTCTGCTGGTCCGTGGGGAATGAGGCAACCACGTCAACTTCAGCATCAGATACTGTACAATAATCTATCGGAAGGGATTGGTCTTACAAATTCTCTAATTGCTCTCCACCCCATTCGAAGGCATCACAGGTCCCACATCCACCGTAGCAGACTGCACAGGTCCCACACCCACCGTAGCAGACTGCACAGCACCCGGCTGCAGTCCATCATCACGATCACCAGCACCCACCTCCTCACCCCCAATCCCCGCCTCCTTCTCCACCTGCTTCTTCAAAGCCTCCGCCTCCTCCTTAGCCTTCTTCCTATCCTCCTCAACCTTCTTCCTCGCATCCTCCGCAGCCTTCACCTGCTCCCGATACTTCCCCCTAGCCTCCGTAAGCTCATTCGTAGCATCAGAGATCACCCGTCTCTCCCACTGCTCCTGCGGCTGCATAACCAAACTCTTCAGACCCGTAACATGATCCATGATACGTCGCAAATCCGGCACGAACGCGGGATTCGAAACCCTCCCGCTCCCATCATTTTGGAAGCCAGATTCCAATAAATCTTTTTCTCCGGCGAAGATGGCTTCGTGCGCGGATTTCAAGAGGTTTTTGTTCGCTTCGGCGAGCGCGGAGTCGAGGGGTGAAGCTTTCTCTTCCAGTTTGTTGATTTCTTCTTCGAGGAGTTTTAGGTCGGTGTTGCGAGATTCGTCGTCGAGGAGGGTGTTGAGGTCGGTTCTTTGCTGTTCGATTTCTTCTTTGAGGTTCACGGCTAAGCGGTCGCCGTAGTCTTTGAGTTTTTGCTCGAGTTTGGTGATGAGTTCTTTGCCTTTCAGGCGTGCGTTTGCGAGTTGTTCTTTCCTCTGCTGTCTTTGCTGTCGTTGCTCGTTCCAGAAGTCTTTGGCTTCTTGCGGGTAGGAGGTGGATTTTACGGGGACTTCCCAGTCGTCGAGATGTTGTTCGGCTCGTTCGAGCCAGTAGTTCATGCGTGCTTCGCGGTCGGGAACGCCTGCGAAGTGGACGAGGAGGTCTCCGCGGCGGATTTGGAATGGTGCGAGGGTTTCGTTGTGCTCGCCTTGGTAGGCGTTGAACCAGCGCTGGGGTGCTTGGACGACATGGGGAGCGAATGCTGGTTCGTGCATAAGAGCGTCCATGGCAGACTGATCACGGAAGACAAGCGGCTCTTTGGGGCGATAGTGTCGCCACGAGACAATCGCTGCAAAGAGGTTGACTGCCCACTGATTGACGCGGATCGGGAAGACGCCATTGTTGAGCCCGTTCCAGTCATTGGAGTAGACAAGGTAAATGTCTTCAAATTCACTTCCTGGAGGTGGAAGAAAGACATCCAGCGGGATGTACGGGTTCAGCAAGACCGTGTCTGCATCGATCCAGAACAGCCAGTCCAGTCTCTCGCTCTCTGGTTTGCCCAATTCTCGCAGCAGAAGACTCAGAATGTACGCAGGCTTCGACCAGACATCGTCCATTAGTTCCTGACGAAGAACATGAAGTCGGTATCCGTGTTCCCTGTCGTGCCTTTCGTGTGTCCGAATCGCTCGCTCCCAGTAGCTGTTACCATGGAAGAGGATGGTACACTTTCCAATACGAGTCCTCGCACCAAGCTTCTCGTGCTCAGCAAGCCCTTCTCTGACATCCTCGCCACCAAGTACTGCCGTTGTAGCATTGTGGCTCTTGTGCTTGGCTTTCTTGGTAGCATTCGCCGCAGCACCATGTGACCCTTTGACAAAGTACGGATTCCAGGACTGTATTTTGTCCTTCACGGCGTCATGCAGTTCTGATAATGCACCTGTCACAGAAGGTTTCTTGCCATTTTCAATGTAGTCCTCCAGCTCCGCTTCCTCCTCGAGCTCCACGTCTCCAAGAATTCCTGGCTGTTTTGAGCTCGCAGCCGGATGCGTGCCAAACCCATCAGGATTGTTGAGCACACCTCCAGATGCCATATCGTATGCCGAGTCTAGATCGGCTAGATCGCTATCTGTTGGTCCTAGTGTCGATGTCAACATCCATCCCATTAGAATGCATCCAACCCCGATGAGCATGACTTTGAGTCTTCCATTCGAAAAGAGCGCGGACCTCGGCCGGTTTTGTCGAATCCATTGCGGTAATGCATTCGGCGAGAGTGGCGTTAGTGGTGAAGTCGGCGATGAATCTCGATATGGTGGTTCTCTTGGCGGACTTTGAGAGGTCATGGCGGCGATGTTGAATGCGGTCCTCTCAGATCGTCCGCAAAGTGCTAATGAAGCTGTCAGTATCAGCTGGGTGGCAATACGTGTTTACATACCAAGACGCGAAGTCGACGCCTCACAAGGTGTTGGCGCAAGGCATGCAGCCCTGGCACGACCACTTGTCAAGCAAGGGATGAGCCAAGTTCTAGATCTGGGAATTTTGCTTCCGAACGTGGCTATGAGTATCTCAAAAGCACAGAAAGGAGCAAAACATGCAGCAGGCATACATCAGCTGAGTGTAGATTTGGGCCGTTCGAAGCAGTTGTGGTAGCTTGGGAGACTGTGATGCAAATGAAGAGTTGTCATTTGCGAAGCTACTTACAAGAAAAGAGCAGACGTACTGCTATTGTGCCATCGTTGACGATCTCTTCGTAAGCAGGTACGACCAGATCGGCTGGCAAAGGCGTTCTTTGTCAAGGTGACAACCAACGACACTACAATCTTCTCTGGCATTGTGCCAGCCAAGTTGATATGTGAAAGTGATGCTCAACAACTTCCCTGGTGCAGGCCAGTCAAGTTGGAGTGTTGTAATATACGTGCAAGGAAACAAACATTCGTGCAAGAAACAAAAATTCGTACAGAAAAAAAACAAAGATGATCGACCGCGCTTTTGCGTCGGCATCATCAGCCTCTTCGCCAGTCGCTTGATGAGCGGAGCACTGCCCACCATCAGCGCCGTCTTGGGCCGCGCCGGCGAATACGCGACTGCGGCGGCGGTGACTGGGCGCGGGGTGGGCGGCGCGTAGGGCGAGCGATCTGGGGGCTCGTGGTGAGGAGATCATTAAGATCCAGGGGGTTCACCGGGCGACTCTCTCGCTGAGCGGCGGCGTCACGCAGAGCGGCGGCCTCGCGCTGAGCGACATCGCGCTCACGCTGTAGCAGAGAGGCTTCGCGCTCACGCACAGCACGGAATCTCTCTTCGATTTCCTGCTCACGCTGCCGATCCTGCTCACGCTGCCGATCCTGCTCACGCTGCCGATCCTGCTCCTGCCGAGCTCGAACCTGATCTGGTGGCGGAGCGTTGGGCTGCAGTGAAGGCGCAGCCCCATGTGATTGGGCGCGGCCTTCAGCGTACGGGTCAACATAGTATGGCTGGCCTGGAGGTGGGTGGCCATGGTTGCCCTGCGCCGCTGGAGCTTGAGGCTGCAGTGAAGGCGCAGCTCCATGTGATTGGGCGCGGCCTTCAGCGTACGGGTCAACATAGTATGGCTGGCCTGGAGGTGGGTAGCCATAGTTGCCCTGCGCCGCTGGAGCTGGAGGCGGGTGATGCTGTTGGCCGTATTGGTAGCTGCCGCCATGCCCGCCGTAGCTGGGAGGGGCGCTATGGCCTTGGTTCGCTTGAGGGTAGGTGTGCCCAAAGTCACCGGCACCTTGATGTCGTTGCCGGTACTCGAACTCCGCCTCATCGATCAACCATCTCCAGTGCTCTGGGTGAAACCTGTCTGATCGCGGATCTCCTGTTGGTCTCGCTGTCTCGGATTAGCAACGTGTCGCGTGAGAATCGAGGAGGCTTACATGTGTGGTCTCGGTTCTCGGTCTGACGATGATTGCCACGGCCTGAGCCGTGGCCGCCACGGTAGCCAGGCATCGTTATGAGCGCGATGTCTTCGCTCTCGGTGTGTTGATGTTGTTGGAGAGGTGAGCTTTCAGCGGCGAGCAGAATTTTCAAAACAAAGCCACGCCAAGAACGGGAGGCAAACAACGGCCACTCCCGTAAATTCTTCATATTTCCGCGACTCGCAGCTGCTGTGCAAACATCCAGACATCCAGACAGTGCTTGAACCTTCTGACATCGTAAGTTGGCCTGCCTATACGCGCGCCAGACACTGACAGCTTCGTAATACAGATCAGGAACCAAGCATGGACGACGCCATGGCAGACTCAAATCTGCCTTTCCAGAACCGAGACCACTATTCGAGCGCGCCGCCATCAAGCTCTATGGCAGGCATGTCGCAGGGAGATCACTTCTCGAGCGCGCCACCATTGGCAGGCATGTCGCAGGGAGACCACTTCTCGAGGGCGCCGCCATCAAGCTCTATGGCAGGCTTGTCGCGCCGAGAGGTGCAGCGACTGCAACAACCGCAGCCGCAATTCCCGCAGCAGGACTGGCGAGAGAACAACCAGCCGGTTAGTGACAACCCCCTTCCATCTGTATTCAATCCTGCCCTCGCCAACTGTTGAGCTTTCCTCCTCTCGCAAACAATTGCTAACTTTTCTATCCGTCTCTTTAGGATGAGAATGGCCTAATGAGGACCCATCCCTTCGAGACGACTCCTCTCCCTCCGACGACGGATGTGGTGAGGCGGAGCCAAGCCATTACCAACTACCCAACGGTGTGGACCGCCATTTGCCACGTCTGCGCCGAGAAGGGCTGGCATCGCAGCGTGAGCATTTTGAGTCTTGAATGAGAAGTTGCCCATACTAAAACTGGTCACAGTGCAACAGTCTGGAGCTGCTTAGCGCTGCCGTCAGACACGGCATGCCAAACGGCGGCATCGTGTGCAGCAATGTCGCTGGCCAGCCCTCGAAGAGGGGCGACGGTCTCCTGGATTACACCCCAAAAGCCGCGGGTAAACATGGCCTTCCGATGTTCAACGTGAACCGGACCTTCATGCACGATGCCGCGTGGGAGGCACTCTTGGACGGGCTCGATCACGTCCGCCCGACGAGGAGCGCTCAGGCGCGTCCGCAAGGTCAGTGGGATCGGCGAGACACGCGTCGGTCTCGAAGTCCAGCGCGAGAGCCGAGATCGTACAGAGAGCGAGGTGAACAAGGTCACCGAGGTGAACAAGCTCGTGGGCATCGGAGAGACGAGCGTCGGTCTCGGAGTCCAGCGAGAGTGCCGACAGAGCGTGAATCAGCGCAGAAAACCATTCGTCAGCTGCTGAGCGCTCAAGCGGAAGCGCTGGATCGAATCTCCAAGGCCGAAGAGGAAATTCGACGCCTGGCTGAAGATAAACTGAAGGCCAAAGAGAAAATTCAATGCCTGACTGCAGAGAATCTGAAGGCCGAAGAGAAGATTCGACGCCTGGCTGCAGAGACTCTTAAGGCCGAAGACGATCGACGCCAGGCCGAAGAGTATGCAGAGCAACAGCGTTTGCTTACTGTTGCTTTGACGGAGGCTTTGAACCGCAATCTTACACCTGCGAGTCACGACCAATCTCGTCGCCCCGACAGCCGGATGAGAGGCCGGGCGGACAGCCGCATCCCTCCTGGAAACGACCACTTTTTCCGTCATTCAAGCAACCCAGACGCAGGTCACTTGGGACATATGCGAGTCGAACCTCCCCCTGCACCTGGAAAGGGCAGCAAAGCGCCTGAAAAGGGCAGCAGCGCGCCTGAAAAGGGCAGCAGCGCGCCTGAAAAGGGCAGCAGTGCGCCTGGAAATGGCAGCAGTGCGCCTGGGAATGGCAGCAGTGCGCCGGGAAATGGCTACAAGAAGCGCCGTCGTGGCTGTCGTGGCGGTCAAAAAAGGAAACATGGTCGTCGTGATGGCGATGGTGGTGGTGATTGAGCAGAGCAAGCGGATATTTCGCAACAAGAATGGCCTTTCAGGACATTATGGTTGCATGCTTTCAACTGCATCTCGACTTGTGCTGGCAAGTTCCAATTTGCGAGCACAAGTCTTTGCTGTGAACCAGATCACGATGCTGGGTAGCTAGCATAGCGCATAGCGCATTTGCAAGCAATCCAATGATGTGTAATTTTCCTTTGAATTTTCCTCTCTTCCTCGCAAAACTCTCTTTGCCTTCTTCCTCCTCTCCAAGTGAACCGCATCATCGTCGACTTGACGCCATATACCTCATACACTCGCTCTTACTCCGACCCGGTCCCATGCTCGTCGTCTCATTTCGTCTTCAAGGATGTTGGCGAAGATGGAAGTGTGGTGACAGAACGCGCGAGGTCGAGAGAAGCATCCTCCACCTCCACCTTTCCGGACCCAGGTCCGTCTGGCTAGAACTCTACCACTCATTTCCCGGCTCCGACATTTCATCTTCTTTCTTCACACTCCGCGCATTGAAGGAAGGCTGTAGAAGTCACTTTCGTACCAGCATTTCTTACCTGAGGGCCATGCTCGAAAGCCATCCATGCTCGAAAGTCCTGCTGAATACGAATAACATGGCTGTTGTCATGCGAGGCGGAACCTGGACGAGAACAGCTGGTCTTTGCTGAGGCGACCTGAGACAGTGCGGATATTGTACGGTGCTCCTTGCTTAGCAACAGCATTTCCAAGTCCCGCGCGCAGCAAGGAGTGCGGTCGCAGATGGGCGGCTTAGCAGCGAGACTCATAAAGCTGCATCGACAACGGCCTTCACGTAATGAGGATAGATGTGCTATGGACGTCCGATACTCTCTGATCTGCCAACTGCAGGAAGCTATCTGGGGGACTACATCTATCTGCTCGTTAGTCAACTGTCGAGATCTTCTTCCAGACATCGATAGAAGAAGATAGATGTCGAGCTGGTATCTGCTTCGAATCACTCATGAGGCATAGTCGGCCAGTCTGGGTTGAGTGAAGCCCTGTTTTGACGAGACATCTTTGTCTTCGAATAGCACTTCATAACATGTGAATTGCTGTCGACGTCTCTCGCGGAGCCAAGCTGCAATTTTTCTCGCTTGACCTGGTCGCCTGCAGAGGCGATGTGGGCTGTGGCGCAGCGCTTTGTGCATAGCCTGAAGTTCAACAGCTGAAGAGTTCTGCTGATTTCATCCACGGCCACACCGAGAGCCTCCTCGAATGTCCCATCGAATATGGAATCTCTCGCTATTAGTGTCAAAGACACTGCTGTTTCCATATACGAAATGGCGACCGATGAAGACAGCCGTGGTACGTGGCGTGCTGTCTCGACATTGTTCATACTCTCGGCCATGGGCCTACTGGTCATCTTCCACCTCGTGCCATACGAATGCATCGATCTGGATCTGTCCTTGGTAAACTCATATTACGGGCCCGGTGCTTATTGGGGCTGGCTGATGAACATGTTGCATTCGATAATGCTTTGCGACTTCAAACTCTTACTCTCTGGTCTTACTGCTCTGGACGAAGTATGGCGTTCTTCGACTGGCCCCTACCGCAGCCCAGCGGAGAGTAAGATGCAGGATCTTCTCGATGCCATCGAGGACGAGTCCACACCATCTACTGACTTCATCGCCTCAGTGATCTATTCACTGGTTGCCAGTGGTGATGCAATATACCGAAGCATAACTTTACGCGATCGAATGACTGCTACGCACCAGGCAGCGATGAGCCTCTCACGGATGTCATTAGCGTTGAGCATATGTGTGCTTTGGCCAACATGGCTTCTGTACAGAAGACTGAGGAATATACGATTCGAGACGTCCCGAGCAGCGCTTGCTCTGAGTTCCAAAATCCCTCCGAAACATACATATCTTCTCCAGAAGTGGCGATATCTACTCTGGCTGTGCGTCTTGATCATGGCCACGATGGCCGTACTGGCCGAGCACGTTGCGCTAACCAAAATCGGACATCCAGTCTTTCAGAAACCAGAGTTCAACGACATTCCGCTCAACTTTACATCGACCGGCCTGGCGATTTGCACCATCGTTGCGGCAATATGCATCATCTCAGCTGTGCTCACTCGAAATTCAAAGTTCCAGGCTTTCGCCATCTACACGCCGCCCCTTGTGATACACATCTTACTTTTCGTCTACAGTACTCCCGACACGGTGCGATTTTCCGACAATACATCCTCAGGCTGTGTGGGCTCACACCGTTTTGCCGCTCCAAATACTTCTTCCAGGTTTAGCGATTTGGATCAAGCTACTGCGATGGCAACGGCAATTGTGGTGGTGCTCGCGCCGTATCGTCGAGCCTTGTGGAGCTTGGTCAAGGGACCTTGGGCGAGCTTGACGATGAGGCTGCGAGGTTCAATGGGGAATCTGTTCCAGGACTGGACGAGCAGTCCGGTATTGCCAGTGCAAGAGCGATATTCTCAACACGCTTGACTTGGATGTGATCATTAACGCTAGTTGACAATCGATCGAAAGTGACTTTGGCCGTGTTCTCGCCCACCTACCCCTTTGGCAGTTTTACCTTCTGGCCACGATCCCAATGCTTCAATATCGCGAGCCCGCTAGTGTGTAAAAATTCCGCTCAGGCACAGCTGCATATTCTCGAAGGTGGCGCAGTTGAACTCATAGTTGTTGATTGTTGATTAATCACAATCACATACTAAATATCACAATCACAACTGATTGTGAGTGATTAATCACAGAATCATAATCATAATCACAAGATTAGGGTAAGCTAGGGCAAGCAGCCTGCCTAAGGCTAAGTAAGCATAATTTAGACCCACTTTAGTGAAGGAGCGACGTACTATTTCTACCTAGGTAGGCAATAAACATACTTTATACCTAGAAGAACTTATATATTAAGGATGCCAATATACAGCGAGCTTATCGCTAGGCTAATATAGCCTAGAAAGACACATCCTCGTCGGAGGAAGTGATTGCGTGATTATAATCACAATCATTCTGCCGGGAATTACAACCACAATCACTGTGATCAACAATCAACAACTATGGTTGAACTCCGTCACATCGTCACATTGCATATCCGAGCTTCAGCTGCCGGAACCACTTTTTTTCTCGCTGAAGACGACACAATTTTAAATCATGTCAGATTTCTGACCTGTGCCACCAGGATGCTACATGTATCGACCTTTGGCTCGTGCCAAGAAAGAAATAAGAGTCCTCTTCCTGCTTGATGAAACAATTACAGCTTCCGATGGCAATGGGGTCCAGCTTGCAAAGTTCGAAAACATCTGCCTGGAGGATGGTATGCTGACGATACGCGTGCTGCAATTCTCCAGTGTAACGATCTGTCTTTGCTCAACAGCTGCCATCATCCAGCTCCTACTTCTGATCAGGACGCTTCTCTTCTTGAGTACCACAATATCACTTTCGAAGTCCCCTGCGCTACCGAAAGTCACACTCGATCACAAGCCTGCTCGTGACGTTTCAAAAGTTCAGGGTATCAGATTGGCCACTTCACAGAGCCTTTGGCGCCTGCAGCCTCTTTGCATGAATTTTGGCACGTAATCCTGAATCCTGAGCGGAATCCAGAGCTTGCTTGCGAAAAGATTTCCATACAGCAGCATGCTGATCGCCAGAACCATGTCACGAAGCTCAAAAACAGGCGGAAAATGGAAGTCTCGAGAAATTAGCAGAATTCCTCGAAGCTTTGTAGAAAAATTCTGGGCCGCTGGATTCCAGTGCCGCCTCGAGAACGTAGGAAAATATATATGGGATATATTGTTGAAGAAGACACCAGATTTACATATCGCTACTCTTATTGATATCGTCAGGACTGAGATTCTTCGTGTGGAAAGTTGGGGAAATGGGACATGGCTCATACAAATTCCAAGATCTGTAGCACGTCTTCCCGACAGAAGAACGAGAACGAGTCGTGGGTCATTTACTTCGAGGATAAGTGCTTCCTCATTTGGTCCAAGACTTGATGCTTACGTGCAGGCAGCTTCGGCAAGCGAACAGAAGATTCCCACTGCCTCGTACATCCAAGCATAAGGTCCATATTCACTTAAAGAAGCCAAGGGAATACAAGCTCTACTCGCAACGCCCGACTCTGCAACCAGTAATCCTGAGAAGGTCGCTGAATTCTCCGCTTCATGGTCGATGCGGCCTGGCGACAGTTCAAAATTGAACACGACAGGAATGGGTTTCCATTGCGGTGGCTTTTGGGGGAATTTCCTGCTCTCATTGGATTCTATCGTGCTTTCATGGCGATCGTCCACATCCACAGTAAATAGAAGCCATACACCACTATAATCACCACCGCGAAGAGCATCGCAACCCAGTGTAGACGAGGCAGTCACGATGGCAGAGCAATCCTACTCACACCTTCCCATCCCTCTTTCGCAGAAACCACGAGATCCTCCGCAGAAGCCTTCAAATCCTCATTCCCAAATGCATCGATTTCCTTCCCTAGCACATCGTCTTTCTGAATTTTTTGAACTACATCTTGGACTTTTAATCCCGCTGCTTGCTCAGTCGCATGGGTCTGCAGTAATTTGATGATTTTCATTGCTGTTTGCTGCAGGCTTGCTACTTCTTGTGGAATGTGTTCGGCGACTTCTTTGATGTACTTGCATGTTCGATGGATGATGAGCATGGTGTCGATGAAGATGTAGTGATCGGAGATGTGCTCTGCGAGGAGGTCTTTTGATGCGATGAGGGAGGAGATGGGGAGTTTCTTCACTGCGGTGGATATCACATCGATGGAGTCTTTGCTTGGTGAGGTGCCAGACTTGACTTTCTGGAGGACGGACAGAATCTTGGTGATGATGTGGGAGGAGAGGATTTCGGCACCCGTAAGATCACTATCTTCTGAAGCCGTGGCCTTCTCAAGGGCGGCCAATAGGTTATCCGTGTCGATGATGAGGGCGATTTGCTTCCCGGCCAGTGACCATGCGACATCAGCTGCGAGGCTGTAGAGCATCCATCCCTCGCCTGGAATCCTGCCATTGGTGCCGTATAGGGCTTTCTCGACGTTGAAACCATGGTTGAACGCGGCGTTGAAGTCACGATTGTCCTTGACTTGCGTCCAGTTTGCGAGCACTCTCGGACCGACCTCACTTGTGGCTTTCCCGTAGCCTTTTCCAGAAAGACGAGCAGTCCTCCTGTGCTCCAGGAGTAGCATTCGTCTAGACCAGCTATGCCGCAGCTCGCTTCGAAGTTGATTGAGCTCGAAGATCATGCCGGACTGTGCATGGTTAAGGATGGCGCACTCACAATCTGCTAGCTTGTCTTCATGTCGAGGATATACTTGTAGAGCTTTGTTAGTGCGCTCATGCGGCTCATACCAGTCCTCACTAGGCAGCTTTGTCCGGAAGGGGTGTATACTAGACAGCCTCGTGAACAAGGTATGGCCCACAGTGTCAAACTGGATCTCCTTGATATTCAGCGAATCGAATAGGCGCATCGCATTTCCGCCAAGTCCAAGCCGCGTGTAGATGTAGACCAGAATCAGTCTCGCTTCGTGTACGTGCTCATTGAACCTGAGCAGACTTTCCGTAAAATATGCTGCCTGCAAGAGGTAGGCTTCATCGCTTGTGTCGGCGAAAAGCTTCACGAGGCCCGAAACTGCGAGGAAGCAGGGATCTGCAGCAACTCGGTTCCGTGCTCCAAGATCGAGTGACGTTGTTGCGGTATGGAACAGCCGGATGGAATTGGCAGTGAATTCCTTCAAAACCTCGACCGATGCATTCGCATCAATGAGCTCGCCGAAGTTGTGCTTCAACTGGTCGACTTCAGACTGGAGCCATTCTCTTGATGAGACCTTCGACGGATCACTTTTCTCTCCTGTCCCATTCGCTTCTGCATTTGTTGTGCTCTTCTTATGCAGCTGAAGTGCTTCGTATACCTGCTTGCTTTCCCGGAACGCTGGTCGCTCTCTGATAGATTCGAGATCCTTCTCACTGCCTTGAATGGCAAAGATTTGACCAGCAACCCTACAATCGAGCGCTTTCTCATCATCGAATTTCTCGTTCACAGCTTTTCGCGCCAGACCAATAGCGAGTTTTGACTGCAAATCATCCTTCTTCGTGGACAGAAGTTGGGTGTAAGCAGCATGAGCCATGTAGATCGCTCGATTTCTAGGTGTTACAGCTTTCAGCTGTATGAGGGCTTGCTGAACATCCTGCAACCGGTTGTCGAGAACTGCTCTGGAGAAGCGCACGGAAAGTAGATCTAGCCTGTAATCGAGATTTGTGTTTGCTTTGAAGGCACTGTCCCACAGCTTGGCAACCACAGGCCCAGCTGTTGGAGGAGGCGGGAAAGTGTTCCTGAACGAATCGACAACGGCAGCCTCTATGATCTCGAGCTGTCGATAGTCCTGTATCGGTGGTGATATCGTCGACAGTTGTTCAAGCACTTTTGGGCCATCTTCTGATTCTGGTTTCGAGGCGCATAAGAGGCGAAGTTTGGTGGTCAAAAGATCGACATCTTTCGGGCTTGTTGCCAAAAGCTGCTCACATCGCTTTATGCCTTCACCGAAAGCATTGCGCTTGGCGTATTCTTCAAAGGATGGGTATCGAGCCATGCTGAGCAGTGATTGTCTTCATCGAATCCTCAAGTCGTAGCGGATGTGGTTTCCGTCGTGATCACCAGATTGATGCCATTTTCACCGCTTCATCGTGTTTTCTTTCGTATATCCACAGCGCGATTCATCACCGACTTTTTGTTGCATAAGTCGATGTTGTTTGCAGAAGCAAAAAGTCGACACATGCGGCTCCCACGATAGGGCTGAAACCAAGACCCCGTCTCCACACCCCTGCCCAAGCTTCCGTAGCCGAGCTTGGTGTCCTGTGCTTTGGATACGTCTCAAGTTCACTCACCACTCCCTTCAACATACATCTAGCGAGTCGACAGAGTTCCCAAACAAGCCACTTCAAACCCCCGGATAGAACACCAGCATCAACGCTTATCGCGCTCCTCACATCTCCCTGGCCTTCAGCTCGTCACCTCGCAATGGCACAAACCCCCCAACAACGCCGAGCAAACGCTCAATTCGCCCGCGAACAAGAAAAGAAAATGGGAAAGCCCATGTCTGCATTACCGAAGAAGGAGAAGCCTCAGAAAGCACCGATTAATAGGTGGTGGTTGTGTACGTGTTCTCCGTCTCAAAGCCATGGGAGAAGGAACGTTTTGCTAACGCTCGTGCTTTCGTGATAGATATGTTGCTTTTCGTGGTTTGTGGTGGATTGATATTTGAATTGCTTCGGGTGATAATTACTGGGGCGTCGAATTTCTTCTAGAATGGACGGGGGATGAATATGACGGTCGTTGGTTGGAAAGAACATGCGTCTCAACGCGCTGAGAGATGCAATGGTGGGAAGAGACAGATCCATGGGACGAACGACGCAAGCGAAACCTGTCTGCAAGATGAGAGGAACAACGGCTATCGTCTCGGGACAAGCCCTGACAAAGTTAGGCACGAGAAACAGTCGTGCTTGTGTACGGCATAGCAAAAGGCGTTATGGGATACCCATGATCTTTGGTATTGGCATGGTATGATACAGCAGCTTCTATGTATTCCAAGAGGACAGCCGGTCTAGAAAAAATCTATCATCAACTTTTTGAAAGCCACAACTATGACTTGTTCTTTGTTTTCCTCTTTCTCGCCTCGCCATTCGCATTTGGAGCGGTAGCTGACTGCAGAACTGCTTCCGTTGCATCAACCTCTTCTTCTTCACCCACAAGCTCGGCTGCTACGTGGTCGCTCGTTTGCTTGTTGAGGACTTTTCCGAGAGAGACGTTGTAGAGGTATTTCGGTATTCGGACGATGCCGGTGTCGAAAAGTGTTGGCATTGGAACCTCGTCAGGCTACAGCATATGTTAGCAAGTGTTTATTGTCAGTCAAAGTAATGGCGGAACTCACGTCAAGCAAGAATTCTTGCACATCACCTTCTTCCGTCTCGTCTTCCAACCAGACGTTGCCCACACTGTCCACGATCAGGACTTTGCCGTTCTCAGCGACAGTCCTCTTCTTCGCTCCAACAGGTCCAGGTGTGATTTCGGACTCAACAGGTGTAGAGACACCACTTTCTCTGGCCTTCTTGGCGGCAGCCGCGCGTGATGCTTTCACCGGATTCTTTCCGTCCTTCTTCTTCTGCCTTTCCATTTCCCTCTTCTGTTTGCGATTCCAAGTCATGCTCTCGTCACTGTCTTCGACATTCCGGTTCGGCGATTGGGCCACTGGTCCACCAAGACCTGGAATGGCTCCAATGCCCGACTCATCACCCCAAGCCATGCGCCTTGCATGCTTGATGTATCTGTTGACGAAATCCCGCTGTTGTTTCCATGTCAAGTACAAGAAGGCGTAATGCACTCCTCCTGCGCCAAACAGAAATAGACCGGTAAGCACTGTTCCGAAGCCAGGTCGGAAGCGCTCATAATAGTAGCCAGTACCTCGCCAGATTGGGAAGCCATTTTTCAAGAAGTGATCGTATCGTTCGCGTTCGGGTCCACGCAGAACATTCGCGACCAAAGAAAGACGTTCGAATCGAGATTGAGCTTCCTTTCGGACTTTCTCGACTTGTGACTTGGAAGGTTGCTTGTTCTTCTGCACATGCACAGTCGGCTTTGCGCCAGTATTTCTCACGACTGGAGGAGGCTTGTTGTAGTTTGCAATCCAGTTACTCGTCGCCTTGTCGGGATGGATCGTTCGTGACAGCTTGCGGTATGCGCGGTTGATTTCGTCTTGCTTCGCATTGGGTGAAATGCCTAGCCAAGAGTAAAAGGTGGCATCTGCTCCCTCGCTCTTCGTGACTTCATCGTGGAGACGAAATATTTCGTGGTCTTCTTTCGACCAAGCGGCGGCAGTGGCGGCGAGGGTCACAACGAGCAGCAGTGCTGCCCGATGGATGCCCAGCATGGTGGTGGGTGGTGGAGGTGGGTGTTCTTTGGGATGGAGCTGCAGGACGGGTGGATGATGTGACGAGCTGTCCGCAAGCTGTCCGCAAGCTCGAACAGAATCGATTAGGGCGTCCGACGTGGAGAAAGCTTATTCGATTGACCAGGCCAGGCCAGCAGCTCGGCTCAGCTCTCAGCGTGCAGTGAACTCTTGGGGTGTTGAGCAGACTCCAGAGACAGGCCGGTATGCAATTGCCGCCGGGATGATAAGGTCAAGCTGCCCTCACCGACATACACTCACGCGCCACTTCTCCTTTTCTTGCGCGCCTCCGGTTCATTCACTTGTTGTCCTTCACATGCCCTCCGTCCGCCGCGGGGATTCATATGCCAAATTTCGAAAGGGGTCACTCCGGATTTAGGTGACAATAATTAGCGCGGACGGCAGCCATGCCAAGGAAGCGATCGGCCTGAGCGACGAGAGCGTCCACGGTCCACAGACTCCACACAAGAGATCCCCTGTTTCCAACAACACCACACAACCGCCTTCCCCATCTGTTAACTCCTTCTTCTGCTCCTTTCTGAGTCGCTCGCCCGGCCACCAAACTCACCCTGACCCGCGTCTAATCATGTAAGCCATCTGCACCCATCTGCACCCATCCGCTGTCTCCTGCCGTCTTCCTCTCAAGTCTGCTGATTGAGAGCGGCGACGACGTGTCAGCACCGACACCCACGCGCCGGCCGCTGGAGACTGATATTGTATCTCGGCACGCAGACTTATTTCTACCTCTTTATTCCACCGGCCTTGTCACACCTTCATCCCACCGTCGACACACATGGCGCGCATCAACATCCCCCTCGACGTGATCACCAACCGCCTCAAGTATGTATCCTCGAGTCCCAATCATCTGGAATTCGGCGCATGCTAATGGACTCGTGTAGCCTCGCAGGTCGTTTCGACTCCGTACGAAGCACGTCTCTCACCTCGCGTTTCGCCAACCTACGACCGATATCTGAGTTCTTCAACCTCAAGAACCTCTCCAAGCCCGCCGATTTCTCGCAAGTCCAGAACCGCGTCAACTACAATCTATCATACTTTTCAAGCAACTATGCCGCGCTTTTCGTGATGCTGAGCATCTACAGCCTGCTCACCAATCTGCTGCTGTTCTTCGTGCTTGTTCTCATCATTGGGGGCATGTGGGGCATTGGCAAGCTTGAGGGCAGGGATCTCGATGTGGGATTCGCAAGGGCGTCGGCGAGCCAGATGTACACGGCTCTGTTCGTCATTGCCATTGTGAGTTGACGCATTTTCACATTCTGCGCGCCCTATTAACTTTGATGATGTTAGCCCCTCTTCTTCTGGGCCTCACCCATCTCGACCGTTCTTTGGCTCATTGGCGCATCCGGCGTCACCATCTTGGGCCACGCGGCGTTTATGGAAAAAGATGTAGCAGCAAGTTTCTCCGAGGAGGCGGTTTAGGCGGTCGACCGCGCACTCTTCGCCCTATGAAATGGGAAGACCGCCCGGAGCTCTCAGCGGGGATAGGCGAAGATATATACATTCGCAGGACTGGGAGCTTCGCGATCCACGCTTGATGGAAGTGGACAGCGACGAAGACGATACACACGGCGTTGTTTTGGATCCGAATGCATTTTCTGCGCGTGATCGCCGGCCAGCGGATTATGCCGGCGAAAACTTGTACTTTGATGGGTATGATCTTGGTCAGGATAGATGGCATAGAGGTGGCGTGTACGATGATGGAACATACGAGGATTATATTTCCGAGGAGGAGGAGGAGGATGAGGTATATTTACAGAACCGAAAATCTGCAGCATACCAGACTGCACGCTGGGACAAGGATGAGTCGTTGCGGCAGACCGCTTTCGATCGCATCGCACGTGCGCGAGCGCAAGGCAAGACGAATGTCAATTTGACATCAGAAGAGATGGCCGCTCTTGAGCGCAGGAGAATTCCGCATCCGGAGCCATCATCTGCTCTGGTTTCGCCGCCTGCTACTCCCGCGAAGTCGAAAGCGAAGCCAAGCAGTCGTTCGAGCAGTTCGACGAGCCTCAAGACTCAGCAGAAGTCACGCAAGTCCGGCACCTCCAGCTTTTTCGGGTCACCAGCAAAGTCGAATTCGAAAGCAAAAGTTCGACGATCTCCGGAAAGAAAGAACTCCACTGAGCAGGCATTGCCGTACCCGCCAGGGACAGCTGTGCTAGTGCAAGGGCCTGATGGCAGGCCAATGTATGCGCCTTTGTACTCCGGGCCACCCAGCCCTGAGCTCAGCAAGTCGCGACCTGGCACCAGCGGGTCAAGATCTTCTTCCAAGCAAAGTCGAAGGGAGCCGACGCCTCCAGAACAGATGCTGCCGCTGCCACGATACTACGATACTCGATCGGGCTCAAGTCGATTCTTGCCAGAGGATGCGGAGTGGTTTCCTCCACCGGCTCGAACACGATCTGCGTCAAGTGCCCAGCAGTTCGAGTACGACTACGACATGGCACCGCCGTTGCCTGCAGCGCAATCGCGGCGAAACGTCAGTGGTCCTGCTGCACCAGGGCATGGTGAGGTGCGGTATGCTTCATTGCGACGCACTCCACAATCATCGTCACCGCTGGCGCAATCGAGATCGAGTGCTTCGTGTGGTAGCGGGCTTCGTAGGGTGGAGACGAGCAGCAGTGATAGTAGTGACGGGCAGGGTGTGCTTGTGGATATCGTGCCTGATGAGCATGGAGGATTCAGTATCCGCCAGACCTCGCCTGGTACCCCAAGCACGCCTGCTGCTACTGCCACTGCCACGACGACGCCTACCAAGTCAGGTAACGAGGCAAGGAAACGCAAGTCTGGTCGCAGATAGCTTCTTCATCAATGAGCAATATTTCGGCTTCCTCGGCTCTTTTCATTTCATCATTTCCTTCTTCGCGATACAGACACATTTCATCGCACGCCAAGGTCACATTTGGTAACCGACCGAAACCTACTGGCTTCCCGTCAAGTTCAGCATACCTGGAACAAAGTACACAGCTCGGTCTGCAATAATTCATGTCTATGATTCATGAGATATCTAGTCGTGTCACCGGATGTGAGAGGCTGTGAGACAGAAAACTTCCTATTGTTGCATTACCGCATTCTATAAGATACGCAGCACAGACTACATATACCTCAGACATACTTGATCCCCTTCACTCACTCCAAACTCGGCTTATCCCCAGGCTTCCGATTACTAAACGGACTACTCACTTTCTCCAACCTCTCCCCATCAACCTCAATCTCAACCTTCTCATTGTAAAAACACACCAACCCCTCCACCTTCGCACTCTCCAGCAACGGACGATTATAAAACCAAACAACATCCTCATACACCTTCCCCTCCACCTCCACAGAATAATACTCCGCTTCGCCTTTATACGGACATTGCGTGACCGTCGTACTCGGTCGCAGAACGCTCGCGTCCACTCGCGTTAGAGGCATGTAGTATCTACACGGCAACCCGGTTTCGTAGAGATGCATCGAAGTATCCGTATCGGCGACGACGTGGCCGGCTATGCTGACGCGGATGTGTCGGGTCGATTGCAGAATGTCGATTCTTTTGAACGGATCTTTCGGGTGCACGAAGATTTTCGAGGATTCTTCGAACCATTGGTCCATGGATTCGAAGTCGATTTTGACGAGGTTGGAGAGGGAGTTTGCGGGTTCGGGGAGGTTGGGGGAGAAGGCTAGGACTTTTTCGACGGGCTTGGAGGAGACGGTTAGGGTCCATTGTGTGGCGAGGAGGTTGTTTTCTGAGTCGTGGATTTCGAGGCCCGGGGTGATTTTTAGGTCGTCGGAGCGGGCGGAGAAGTAGGATTCGATTTCGGAGGCGGGGATGTAGATTTGTGGGTAGTATGGGTGTTCCCAGACGAAGACGGATTTTGTGGTTTTGACGATGTAACGGCCGTTGAAGAGGACTTGGATGAGACGTGGTGTTTGGAGGGTGCGGACTGGACCGTTTTTGCCGAGCTTCAGGGCGAGTTTCTTCAGGCTGGGATATGTTAGTCTGATGACTTTGATTGCATTGTGGTAGCGTGAATGGGGATATGAGCTCACTCGTCCATGTTTGGGATCGTGTCGATATCGGTCCAATTTTCGTCGTCAGGAGGTAGGAAGCTATCACGCAAGCAATGTAGCAGTTCGATCTCGCGCGCAGGTACAGATTGAGCTCATGTGGCTGTTCAGGAGACAAAATACTTCGGAATTAGTATAGGGGTGGTCAGCGCAGGATGCAGGTGCTGTAAGCATATGGAATCGCATGTGGGGCAGCGGTCTCATGATGCAATGGCGGCTATTCTCGACTTCACCTCCGCTGGTCGTTTGGATATGCACTCCATGTGCCGCCTTCTCGTCAAGTAGACTAGACAGTGCTAGAGAGAAGTGAGGCTACGCTTCCTGCACACTGACGCAAGGATTGATCAGAATGTGTGTACATGACTCGGCGTGCAGCATGAGAGCCAAGAGACGCCGAGGAGAGCGGGTGGAGGAAGTTTGAACGTGAGATACTTGATGAGACCTTCCACAAGACCTGTGATGATATTCCTCGAGGTGGACATCTGATGTCTGTATTCTTATTCCAGGAGCATCTCGCGAATGCCACAGTCGCCGCCGTAGGGATGAGCGCATCCGGTGGGGCCTAGGGAGAGGGATCATCGGGACCAGAGATGCGAATAGGGGCCATCATTCTCATGACGGCGGCGAAAGATGGGTTGGACAGGAAAGTCGCATGTGAAGCGGAAGGAGATTCTGAGCAGCACAGACCAGGCCAAAGAAAGTTTAATGATCTGCGGCTCAACCCAGACCCTGACCCTGACGCGCATCGGACGGCGCTCCAACGTGAACGTTGCGCTTTCCAATACCGAAGCATCTCCTCGCACAGCAAACGACATCCAGCAAACGACATCCACATTCACAGCAGCTGCATTTCTGCTGCCACACACATCTTGGGCACGCAACAGTGGAAGGCGCCACGGCTCGGCAAGAGGCTGGCCATCGCGACTCCCCCTCCACGAAACAAGCCGCGCCGAATTCACTCTCACCTCCATGATCGAAACTTCCGCGTAGACGGTCCATCAGCGACAGAACTGCAGGACTTCTGCCATGCCCGGCGAAGACCGCCTCCACGCCAACGACGGCGCGTCTCGCAAACGGCGCAAGATGGACCGCGATCACCACTCCGCAACCAACACCCCCGCCGATGCCATCGTTCTTTCCTCTGACGCGCACTGCGAACACGAGAAGTCTCTCCGCACCTTGCAAACAGATCTCGAGGCCATGAGGCAGCTCATCACGTGCAAGATATGCCTCAAGTTTCTTTACGAGCCCTATGCCCTCACTTGCGGGCACACGTACTGCTACAGCTGCATCATGAACTGGATGGGCAAGGACCAAGCGCAGCAGAAGAAGAAGACATGTCCCGATTGTAGGACGATTATCCGAGAGCAGCCTGCACCCTCTTACCTGATCAAGGAAATGGTGCTCATTTTCTCGAACCGAGTGGAGCTGCTGCCAGACGGAGAGACTTCCGAAGAGCACCATGCCATGGCTAGAGAAGAGGCCGAGATTGTCGCCAAGGACAAAGCGGATACGGATGAAGAGACAGGAGGACTGTTCCAGGGCAGATTCAAACGTGGTGGCCGCCTCAATCCTGTTTTGGCCATCCGCGACGTCAGCGATAATGTCTTCAGATGTCCAAACTGCGCCTTTGAGATTCAGCGGAACTGGTGTGGACCCTGTGGCATGCGTGTGCTCACCGACGAGGACGACGAGGATATGAGTGATGAAACGGACAGCATGGATCGCGAGCTGGATCCCGAATATGAAGACAGCATCGATCATGAGCTGGATCGGGACATGAGAGAGGATGAGTTGGCATTTGGCTATGAAGGCCCTCGCGATGATGCCTGGACCGACGACGACGATTCTGACGATTCTGACGGCGGCGACATTCATCCCTACCACTTCCCCGCCGAAGCCTTCGAAAACCACAATTATCCTCTCCCTTACGACAGTGATCGAGATCCTGGCGATTTCGAGACTGATACCGATGCCTCGCTCGACAGATTCATCGATGATCGTGACCGCGAGGATGACGATGTGGGAGATGAGTCAGAGGAAGCTATTTCGACTCCTGCAGTGCCTCGCCTGCGTCACGGACGGGCTATTGTTCTCTCGGATGATGAAGAGGATGATGAGGATGAAGGCATCGCTTCACCTCGGAGAGTGCGCGTACAGTCTGAAGGAGCTTCCTCAGCGGGAGCCACTCGAGAGTCCTCCGTGCCTGAATCAGATGATGAGGAGCCGGTATTGCAACCAGGACATGCCAACCGTCGTCAATACCGACATCGATTTCTTGACGTTGACAGTGAGGTCGATGATGAAGACGACATTGACGACGATGGATTAGATGGAGAATTAGAGCCTCCATCGGACCACGAGGCTGAAATCAATCTGGCGAATCATCTGGCCATTCACGGCTACTCGCCGCCACCATTCGAGAGCGATGATGGTGAGACAGACACAGGCGCTTACGAGTATCGCTACGGTAACTACGCCGCCCATGATGATGATGCTTCCGAAGCAATTGCTGGCATGTCAGAGGATGCAGAGGATGATGAAGAGGACGACGGAGATGATGAGTCTGAAGATATGCACAGTATGGCTGATGGGTTTGTCCACGCATCCCGGCGTGCGAAAGCACAAGAGCTTATGCTAATAGGCGATACAGGCACGCTAGCGACTAGTGCACACGACACGAACAGACTTAATACCCTAACGCGCCGCCGCAATCGCCATGTCAGCCCGCCGCGAAACTTCTCCCCGCTTTCCTCAACCATGCCGTCACTCGCAGGCATCGGTCGTGCTCGAAGTGGGCAGGCCAACGCCTCAGCATCATGCAACGAGCGAAGTGGCTACTTTAGCAGCATGTTCCCTCGACACCCATTCCAGCTCTCGTCCACTCTGGATCGGATCAATCGCACATTGGCTGCAAACGCAGCTCGAAGCGACTCCAACAGAGGCAGTCAAAGCAGCACAGGAGGTGTTGCATTGAGAGGCTCCTCATCAGGAAGTGGTAGTAGCAGGACCGTTCGTGCAGGCTCAGAGGAGGATGTCGCTGCGCGTCGTCGACGATTGCCACGCCGGAGGATTCATATGGCCGATCTGGATGAGTCGGACGGATAGATCTGCGGCGTAGGACTTCAAGCATGAGCACCTGGATGATGCCCTGGAAGTGATCATGCTTTCACGATCGTAACATGAGATAGCCATGAGCGCTCCGCATCACATATGAACGTTGTGCCCACGATGGTGCTCTCAACGAATGATACTCATTTTGCATTTCCAATCTCCGTCTTTTAGCCATTGTTAAGAACTACATGTATTCCGACTGGACTTTGATCATGCTATCCCATCTCGAGCTCCAGCGCGAGCACAGGACGCTGCAAGGGAATCGGAATGGGCGTTGAAGTTGACGCCACGGAGACGGTAATGGTCGAGTTGAGCACTTCCGATATCACACCCAGCGGTAAGTCTCTGGTCAGGGAAGTGGGATACTGGATGGAGAGGCGAAGGAGTCAAATGCACAGGTATCGCTGTGCCTTGCTTTCCGCTGGCGCCAGTGATAAGAATCAGATCGTTGGTCAAAGCCATGATTAAACGAATTGATTGTTTTGTGGATGTGTTTGTCTTGGGTGCTTCGTGGTTGTGCCGACTACGCAATAGACTTGATATAGTCATGGCGGAAATCAGAGCCCCTTCCACGTCCGATGGCTTACCTGAGGTACCTCAGACCTATGTATTCCTGTTCCTGTTACTCTAGTGCGCCTTGTCGCAGATCCTTCGAGCATGCCACAGGACGAGCGTCCAGCATAGCAAAAACACCTACTGTATGCCTTCAAAGAGGCTATGTTCATGTCCCTGATAACTAACATGTGCTGCGATGTTCGTAGGGTTCAAGGCGCGGCGCGCGCCGGGTGGCAGCACCCCCGTAAAGGACGAAGAAAATGAGTTTGCTTTTGTTCACTATTTTCACCATTTGTAGCCAGACTACCTTACTGAGAACCCTCATTTATCTCAGCCGGATCTCCGCAAAGTGTTGAGCGATTCTCCAGAGAGGCAATGGCAGAACTTAAAGGATTGTTGCTCTTGTTCTGTCCATGTTCTTCATCTCGTCCTCAGCCAAACAACTCCCGGGCTACCAGTAGTTCTATGATGTCTCCGTGAACGCCTGGAATTCTATCGCGTACAGCAATATTTGTCGTCACCGGGGCCGGCTACCTCGGCTGTGTTTGTGTCACAGGGCCTTGTCGCACTTACATCCTGCGGGCTGCAAATGCATTCTGCGTTCTTTGATCTATTACATCCCATGTCAACAACTCGGTCATAATTAGAAGATATCATACTCTACTTACTTGAACCTCTTATAGGTGAATCCGGAGCCGCCGCACGCGGAATTGCAGTCTGATGTCTGAACGACACAGGTATTGCCTGACAGATCGACACATCCCCAAGCTCCATCCTTTCGGCAAGCCTCAACTCCGGCGCAATTACATCGGTTTGTTGCCGAAACGGTGGAAACGAGAGCGAGAAGAGTAGTGGCGACGGTAAGTATAGCCCGCATGGTGTTCTTGGTATTTTTCCGACTGTAGAGGTTAGGCTAGTTATGTTTGAGTACTAAGTTAACGACCGAACGAACGACGGCGATCGTAAAAGCCCTATTTGTACTCAACGCTTTGCCCCTGATATAAAGGAGTTGTTGTGATAAAACTCTGCTATAAATAGTATCGCAATTTTGTTAGCTATAGAGCTTAGGCTGGTAGCCTAGTAGCCTAGTTGTGTTTGCAACTTCTGCAAGGCAGATAACAAGGAAGGTTACGGGGGTCTGTAATAAATCGTATCGCTATTTTTAGTATTTTTTTTAGACGGCTGAGCACTTTCGAGTAAAAGCGCTCGATTCCTCAATTCTGGATTTATAGTTTAGTAGAACTATCTTAGGAGGATAAGAATTTCCTCGAGCCTAGTAGCCTAGTTATATTTGCAACTTCTGTAAGGCAGATAACAAGGAAGGTTATGACTCTGGTTTTCCCATGCCATGCATGTGTAGAGATGTCCATCCACGAGCCACAACCCTAATTAAGCTTATAGACTTGCGCATCCACCCTGGTATACTCGAGGAGCCGCTGTGGACCATTTGTAGGTGCCTAGGGGAATAGCCTGAGGTATCTAGAGCCAGGCCGTTCCTACTACTCTGTAGCTATTCTGGGGCCCGTGCTAGGCGACGTTATATGTTGGTCCACCTGCGGTCTTTTGTCGTCCATTCAGTGTATTCTGTGTTTTCTCGAGAATCGGTATGACCACCCATCTCTAGCCATGATTCCATGTCGTGCCGGGATTTGCATGCAGAGCGCGTGGCATGATTTACGCCAAAGACCGCAGTTTGCGTTGCTCAAATATCTGGCTCAATCATTGACCTTAACGCACTTAGTGGATTACGCGCACGACTTGGAAATCGCCGACGACTTTGGGACTTTGAGGAATTATCTTGTGGAGGGACTCAATCATCTCATTTCGACCCCGAACTACTGATCTAGTAGCAGATCCAGATTGAGATCCCTCCCGTTGGAAGATAGCTTCTCCTTTTGCTCGTCGCTCATCTCAGGCTTGTCACTAGCCCTTTTGATTTCTCGTGTGCTCACATCTTCTTCTTTGGCATTTCCCCCCTTCTTCTCATCGTCGTCCGCGCATCCACAGTCGTAGAAGTCGCCAATGTTCGCACAATCGAATATCTCCTTTTTCAGTCTCTCGTTCACTTTGTTGTGAACATGGCATGCCCAAGCCGCCGCAGCCGACCGCGAGGATACTTGGGGAGGGAACTTCTTGAGCAATCCTCCAAAATGTTCTGCGCACTCTCCGCAGGGGTAGAGTCTCTGAAATAGATGTATGAAGCTTCTCAAAGCAGTACTCTCATCTTCAGTCGGCTTATCTGGGAAGCGAGCCATCATGGTATGAAGAACTTTCCATGCTGCCCTTCCCAACTCTGCTTTCGCGGTCTCATTTCCCAGCTTCGAGGCAATGGCATGGCCTGTCAGCGCGGTCTGTCCCAGATGTAGGGTATCACTATCTGTCTCTTGCAATGCCAAAGAGGCATGAGTAGCGGCTCTGTCGGCTCGACGTATTGCAAGCGCATCTGCGCTATCTCTCATAGCATGGAAGCCCTTTTGTATACCAAAGAAGGCGAACATGCAGAAGACGGCGAGGATGATATAATATCGGCGGCCTGCTCGTACCGGCGCCATGGTGGGTAGAAGGCGCAATTGCTATGTGGCTATCGTATTTCGAATCTCATGGTGAATGTTGTATACGAAGCATATTCGCTCCTCATTGTCAGCATGAGGACACATGTGAAGTCGACAGGCGTCATCAAACTCTCAATGAAAGCTTCGGACGCATCGGCCCGCTCCTCCGTTCCTGCAGTCACCGTTACCGAGATCGCCTATCGCTTCACTTTGAGAAATTTCACCGACATACGCTGCTTCGTCCAAGACTCTGCCGGAAATACTGTCTAATTCAGCAACGACGACATGGCAAACACGTTCCCACCTCCTGCTGTCAATACTATTGGTATGAAAAGCAAGATGGCACACCAGTGGCTCTACTGACGAACGCTATCTCACGACAGACTGGTCAGACATTGGCTTCAAGGTCCGCGAAGGTAAGTCTTCAATTGATATGAATTGAAGTCTGTCGTTGCTGACACTTTAGTAAAGTCAACGGCCACATTGAATCTACCTACTCCGTCAAGACCGGCCAATGGACTCCTCCAAAATTTGTCGCCGACTCTTTTCTCCGTATTCATGGCATGGCACCGGGCTTGAACTACGGCATGCAATGCTACGAAGGTCTCAAAGCATCGCGGGGTCCAGACGACAAGACTATCGGCATTTTCAGACCACAGCAAAATGCCGAGCGATTGCAACATTCTGCCTCGTACGTCAGCGTGCCAGAAGTTCCAGTTGAGCACTTCAAGAAGTCTGTCCATCTTGCTGTATCTTTGAACGCCGGGTTTGTGCCACCACATTGGACTGGAGCTAGCATGTACATTCGGCCACTTCTTTTCGGCTCAAGTGCTCAGCTTGGTCTTGACCCACCGGAGGAGTACACTTTTGCCGTTTATGTTATGCCGACTGGTGTCTACCATGGTGTACATCCAGTAGCGGCATTGATTCTTGAGGATTTCGATCGAGCAGCACCCGAGGGCACTGGAAGCGCCAAGGTCGGTGGTAACTATGCTCCTGTCCTTAGACACAGTGGCAAGGCCAAGAAGGAGGGCTTTGGCATTACTCTTCACTTGGACAGCAAGACAAGATCAGAGGTTGACGAGTTCTCGACATCTGGTTTCATTGGTATCCACGGCACTCCAGATGATGGCGTTACAATAGTCGTACCAGACAGCAAGAATGTCATCAAATCAGTCACTAGCGATACGATCTGCCAGATTGCCAAGAGCTGGGGCTGGAAGGTTGAGTGCAGACCAGTAAGTCTGAAAGCATGATAGTTTGTGAACGTCACACTGATGAATACCAGATCAAATACGAGGAACTTCCAAAATTCACAGAAATCGCTGCTGCAGGCACAGCAGCCGGTCTCGTCCCAATCAAGAGCATCACCATGCGTTCCAAGAACGACACATTTAAATATCAAGGCGGCGGCGACGAGCCTGGTCCAGTTTTCGTGAAACTCCTCACACAGCTGAAGGGCATTCAGCAAGGCAAGGTCAAGGATGAATTCGGCTGGGTCGAGCAAGTACGCGCATACAAGCCAGATGAGTACGAGAGCGACGGCGCAAATGAGCCCAATGGTGGGAGTGGATATTCAGTCAGTCAATTGCCATAAAGGCCCCATATAAAAGGTCACTTTAGATGATTAATCTTCAAAGTGAAGTGCTGTTCTCCGAGTAGTTCCAATGCTAGCACAGAACGAACCGGACGTAATTGCCATAGCAGTGCATCAATAAAAGAACGCACAGCGCTCAGGACGCTTCAAAAGACAGTGCATGCACAGTGAGATCGAATTCCATCTGCGAACGAGCATCCCATCCCACCATCACTTCTTCGAAAACCCCAACACCTTCCTCTCCCCGGCCCCCAATCTGCTCGTAACCCCCAGGGCGATGACAGCCACTTGGAACTGCTCTACCTGGACTTACATGCAAGATGCAGAATTTCGACACCGCCAGCATCTCAAGCCCCGCCGCCGTTGAGAAACGCACGTGCACGACTCGCTAAAGCTATATAACCGTCAGAAAGCCTCTTCCATTTAATCAGAGAAAGGAAAGCACAAATGTAAGCCGCCATTCCAAAATGGCGCAATGGTAACGCGATCTGATGATAAGTCAAAAATTCTGCTAACTGCTGATTCAACTGCTACCAAGTAGTGATGACGAAAGAGGAATTTCGCTTCCGTCTCAATTGAAAAATTGGGGCGTTTCGTTTTTGCTATTGCACCCACAACCTCCTGTACTCCATCGGCTCCTCTCCCTCCTGCACCTCGACCTCTGCCTGCACTGCATCGTACAAATTTGCACTTTTGAAGGGCCGACTTTCTCTTAACCATTGAAATCTGATATTGCCTGCCCACTCCGAAGAGCCTAGAATTTTTGCCTCCGTTATTGACGTCTTCTGGATAGATATGGCTGAAGACTTTTTCGAGGTTAGGCCAGGATAGGTCGAAGTGCTTGAGGATGATTGCTATGGTCATGCGGTGGGGGTGAGTCCATGTGAAAGTGACTTTACTTCGCGGCTTTCTCTTTTTGGTGGTGCGGTTTGAAGTGATGGCGGAGTCGATTCGGGAGCAGGCTTTGGGATTTGGCTTGGAGTTGAGAGAGGGTGTCGGTGGGAGGGGAGGCTGATCGCCCTGGTCGCTCAGATCCTCTCGCTCCGTATCATTGCGCGGGATGGCTGGTGTGGAGGGCGCACTCTCGCGCATGACTGCGTTTGCGAGGCCAGAAGCGGCGAAGGAGGAGATTTGGAGGGAAGCCTTGTTTTCCTGGTCCTTCGCCTCGTTTTGTAGGAATGGCTGGAGCGGAGGGTGCACTCTCACCCATGGCTGCTTCTGCCAGGCTAGAAGGAAGAGGTAGGTCGCAAAGGATGCTGGCGGCGGTAAGATAATCTGCGTGATCGTGCATCGGCTGAATTGGAAAGGACGTGTAGTATGTACCTCGAAGGTATGCCGAGATGCTGAAGTTGCATTGCAGGTGCAATGCGTTAGCGACCGTAAGTATCACATCGAAGATGTTGCTGTTGCAACTACAGTAAGTCCGAGAGCTATCACATCCATGCATGTGATGAATGTGAGCGCTGTCGCACATGGTAGATAGACCAGGTGAGGTCGCATAGCCTCAGGGTCGGCATGCATGTGAAAGATATAGGCGGTCTCTAATGAAAAATGACCAGATGGTGCGTAGGTTGCGTATCACATTTCTGGTATATGAGCATTAGCTACCTCCTTCTCAAGCTCTTCATAGTGACTTCTTCCGCGACAAATGTACCTTCTACACTATAACTTGCTATCACTTTTATTCTCTTTATAGTTTAGCGGCTAGAAGAAGTCTTCTATAAAGAGCCTAAGGACAAATGTCGCAAAGCAGCTATTCTAGCGTTATATATATATAGAACAGGTTAAATAGTATAACAACTATATACTTTCGCTAAAAGTTATATTAGAATCGTACCTACGGAAGGATATAGAGAAGATCTTTGCTTATATAAAGGATACTCTATCTCTTTAGCTACGTAAATGAAAATTACAAAACACTACTCCGTAAGAAACGCTATACGAATAGTATCCGAATTGCTTCTATATCGGGTAGAAGGGAATATACAACCCTATCGTAAAGCATATACGGTCCTTAAGAATTGCCTAGCTAACAAGCTCTAAGTATCGCTATATCGATCGGCCTACGTTAAGGTATAGTTGTCGTTAGAGAGAGCTAGCTATACTAGCTATACGTATATTAGCTATATCGGGTACGGGCGTAATCTAGTTAGCTAGATAGCTAGCTCGAGTATCTCCCGATATATTCTATTAATATTCTTTCTAAAAGCTAAATCTATATCGTAGTATACGATACTATCTTGTATTCGGATTCCTAGTATTATAGACCGCTCGCGAGTTGTTTTCCAAATCTATAAGGACCGCTATATTAAACAGCTAACATTTGTCCTTAGACCCTTGCTAACGCAAGGAGTAGTAAGTAGGTGCATTAGTTAAAGATTAGTGTTAGAAGGTGCGTATTGTGCCTGCCTCTGCGACTTGCGTTCAATTAGGAAGGGGCTAAAACGGAGATAGCATTAGCTACCTCCTTCTTAAGCTCTTTATAGTGACTTCTTCCGCGACAAATGCACCTTCTATACTATAACTTGCTATTACTTTTATTCTCTTTATAGTTTAGCGGCTAGAAGAAGTCTTCTATAAAGAGCCTAAGGACAAATGTCGCAAAGCAGCTATTCTAGCGTTATATATATATAGAATAGGTTAAATAGCATAACAACTATACACTTTCGCTAAAAGTTATATTAGAATCGTACCTACGAAAGGATGTAGAGAAGATCTTTACTTATATAAAGGATACTCTATCTCTTTAGCTACGTAAATGAAAATTACAAAACACTACTCCGTAAGAAACGCTATACGAATAGTATCCGAATTGCTTCTATATCGGGTAGAAGGGAATATGCAACCCTATTATAAAGCATATACGGTCCTTAAGAATTGCCTAGCTAACAAGCTCTAAGTGTCGCTATATCGATCGGCCTGCGTTAAGGTATAGTTATCGTTAGAGAGGGCTAGCTATACTAGCTATACGTATATTAGCTATATCGGGTACGGGCGCAATCTAGTTAGCTAGATAGCTAGCTCGAGTATCTCCCGATATATTCTATTAATATTCTTTCTAAAAGCTGAATCTATATCGCAGTATACGATACTATCTTGTATTCGGATTCCTAGTATTATAGACCGCTCGCGAGTTGTTTTCCAAATCTATAAGGACCGCTATATTGAACAGCTAACATTTGTCCTTAGACCCTTACTAACGCAAGGAGCAGTAAGCAGGTGCATTAGTTAAAGATCAGTGTTAGAAGGTGCGTATTGTGCCTGCCTCTGCGACTTGCGTTCAATCAGGAAGGGGCTGAAACGGAGATAGAGCATTAGCACTGCTTTGCCAGCGCTTCTTTCTGATTGAAAAAGGGCGCAAGCCACTGGAGGCATCCGAAGTCTTCCTGTAAGAAGTGCTTTGATTTCGTTGAAATGAATCCGCGTCTACGAAATTCTTGTCGTCCAAAGAAACCTCTTTTTGTATCCAAAGCCTTGGTCAAGATGTCCTAGATGCTGTTAGCTTGACCCAGAAACCCAGTCACCAAGTGCTTCGACAGGATCGCTGAGTCAAACCGCCATCTGGTACTGATGATTGTTCGCCGCAGAAAATATCCTCATATCATAGGGCTGCTTTTGAAAGAAAGTGGTCACATCATGGTAGTGCGTTTGCGGCGGAGCATCAGGCAGCTTTGGTGCAAAAGTCATCTGAGGCAAGTGGCCAGGCGCATGCCAGCCGGACCTTTTCTTCGATCTTCGAGCCTAGGTAATCATCATCTCTATTATACATTTGAGCAGGCACCCTGCTTTGATATTCGTTGCTTCCCACGCACCATTCGCGATCGATCACCCTATGCCGCCTCTCAATGCAACCCATTATTACCCATCTCATTCCATTTCATATACATTGGCCATCCGCGGCGATGATGCGACCTTCCGATCTAGGTTGATTGAAGCCTTGGGCGTCACAGGACTATGCTGCCAACTCGATACCTCCGTCCGCACAGTCGCCGAAGTCTGTGGCCTCTCTTCGCCTCCTGGAGGATGAAAAAGATATCCTTGCGCGAATGACGAAAGCTTCTTCATCACCGCAGGATCTCGACCGAAAGCTGGTGTGCTCGCATCTCCAACTCCATGGTGTGTTACGTCGCCGATGAAGACATTGCATCCAATTACAAACGCGAAGCTTCGAGGATTCTGCTCGGAAAGAAGTAGGACCTCGCACTGAAGACTGCCGATGCTGAATGTCTGGCCATCTTGGAAAGAATTGAATCCCGAGGTCCCTAATGTGGTTCCGTATTGTCGCGCAAACATTCTCTGGACGCCAGCTATGGCGTTTCCTGTGCATATTCTGGGAGCCTGGCCAGTCTTGTCTCTGAGTTGACTACGCAAATACCACGCCGCTGTTTGTGAGTCTCGCTGAGAGTGTGTTTCGAGGATGCGTGTAATGTGGTAGCCATGCTGGTGAACGACTTCTAGTATCCTGTCTGCTCCTGTAGTTGCGATTTCTGCTGCGGTTTTCTTGTCGAGTACTGGATTTATGATTACTGCATCGTGAGATCTTGGATCTGCCACTATCCAAGACCAAGTCTGTGTTGTCGGTTCAAAGAACGTGTGGACTTCAGGCTCCATGTTTGCGAATGAGTGATTTTGCACCCAATGAGTGTCGCCGAGTTGGATCGAGCCTTTCCGGCCGTCGATGGTGTTTTAGTGAGCGTAGATGGAGAATTCAGCTCGGTCAAGGACGCGGTAGTAGATTACACGCGCAATCAGTCATGAAAGAAGTACGAAGCCACCTACCTCGAGGATCCGCCATGGGCCTAGCGGTGTAGCGCGTATATCAACCTGTACGACGTTGACAATCGCCGTGCATTAGAACGGCGACCTTTTCGGTTGGCAACCCGAGCGAATCTCATCGCTTTTGTTGCCAGGATCCTTTGGTAGCGAGCCCGTGTCTGAAGTCTGGGACAACCTGATAACAATGATCAAGCATGGTCTGTGAGCCAATTGCACGGCGTTTGCATGTAGAGGAACTGCTGATGAAACAGTACGTTCCCCCTTTTATGCTTTTTATCTTGACCTGTGCCGGTGAGGAGACTGCTTTGAGGATAGCGTCGATGCAAGGGCTTGAGGTTGATCATGCAGGTCCCTGCGTTGGAGAGTTGTGCAGACAAGCAGGCCAACGCTGTTGTGACGCACTGTGACAGCCATAGCAATATCCGTCAACCCGGCTGGTCACTCTGCCACGGCTCGTCTAACGGCAGTACCACAATGGCGATATTGGGACATCTTGGAAGCATGCATCCATGCCGGGCCGCCGACGAACCGGGCCGTTTTAAATAGACCTTCCATTTCTCAGGTCTCGATACTAGTGCACATGCAAGGGCCAGGGTTCTTCAATGCGTGCTAATAATCGTAGGTAGCACGCAAAATGGTGCGTGCTACCTATTGCGGGTTATTAGTATAGTAAATCTCGTAGATAGCACCTAGTATAACTCGTAGAGGGCATATCTACTATTACTATTAGTTTTTAACCCCCTAAGTATTATTTTAGTATAGTACGCGTCTTGCCTTCGCGCCTCTTATAGAACTAGCTTTATAGACCTTATCGTCGCTATTATTATCGCTATTGTATCGCATTCCAGCTCTTGTTACGTATATTTCTTACCTACTATACTAAGGAACGACGACTAGTTAGTATACCGCTATTTTACATAGTATAAGGATAGAGATAGCAAAAGGCGCGTATCCTATAAATATAGCGGCTGCTAGTATAATAAGGTAAAGGATCGGAGGCGTAATAAGGACTACGCGGACGCGTGCGAGTTTAGGAAGGCCGCTAAAGGTAGTAGTAGTAGAAGGTCGACGTTAGTAGAACTAGGACAAGAAACACTACTATTCTTCGAGCTAAGTGCGAGTTAGTACGCGTACGTCGAACAGCTATACGCGGCGGTCTGTTTCGAAGAGAACGAGCCCTTTACCTTCTAGTAGAAGCTAGCGATTAAGCGCCTATTTAGCGCTATCTATCTAGGCTTCGAGTTGCTAGACTAGAACCGTATTCGCCGTTACCTATTGCCGAAGTACTTCGCGAAGGTAGAAGAAGCGGTACTCGAGAAGATAGCGTATAATAACGAGCTGTCGCTTTAGATTAACGGCTCGACTAATAAGAATAGAATAGGGGTAACAACGCTCTTTATTATCGACTCGACTAGTTACTATACCTTCGAAACGCGTTAGATAGAAAGCACTAACGAGAGCGCGGAAGAAGGCGTACGTTAGACAAAGGCGAAGTATAAACAGCTTACTACTAGTAACCTCTCTCGGATTAGTACTATTATCTTCGATATTTGCGAGGTTAATATAAAGATAATAAGGTTGCTAGAAGCAGACCCTTTACTAAGCTACGTTATTATAGTGCCCTGCGACGCCTATAGCGAATGTCTTTATATAAAGGACATCTTCCGAGAGCCCTCAATCGCGGCATTCTATAGTAAAGTATTATACCTATATACTACCCTTACTCGGAAGAAGGCTATATACTAGTTACTTAAGCAGTACTAAAGAGCCTGTTACGATAGCAAGATATATACTATAACTATATAGGGCAGCACCCGATAGGCGACAATATTAGGTGTTTATAAGTCTATTCGCCGTACTAAACACGCCCTTTAAGACCTCGTACGCGACCCTCGCTATTTACTAGATTATAAGGCCGTTTCTTTAGTAAAGGACTAGAACTTCTAGACCTAACTTAATGCTATTATTTAGGTACTAGAGCCTCTAAATAACTAACTCGTTCTCGTATAAAGTAAGGCTTATACGCTCGAAAAAGTAATACCTAGCTAGTATTAAATAAAGGCGGATTTAGAGCGACTCGTAGACCTAAAGAACCCTCTACTAATCCGAGAGATAATCGACGGTATAGAATACGTCCGCCTTACTCGTAAGAACGCTCGTACTATAACTAGTTAGTAAGAGCGCTTTAATCGTTAGATTAATAAGCACTACTAGGCAGCATACTTCCTTAATCCGGCGACTTTAGTAAAGCCAGATAAGAGGCAACAAGAACAGGTTATTGCGGCCCTTCGGACGGTTATAATAGACGTTGCTAAACAGCTTCAGATTAAGAATAAGTACTACGACTTTATCCGTAGAATAGGCTTCTTCTTACCGTTAAATAACTGCTAGACTCTGTCTATAAAGGGCTTCTAGTCTAACCGCTATATAGTCGCTCCTATATTAGCCGAGTACGCGTTACGGCTTTGCTTAACGACCGCTAATATAGTAACTGCTAAGCGGACCTTCTTAGTCCTTCGGCTAGTTTAAATACGACTAAGATACCGCCTTATAATAGAGCGGTTAAACTAGTTAATATTTATCTACTTTAATAGCTGTATTCTACGCGCTTCTAAGCAACCTGTAACTAAGAAGCGGAAGCGTACTGCTTAGAGCTAGAGCTAGCAAAAGAGCGACTTTACTAAAGAATAGATATACTAATTTAAAGCGGAAGAATAGGAGGCTATATTTAATACTATAGTAGAGCTCTAAGAAGCATTGTCTACCGTAGTAAACACTACTTTAGACAATGTAATAGACAGCGAGAGCGAAGATCTAGAGAAGGTCTATAGATATATAGATATTAGCGACCTGCTAGCCTAAATTAGCTACTTTGTATACCTAGATTGACACCTTTCCTAAGTAATCTATGCCGGATTTCCTACCTCGGTTATATACCTACGTGCTAACAATATTGTTAGCACGCAAATGCGTGCTAATTATTTTAAATCGCATAAGCGCTACCTACGATTGAAGAACCCTAGCAAGGGCGTATTGGCTGTGAGCGCCGATGGCGTTTGCCTCGCGATGCACAGCCAGGCAGAATATCAGACAAACGATATAGTTGTTGATCAAACGCACAGGGGCCACAGGATGTCGACAGCAATATGCATTTACGATCTTCAAAGCTGTTCGGCGTCGGCGATTCGATACGGTGTCTAGAACTAACGAGAGTCGCCGACCACGCGATTCGTGATGTGATGCATGTGCGTTCAACAACACAAGTTCGAGGGTCAGCCAGCAGAGGAGAAGCCAGTCGGAGGCGTGTGGTGGATGAATAATACTTTCCATCCGCCAATGCCAAGCATTCACCTGCCTCTGCCTCGGCTCATCCCCAACCGCTTCCATCCGTATAGGCGCATAGCTTGCCCGTCCACGAACACCACTTTCACGATTGGTAATATGACAAGCGACAACATGTCGAATGGCAAGCCCAAGGTAGAGATCCCGGCATGGCAGCGAGCTGGCGCTCAACCCGAGCCAGCGCCCGCCGACGACCCCGTCCACAGCCAACCGCAACACGAAGAGAACAATGATAGCACTCCGGCCGAAGCGAAAGATGATGTTCCGGATGAAGTGGCCCCCTCTGTAGCAGCTACCGACCATGCACGAACCGAAGCATCTCAGCCAGAAGAGCAAGCCGAGAAGCAGCAAGATGTCACTCAGGCCGAAGACTTCGAAAGCTTCAAGTCACGACAGCAACAGCAGCCTGTCCAGCAGAGTGCACCGCCACCGCAGCGACAACAGGAGCGACCGCCGCCTATTATCACGTATCCCGAATTTTTGGTAGAAGCTCAGAAGCCTCCTCCTCTAGTCACTCCTGGCCGAGTGCTGAATGCATTGTACGCGGGAGGGGCTGTTGCTGCAGTCCTGTATGGAGCCAGCAGATGGCTTATTACACCAATGGTAGACGCGCTATCTGAGTCGCGACACGACCTCTTCAGCCACACGCAGACCAAGATGGATGAGTTCAACGAGCGTCTTGCAAAGATCGCGAGCAAAGTGCCAGAGTTCAAGGCGGATCAAGCCGAGTTCGATGATGATAACGCAAGCGATACCAGCGACCCAACGGAGCTTTATCATCGAGATATGGGCACGCAGACATCTCCCCCGCAGACCCCGAGTCCAGCGACGGGAGCAGAAGTCAAGAGAGATATGGTCACGCACGCAGAGGACACTCTTAAGATCATAAGAGAGCATATCAGTGAGCTGGCAGACGGCTCAGACAAGGCAGGCGAAGCGCACAAAGATAGACAGGAGAGTGTCAACACCCTGCGACATTATCTTGATGGCTTGATCTATGGCGCTGCAGGTGTTGGCACTTGGACGCAATCTGAAGATGCCATGACGATGAAGAAGAATGGTACAGACGCTGATGGCAAGGATGGCATCGAAGAATTGAAGAAAGAAATCAGAGGCGTCAAAGGCGTTCTGCTCAGCGCAAAACGCTTTCCAGCTGTTAGCAGGCCTATTGGCGCAACAGCATAGTCAGCGTCGAGCGATGCGTGAAGCTGCTGCCGCCAGGTGTGTAGCAGGTAGGACCAAACCAAAACCGAGCTGGCCAAGAAAGCACAAACCGTCTCAAGCCGCGGACTGGAAGACCAGCTGACTTGTGCGCGCCCATTCGTCATATATCTGAAGTGGTTGACGTGGTGCTTGAGCCACTTCCGCTTCTGACACCAGATCTCGTCGACATCATCACCAAGAATCCAACCACATCCCTGTCGCCGCAGATTCGAACAGCATCAGATAATGCAGCCACTAAATCGTGGGAAGATTGCTATCCAGGTTGACCGGCACTCCTGTTCGTAGCCACAATGTCAGGCCTTCCGACGATCGTTCTGGACAGGACCTTGACTGGTTTATATGGCAAACATCCGCATACGATAACCGCTCACATCTACTGTGGTGTCACCAGTGCTTCAAACCTCAGCCCTGACTTCCCACGCAATCTCAAGTATATCTACCTGGAGGCAGCATTTAACGATCCGCAACATGATGTCAGTGACGAGAGTGCACGGCGATCACTCGCCATCAAGATGCTTTCACTAGTGCCTCAGCGAGATTCATTCATTACTGGTTCATCACCAGTCATATTTCTCCATCTGGGCCAGACAGAGAACGGCAAAGCACAAGACAAAGAGGAACAGGCTCGAACACCAGCCGTGCTTGATCAATCGCAAAGGCCGAACGTCCTGTTCTGTCAAGGACCGCTTGATGTGCACCACATCAACAAGCAGCACAATATTTCTAGCGTCACATCCAGAGTCGTTGTTGATGCAGTGGCCGAAGCAACCGACAACCCTCCCGGACGCGGATTGACCTCGCTTGTCGAACTTGACAGGATCTGGTAACTGAACTCGAAGGAAGCTCTTGCCAAAAGTGGGCTTCCGACACCGAAAAGTACTGTTACTGAGTTAGAAGAATACGAGGATGGAGGCAAGTTCTGTACCCCAGGCATCGAAGACAGTCTCGATCAAAGTCCTTTTGACTCTCGAAGGCCATCCGGATACAATGTTTGGGTGGAGCAGCAAGTAAGCGCCATAATGACCGACTTGAGGAAACATCCTTTGCCAATTGTAGTGAAAGGCAATCAGTCGTTCGGTGGGGCTGGCACCTGGGTGCTTACAAGTGAGGAAGACCGAGAGAATTTCATTGACGACCTCATGACCGGAGGCCTTCTTCGGAAGCTTCTCAGCTACATCACCGCCAGTAATGAGCACCTCAATCTGGGGAAAGTGGTCATTCAGGAAGTCGTACACGACCCTGTTCGAGATGTTGGATTGAACTTCTTCGTTAAGGCTGATGGCACATCGGAGTTCCTGGCTGCTTCAGAGCAGATGATCGATCGTGTAAGTAGTGCTTGGATCGGCAGTACCATCGACTATTCTGAGCAGGACAAATGGCGTAAAGATCTTGAGCCACGCATGAACCAGATCGGTTCCTGGCTCCACGAGCACGCTTATGTTGGACCCGCCGGCGCCGATATCCTCGAAACTAAATCCGGAGAAAGGCTGATAGTGGATCTGAATGTGCGAACTACGGGATCGCTGTGCCTATCTCTGCTCAGCAAGCACTTCACAAGTCGTGGGTTGAATGCCGCTTCATCTTTCTCCATCACTGTTGAGCAGGACCGAGACCAATTCATTGATACTTGGCGTGATAAATTTAAGGAGGGGCGCTTTATAATAGTGGCATGGTATCATGAGGCTTCCCTGGGCCAGAGCTATGCGAATGTGGTCATTGGAGCGGAAGATCAAGCGGCGTAACCGGAGGTCATCGAAAAAGCGCGAAGCATGGGTGGCAGCGTGACGTTTTGAGAAGCTGACCCTCGAACATTATTTAAGCCTCCGACACTTGAAGACTAAGCTCGGCTACCCACAAGCTTGACACATGTTCCGTTTTCACCCGACCATGAGAGTCATATTGCCCTGCCCTTTTTATTAGGTATAGAAAAGTGAACGTAGACAATAGCTATCTCTCGACCCGTAGCTTAGATCTAGATCCTCCTATTTATACGAGCCCGGGAAGAAAGTGCGTTAGATACAGCGCGAGGCTACGCGATACCGTAGCTAGTACTTATCTATATACGTAGACCTATAGTCGCTACCTTTATCCGCCGCTATATCGAATAGCTATTAGAAGCTATACGGAAAAGTCTAGCTCGACCGGAAATATAAAGACATCTTAGCCTCTCTTAGCGAACACTACGCGATACCTTAAATACTACAAAATATAACGCGTTAGCTTAGTTACATAATAGGCACGTAACTTCTTAGCTTAAAGAATTTTCTATACTATATTTTAGACTATAGAAGAGATAGAATATAGGCAATTAATAAAGCTAATTCAACCGCCGGCAATATAGTATTACGTAAGTAATCTACTACGCTATACGTAATAGTTATAAGCCCGGATTTAATCCGCGGTATTAGAGACTTCTATAGTAGGAAAGAATTTTCTATTCTACGAGACCTTTAATAATCGATAGTCTTAACGGTACTATAAACAACAACTATTTAAGCTTCTATAAGCCTCTATAATCGCTTTAAAGCAACGTTAGTATATCCTTAATAGCCCTCTTATTAGCTAGCCGCCTTAGTAGTAGCAAGCTTATTGTCCTTCGTAGACTAAACGACTAGGATCGGTAGTTTAAGCAAACTAAGACGTACCTAACTAGATATAAGACCTAGGTCCTTACTAACCTATATTCGACTAAACCTACTAAACTAGTATAACCCCTTCTTCCGGAGTTCGATATAGAACAGTTAACTTATAAGTAACCCCCTATATTAGGCTAGAGCAAAGCTTACTAAGGAATACTTTAATATAAGGAAGGCGGAGTTTAAACGCTTTAGGAAAGCTCGCAATAAGACAATTAAATATCTAGCTACAACTATAGATATCCGCTATTACTTAGAGATTACTAATCCTAATATAGACAATATAGCACTAACTATACGGCTTATCCTAACTCGATTAAAGAACAAGCTTGCACCTAATATGCAATAGCAAAGAACGGCTCTTAGCAAGGAGCTATAACGCCTTATAAACTCTAAGCAGGTAAAGGACCCTAAGCACTAGTATAAGGAATAGCTTAACCTATACAAGACTATAAAGCGTATACAATACCCGGAATTTAACAACTTAGTAACCTACCTATATACTATAGTTACAAATATAGATAAGACCTATAGCAAAGGCCTCTATATAATATACTAGGTAGGTCTATCGGTTAACAACTTCTATTAACTAATTAGCATAGTACGAGAATATACCTACAATATACTAGGTACCTCTACGAAGAAGGGTTTATCTTTTAGCGTTATCTACGAAGAAACAGGTAAAGCTAGTACTAATACCGCTCTATAAGCTACGGACGACAACGACAAGCCTAATAAGAATAAGGGCCGTAGTAATAGTAGCAACCGTATACCGAAGACCTATACTAAGCTTACTAGCGTAGGCGAAAAGAAAGCTTATAAAAACCGCGGCAAATGCACTATAGTAAACTACCGCCTTCGAGAATAGGTTAAAGAGAGGATAAGGACAATAAGTAGAAAGGAAAGCTAAAGTACTTTAAGGCCTACCTACGCAAGAACAAGGGCTTCTGCTTAAGACAAGCTAAGTTCTTTAAGGACCTACTAGCTATTAAGATTGTATAGCAACACTATAGTTTATCCTCTTCCTCTAATAATAGAAATAATACTAGAATGGGCAATAGATCAGACAAAGTCTTACTAGCCTGTTTCTTTAAACCTGATACTCTAGACCTATTATCTTTCGCCTTAGTTACCCTTATACTAACTACCTATCTATTAATAGCTACAAATAGGAGTAAGAAATAGAACCCCTTTATTGCCCTAATGTACGATAGTAGATCTAACTGCAACATTGTTAACTACCCTAGTCGCTTTAACTTTTAGGCAATATTTATTCTACCGCGAGCTACTATAGCAACAGGAACTAGTTATAATAAGGTTATCGCTATCGGAAGGGCATTCTTTACTATTAAGTTAGTAGCTAACAAACCCCTAACTATTAAACTAAGGGAATGCCTCTATGTCTCTAACTTCTATACTAATATTGTTAGTAGGGCGATTTTCTACTACCGAGGGTTTAAGTATAATAAGCTTAATAATGTTCTTTATAACCTACAAGGAAAACCCCTAGTCCCTCTTATTAGACCGGACAACTATATACCCTATTTCGATATTACCTATAAAGTAGACGGTAAACCTCCGCTCGAATAGCTAATAGGGGATAAAGGCAAGCTATACCTATACCCCTTCTAACTGTCTCAGTTATTGGCAATAACTATACTATTAGCCTACGTAATAGCTCGTCGCTCCGTACGCCTACTACCGCTAAGGAAGCTTACCCTTAAACAAATATATAAGGTGTTTAGATATCTCGGCTCTAAGAGAGCGCAAGAGCTTATAGATAGAGTTGATAGAATAACAAGAGATTGCGCATATAACAATAAAGTACTAAGAATACTGCTTTGTCCGATATATATATAAGCAAAGGGCAAGAGGCTTATCTCTAGGAGGCTAAGGCACTATAATATATCGATATTAACTCTATATAGATATATTGTAGCCGACTTAATGCAACTAGATACGGCCTACAATAGCGACTAGTACATCTTTTACGTATACGACCTAAATACTAGACTTCACTTTATATAGACAATTAGTAATCGCTAGGAATTAACTCTCCTATAATGCTAGAACTAAATAGCTACCTTCGTACGTAGTATTAGACGAGATATTATTTGTTTGTTATCTAATAATAAAGGAGGTATATTAGGCTTTCGGTTTCGATCCTATCTACGTAATAACTATACCACTTAGAGGCTAACAGCCCTATATACATTAGAATAGGACCTAGCTAAGCGAGCAGGCCGTACTATTATTAAGGTAGCTCGAGCCTTAATAATATACGCTAGATTTCTATACAACCTATAGCTAGAAGCAGTTTATACAGCAACCTTCCTAGCTAATAGGTTACTAAGATTACGCACAGCTAACCTACCGATGCGTACCCTATACGAGATTGGCACTAGCTATAAGCTAAATATAGCCTATATCTACTAGTTTAGAGCAAGGGCATATCTAGTAATCTACGGCATAGAGACAACTAATAGCAAAAGGAAGGCTATACTACTAAACACTATAAAAGTAGCCTTACGAACCTATATTAGATACCTATATAGATACGGGAGACACTCTATCTATCGGATATAGGTACCCTTACGAATAATAGTGCTACGTATAAGAGACGTTATATTTGATAAGACCAAGTTCTATAATAGCTATAATAACGACCTAGGCGTTATTATAACTAACTAAGAGCTTGCAGAAGAATATAGTAATCTCGAAGAGCTATAAGTACCCGCCTCGGAGTATTAGTTTAACGAGCTTCGAGAAGCCTACGATATACCTCTAGACCTTGTTAGGTTTAGAGCTAAGGGGGTAGATATACTAATAGGGCCTAGTCGACTTATAATAGTTAATAGGCTAACAGATAACCCTATTAGACTAGGACTACTACTACCTTAAGAAGAACTACTAGCACTAGCTAAGCTATAGCTTATATAGGTACCTATATAGAAATAAGACTTTCTAATTAATCTACGCGAAATACTACAATCGCGTAATAACGTACTAAGTGAATTAGTAGAACTAACTATTAATTAGCAACCTTAACAACCTAAGAACGATGCTAGCAATAAAGCCCCTACTAACAATGTAGACGCACTAGGTTATATAGATAATATAGACTTCAACTTGCTACGTACTAAGCTAGCTAAATTACTAATGCTAATTGAAGCTGCTAATATATCTTATCGTTACTTACTAAATCTAGGCGGTCCGCACTACCGTATTAACAATCCAAATAAGAGACAACGAGTAGCCGCGATCCGCTATAATGTTAGCAATCGAGAACAGGCAAAGCACCTTCTATTACTTAGTAGCCTTTATATAGCCGCCGAACATAAAGCACGCTCTATATAGCCTCCTCGATCGAGTAAGCCCGATATACCTAATTTACTAGGTCTACTACTACTACTTCTATACGACGAGCATAATTCAAGCCTTATACCGAAGGTCTTAGACCTACTAGTAGAGCTACGTAACTAGCGCTAAGTATTAAAGAGTCGGTTTAAAGAATAATAGATACATACTATAGGAGTTGAATTCAACAAGGCACTAAAGATACGTACCTTTAAATAGGTAGATCTAAACACACTAGATAAGCCTAATCTTCTACCTCTTACCTAGGTATTTAAATACAAGGGTAATGCTAATAGCCGACTAATTAAGTTTAAAGCAAGAGTATATACAAGAGGGGACCTTTAGAAGAACACACACTTAGACACCTATGCCTTAATACTAGCTGTACGAGTCTTTAGAGCTCTTATAGCTATCGTAGCTAAGTTTAACCTAGAAGCTAAGCAAATAGATACAGTTAATGCCTTCCTTAATCCTATATTCCTATATACGCTATACCTTAGGCCGCCTAATAGATTTAAGTAGAAGGGCAAGGTATTAAAACTAATCTAAGCGCTCTATAGTCTATAGGAGTTACCTCGGCTATAGTACAACTACTTTACTATAACACTAGAGAACAAGCTCGGTATACAACCTATTAACAATGTAGACTGCCTATATATAGATCTAGACAAATAGGTATTTATCTTCTTCTACGTAGACGATATAGTGTTGCTATATTACTATTAGCATAGATAAAAAGCTCTCAACCTTAAGAAGAGACTAATAGAGGAGTATAAGCTTAGTAACCTAGGGAAGCTCTTATAGTTTCTTAGTATTAAAGTTATACGTAACAGACAGAATAGGAAGCTATAGTTGTTACA